CACTTCTTGTTCTTGTACCCGATGACATTTTCGAAGTTAGGATCCGGATTCTCGGTCAAGAAACGCTGGATCAGGTCTCGAGACTCATCGGCATCAAATCTTAGGAAGACCCAGATCTTATCCACGTAACGTGTGTATAAACGGATCGGATGCTTCGTCTCCGTGGCACGGTCTCTGAATTGCAAGAAATCGTTCGGACTCTGCGGGGGTCCGGCCATTTCACTGGCTCTCTGCAAGCCGAGAAGCAGCAAGTCGATCATCAGGCCATAGTACTGGAAGACAAAACCAGAGAACTGCAGACCACGGATCAGACCGTAACTGTTGGTATGGTTCATGTCCTTGTAGCTGAGCTGCACGTTATTCTTGGAGGTGATGTAGTCAGCCAAGTTGTGGTCCATGATCAGGCGAAGCATTCGGTTTAACAAGGTGAGATCCATCTTTTCGTAGACCTTCGACAGCTCCGTCTCGATCATAACATTCGTTTCGCCATCCGCAGTCTCCCAAACGTTGGACAAGTTGTTAATACCTTGAGCCCACTTGTAAGTCAACAACGGAGGCACTTCAGAATCCGATGGCTTGATCCAGGCGGGGAACAAGTGGCGCTGTTCTGCTTGATACCACAAGTACTGGTCGAGATAAGCGTCGGTAATCTTTTCAATAGGCTCCACATCGTAGACGGGGTTGATGTGACTGTAGTTGTCGTTCATGTCGATGCCGACTTCCTTAAAAGCTCGCTGGGTCAAGAGGAATCGCTTGATTCTAGCCAGTGTTGTTCCGGGAGAATCGTACGCCTGCTCAATGAGAGCAAGTTCCTCACGCTGACTCTGGTTGAGTCTACCCTTGACAGAGTAAGATTCACGCAGACGTTCCAGAGCAAGGATCAGAATCTTGGTGTCATGCTTGTAAGAAACACTAGGGAAGGGAATCGGAGAGAACTTGCGCGACTCGAGCCAGTGGACCATGGTAGTATAAATAGCCACAGCTTCCTCGGATGACACGTAGGGACCATCCTTGAGGTAGTTGTGCTGGCGTTCTTGCTCAGACTTCAGCCACAGTCGAGTGAGTCGACCAAGGTTCTTCTTCGCGACCGTCTTATCTACCGTGGCACCACGGCGAATACGTTCACGGTTGTAATGAGCGACAGAAATCCACCAGTCAGCCTTGCTCTTGACGTAACGGAGAATTATGTTCTCAATGGGTGCTGGGAGACCAGGAACCTTCCAGGGAATGTTACTCTTCCAGCATCTCCATGCTTCCGACAGATGTTGAAGGACTGTGTTAACCTTGTTCTGCTTGATACCCTCGGGCATCATGTCCATGAGATCGGCCATGACAGATGCACGGAGTTCAAGGTCGAAGTGAGACTCCACACGCTGCTTAGTGACGGTCTTGGCAACGCCCTTGCTGTGGCGACCCTCGAACTGACGAGACAACAGGTTTCCAAGCCATCTCTCGAGCAGAGGAATGATACCACGCATGAAGAACAGCCAAACACGCCATGCCGGGGCCCAGAAACCACATCCAGGGCCCTTGCCCACAGGTCCCGAGTTGAAGCGGTAGTAGATCAAATGCTTGAGATCCTTGCAAGAACGAATCTGGTGCATCAACTTGTACTTGTAACGGTACATACCAGTCAGCTGCCCGACGTGGTTGAATGCATACAGGATGCCGTCAGCCAGCTGGAAGGCATCAATGTTACCCAGACGATATTGCACTTGGGCATCGACGATCAACTTGGTGAGACGAAGGATTTCTCTCATCAAGTGGAAAGCATTTCCGAAACGGGACTTCTTTCGCTCCTTGGTTGTCAAAGTCTTGACGGGCTTCAAGTTGAAGTTGTAGTCAAGATGCAGGTAAGTCAAGTTCTTGCGGTGAATCAACAGGTTAAGCATGTTGAATCCTTGACGGCAAACTTGCAGACCAGCTTCAACCCAATCGATCGTTGTCTGCTGGAAGAACTTCGTCGACTTCAAAGTCCTCAGTAGATTTTGCTTGCTTTGGGCCTTGGGCTTCTTCTTGTGCAGCTCATTGAGAACGTACGTCTTGAGCAACTTCTGGTATGAGACACGGACTTTGACAGGCTGACCCTGCGGGCAGTGCTCCAGATACCACTGCTTCACCAAGGGCACATCCTGTGCGCGCACCATCTTCCCAGAACGCTTGTTGAAGGGATGAGGGGCCCACCAGAGAGCGATGGCGGACGCAGTATCGGGGGTGTAGAGTTCCTGATCACCGAAGAACGGCTCGAAGTCGCCAGGGAGTTCAAAGTCATCCTCGTTGTTTCCTTCGCCGAAGATCTCATCTTCATGACTGACAGTGATATTCTTAGGCGCGACGGACCGGGAGGAAATAGGGTTGATGACAGGGTCGAAGTAGAAAGCTGGAAGATTAGGGTCGTCGGTCCGGACATATACAACTTGAGGGTGAGAGTACCAAGAAACCTTTACGCTTCTCGGGAGGGTATTGTACAGGAAAGGGTAGGCAACACGGTATTCCGTCCGGATAGGGGCGCGGAAGATAATACGGTCGATGGCGTTGAATTCACTGAAATCCTCGTCATTGGGGTCGATATCTTTGTACAGAGGCTCGAAGCGAGGACCACCGGGGATAGCCACATTCAGCGCCTTCGCTGTGAAGAAACTGTTCAAGTCAAACATATGGTGGTAGTTCTGATCAACGACATCACTCAGCAGCTGGTGACTTAGTCGATACAGAGTAGCCATCTGCGGCAGTGACAGGTTCCAGTCCTTGTAGCTCGGCCCATTGACATGGGGAGTGTCTAGCAGAGGACGATGATCGTAAAACCACTCGTAAACAGGAGCATCCTCCGACTCGTCAAGCTCCATCTGAATAGGTTCCAACGGCTCCACATCTTCAATGTTTTCCGACCACGATAGCGGAGGTTCTTCGTCGTCAAAGGGAGGAAAGCGCATTCTCTTGAAGTGTCTGCGGTCACTCTTTTCGCGCCGCATGCATACCCACATGGTTGCCCACTGGGCGTGGAAGACGGGCTCAATAACGCGGGGAGTCTCGTTGACCAAGGTCAGGCAGCCGTTAACATGATACAATACCTTGACTTCCCTAGCCGACTCCCAGGGCATAGGCATGTTCTCCAACAGCTTCAGAACGGCATGGGGCATGAACTTCAGCGCACCGAGGTAGCTACGCTTCTCGTTGCTGAACTTCTTTTGCGACACATCGCCAATGTCTCTGACGATCTTCCGTAAATGCTCCGGCGGCATATCCGCCTTTTGTGTTTCGACAAATCCTCCCTTTCTCTTCTCGCCGAACCGGTTTCGTTGCGTCCGCAGCCATTCATTCTTCTTCTGGGCAAACTTCGCGACAGTCGGATCCGCAGGCGGTTGATATCCAGGTGGCGGAGGAGCCAAAGGCATGGAAGGCGGTGCCGATGCACCCCAGCCCGGAGGCGGGGGAGGAGGCAATGATGCCATTGTGAAAGGTTGTTGATGGGGGGAGGACCCTCTCTGCCAGGTCGACGGGTGATGCTCGTGAACCAGTCGCGTCAAAGATCACGTCGAGAAAGGTCGTGACTTATCGCGAGCTCATCGGCCCAAGCTCAGCGATGGGGGGGAATAAAACAGGGTGAAAATATCGCGTCGGAGAGATGAAGCTTTGCCCGGAAGAAGATGAAACCACTCCTGGACGATCCCCTTCTCACGACGGGTGATAGGACAGCGCTCCAGTCTCTTCTTGCTCCTGCCTCGATGAAGCAAGTCTGAAAAGAGGTGGCGGCTCTGCTCGGACCGGCGCTAGGCCGCGTTGGTGTTAGCGCGTTCTCGCCAAATTGGCGCTAGCGCGGCCGCCCAGGGCTCCGAGCGAAACCCACACAAATCCAGATTACTGCGAGAATTCTACGAGGTCAACGACGACAACCGACGACGCCGCCGCCAATCTCTTGACCACCGACCTAGAGGTTCAAGGACAGACAAAATGGCGAACAACAGACTCCAATACGTGAGTATAACCAATTCCCTAGATATTTTGCGAACAGCATACTGATCTTTTCGTTTTGCAGCGCCGCCGGAACCCGTACGTTTGAATTTTCCTCTTCCCCTCGTGCTCTGCTTCTCCCACCAGTCTTGTCAGTCGCGACGGTGCAGCAACGCTTTGTTCGAATCCGACGCGATGATACGCTTCTGTTGAAATCTACACGCCAAGATATGCGTGAACAGGATATTGATGGAATTTTGTCTCCAGGTACAACACGCGGTCCAACCAGGTCCGCATCATCAAGACCCCCGGCGGTGAGCTCCGTTACCTTCACATCAAGAAGAAGGGCACTGCCCCCAAGTGCGGTGACTGTGGCATCAAGCTCCCTGGTGTGAGTGCTCCCGAATGATATCTGTTGAACAGTGGTGTGGATGGCTTGCTTGGATTGGTGGATCATGATGGGGGTGTGTGCGTGGACTGGCGCGACTGGGCGCACGAGGAAACCAAGAAGAATCTTACACCACTGTTCGATGATGGGAAATGAGATCAAAAATGGCTGATGGTTATCGTGACCTTTTAGGTTCCCGCCCTCCGCCCCCGCGAGTACGCCCAGATCTCCCGGCCCAAGAAGAACGTCAGCCGCGCCTACGGTGGTTCCCGCTGCGCTGGTTGCGTCAAGGACCGTATCGTCCGTGCTTTCCTGATTGAGGAGCAGAAGATCGTCAAGAAGGTCCTCAAGGAGTCTCAGGAGAAGGCTGCCGGCAAGCGCTAAATGCATCTTTGATGGTGTCTTTGTGTTTAGAGGAGCGAATATGGGAAATTTAAAAATGGCTGGGCATGGTCCTCTTCAGTGAACAGACGGCTAGCACGACGGATAGGGTCGTGATCAATGAATTTTATTCATGAATTGAAATTTCCATTTTTTTTGACTGTGATTGAATGACGCAAACGGCGTCTGTTGCACCGTAGAGTTCATCCGTTTGGATGCATACATCCACGGCCGGTGAGCTGATACACCGCCAGTCTGCTCTACTCAGTTGATGTGAAGTGGCGCCAGTAAACGCGGTTAACCAGGACATACTGTTCAATTGGATGCAATGTCCATGCCAGTGGATACCCTCAGTTACCAGGTGGATAACCTACCTTGACCGTGACACCAAATTTGAGGTACCGAGCATGCTCGGCGAGCCAAACGGAGCTCTTCCTCATCACGCTATTTGCGGTGTTTTGAAAATGGCAGTGCTACCCAGCTGTTCAATTCGAAAGACAGCACGATCACAAACAGCATGCGACAGCGCGTGGCGTGTACTGCAGTGCGATCTCAATGCTGGAAGCATTGAACGAGTCTCTGCATACCCAACCAAAAGGGGAACCAGTGACATACTTCTCCTTGGGGGGGGGGAGGAGGAGCAGCACGTGTAAAAGTACCAAACGGAGATGGTCGGTGGGTGGTCGAGATTATGTCATGCTTCAAATAGATGAGCTTCAAATGAAGTATGTACGTGGATGCATCCAGAACCACCGATGTACGTACAACCAGAAGTACTCTCTTACCTGACCGCACATCATGTCCGGCTTTGGAGACCTGGTGGAGGGGAGGGGGAAAAAGAAAGGAAAAAAGCATGGATAGGAGGGCATCCTTCCACTCCGTGTACCTGGATGAGGATAGTATGACTAAATGGCTTGCCTTGTGATACCTGAGTTTCCTGGACGGGCTGGCTTGACACCACAGGCATACTGGCCTGTACGCAGAGGGACTGGCACATCAGCATACCTAAGACGAGACGAGTAACTCGGACCGAAGGATCGGAGAAAATATAATTGTGATACTCCTTGCTGAGTTTAAACATCAGGGTAGCTCCCTACCTATTCATTGTCAATCCTCCGGGTTCGTCGCCTTTGTCCCATTGTGCACAATAATAGGCGCTGGATTTTATTATTGGAATTATTTTCTTTTTCCCCTTCTTTTCCAAAGACCGGCTCGCGGCAAACAGAATAAATCCATGAATCATCATGACAGATTCTGGCCACTATTGATTTATCCTTGACCCCTGTTCGGATTCAAATGGCATGCAGCTGACAGGCAGTATGACAGGCGCGTTGGCTATCGGCGTCGGGGTCGGTTGATCATCCGACATGAATCCACCTGCGGCTGCTGTGCTATCCAGCCATCTGTCAGGAAGGCGAGTGGGCGTCGACTGGACCGTGGCAGCCCGGGAGGGCACCGTCAGGTTGGCAAGAAGAAATCCAGTAGCTGAGGTGACAGGAGGCTGCTGGAGGCCAGCTGGTTGGTTTCTCGACTCCAAACGACTCAACCAGAGGCAGCACCCAACAGACCATTCATTCCGCCTGGTTGTCTTGTCTTGCCTTAGTGCTCATTTCTTGCATTCTACCCTCTTATCTTCTGACGCCAAGGATGTCTTCCTCAGTCTCTCTCCCCCATCATGGCGTATCCCCTGTCGCCAGCGGTGAGGAGTGTTTTATTTCATCTTCGCGCGCTTTCCTTTCAGCTTTCCCACCGAGTGTCATCTGATGTGCGTTTCATGTAGGTACCTGCCCTTGCTGGGGTTGGGAGTGGATAGACTGGATAGAACCAGATCCGCGGGAAGTCCGATTTGCAATAATAGCTGAAGATTGATAATAATGAATGTGGTTATTGGCATTCTACCCAACCCGACCCGGCATACGCACACGCTCAGTAAGCTTCTCGGCCAGGTTACTTGGCTATCTGGCATGTGCTGTGGTGACACCAGCCTTAGCCGCTGCTGTGACGGTCTTGAACCCGATCTATAGTACCTCACAACATGAGAGAGGGGGAGGGGGGTTGTTTTGTTTTAGAACACCATCAAGTATCGAATGATGGCGTGTTGAGTAGGTCCTTAGGTATTGGCAGGTATCACCATGTTATGCCCCGATCGCACCACGGGGATTGGGGGGCCCTTCATGCAAGATACAGGATATATCCTGGCACGTGCAAAAGTCGACTGAGAAGGCAGATGAAGGCAACTACACCTGATTCGGTAGGTTAATTTCTAAACCGGGGGCCGAAATTTCTGTTTCAATTGGGTCACTTGGTCTGTTCGACAATCGACGGCCCATCGTAGGTACTACTGTGATGAGGAGAAGTATTTCTAAACGCCATCTTTGCATGTCGATACTAGTAGTCGCTGCCATTGGCTGAAGGGCCGATTGGAGAAGAGGGGTGGCGAAGGATTCGACGGATCGCGAACAGTCGGGACGGCGGATTCTCGGGGGGTTCTGTGGCGTCCAGCTGCTGATTCAACTTGCTGAAGCCACCAGGGATGAGAGGGAGATTCGTGGCTATGTTAGAAACCACACCTGGCACTACTAGTTCTTCCACCGCCGGGGACAATCTCATTGATACTTCGGGTGACGACTCGCTAGCCGCCTCTAAATATGTTCTTGCATCCCTCGCAGGCAGGTAATATCATTCCTAATCTTATCCGCTGTTTGCCGCGGTCAGTTCTAGACTCCAACCCAGTGCATTGGCCAGTTTAACACCAACGTGCTGGTATACCTATATCTATTCTCCTTACAGGGTCCAAGCGTGATTAAGCATAGTGCTCATCGTCGGATGCGCTCTAACCCGACCGTCCATGCGGAGGGACCGAACTGGTGCAGATTAGCCTTAAATATCCGGCGCGGCCCGTTTTCCTAAAGCCAAAAACTGATACTCTAAAGTAAATTAAAGGGAAAAGAAGCCTTGGGGGGGGGCAGAAGGTACTTTTTGCGCGCTGTTGCACCGAGCAACTAAAGTCGGATGCGCATTCCCAAAGTTTAATAGGCGCCGTGGATACTTACTGATGTGACGGATGGCTGAAGGAGGAGGAGAGGGAAGAAACGGAAAAAGCAAAAAGAACCATTCCAAGGCCTCCCAAGGAGAAACCTGAAAACCAGAGGCCCGGCAGCGATCTAGTCCCGGCGTTTCTCGGATTGAATCGCTGACGAACACTACTCCTAAGCGAGTAAACGGTAGAGAAGCCCGATGTAGCTAATACGTCCATGCGTTATGAGAGAACTAGGTAGGCATCGTGGAAATGTCAGCAATGATAGATAATTGATAACCAATTAACTAGTAGTAAGCTGAGTGTTCCAGAGAGAGAAAGAGGGGGAGGGAGTGGGGGAACCAAGGAGATAACCGACCAACTACCAAGGAGCCCGGCCACAATAATGATTCCCTTCAGTTGCGTTGATTTGTCTACCAGCGCCCCGCCACTCAGATCGAGTAGGTAGTAGATAGTAATAGTAATTACGCCGTCTGCAGGATGAACATCATGCACCTGCCTGGGGTTTGACATGACACACAACCTGCATCACTGGCGAGCGTTGCCATGCTGGCTACTTCTTCTTATGGTGTAGGTTGAGAGTTCACCCTGATCTATACATGCAGCAACTAGTAGTAGCTAAGCAGGCATGCTACTCTAGTGCTTTCATAACCTCGCATGCCCTGTCATTTCTTGTCCTGCAGACCTCCAATACCCGCCAGCATGCTTGGCAGCCCTGGTTCTCCGTGAGCCGTCGAATCTCATTGACGGACCCCGGCGGTTCTGTTCATTAGTACTGCTTATTGTTTCATCCGATTTCATCCTGCTCGTTGGCTACCCGTTCCGAAAATATGGAGATGGGCGGGGGGGATATGAAAACTCGGACACTAGACTTGAGCTAAGTCAGTAGCTGCGCTACTAGAGTATGTGCAATGCGCACACTTTCCTGCGTTGACAGGATGCACTCACCAGGGGGGTGGAGGACTGTAGATAACTGGGAGAGACAGTCGGGAAGAGCGAGGCTAGGCTCGATGGTCGCTGCCCGCCAGATACTAATCGAGTACTACCTCCGTAATGTATCCGTATCGTGCCACTGGGTTGAAGGGCAATGACCCGTAATATCACTCACTCCCTCGTCGAGCCAGATCGGAAATTGACCGCGTGGGTACTAAGAATGAAGATTAATCACGAGGGGTTTCGATGGCAAGACCATTGCAGACATGCCGCGTCACAGAGCCTGATTGGAAGCAGACCGAGTACGGCTCGTTTTTCCGCCGAATGAGAATGCCTCGCCGGGCCTTTCTTCCCCATGATGGTCCTGTACGCAATAATGAGTCGTCGGGGGGAGGGGTGGTCGCTAAGCAACTGACCAGGACCGGAGCCTTAGCAGCATGTAGTTGGTGTGGAGGGGAAGGCAGGGTGAGAACGGGATTTGAAGCTGGGTTGAGACATGAGGAACTAGTAGATCCCTTGGGCACCCATCGCGCATGAAAAGGGAAAACGGGGGGAATGGGGGCAGGAATCTCGATCAGAAACTGCTGCGATCAAACGGGAGAAAAAAGGCGAAAAAGTACTGGAGCGAGAAGAAGGCCGGGTGGAATGGTAGTAGAACGAAGAGACGCCGGAGATGCTGCGTGCATCGCCCTGCATGCAGATGAGCTACCAAACTTTGCTGAGTGTTGACAGCCTGAGGGCTGAAGGGCCCAGATGCGCCTCGAGCCCGACAACGGCCCGTGATTGACATGGACTTACGATGGATTCCATACCATCGTGGCTACACATGGATTCCTGCCTCATGCTTCTAAGTCAGTCCTTTTCCAGCGTGCATTCACAGCAGAGGTCTCTTCCTCGTGGCTTGCATATCCACTTTATCTACGGACTACCACTGCCCTCTTCCCCCTGTTCCCTCCAAGCCAGGCTGGGGGTTTTTTGAGCGAGAAGAAAAAAGCAAATAGAGTAAGAAAAAACAGAAAGGTAACACAGGTATTTCAAGTGCCACACCTCGTACCTCCTGTACCATGAGTCCCGCAGCGGACTATCATCCAGAACCAATGAAGAATGCGGCCATACGAGCGTAAATTAAGGACTAAAGAAAATAGGAAGACAAGAAAATGAAGGGACGAAATTCATGTAATAATAATTATGAAGTATCGAAATTATGACAGGGGCCAATGCCCCGTTCAAACCCAACAAGACAGGCTATCAATCCGCTACAATAATACATCCAGCATGCAAGTCAGCCAGAAACCCTCTAGTATCTACTCCGAAGTGCACCGAGCCTATGCTATACCCCCATTTGAAGATCTGCGGACATTCCGGAACCAGCCAGCAACCCAGTGGGAAACGAATGGATCGCTCCCCATCCAAGAAACCCAGAGTCCAACGCAACACAGTCGGGCCCTGATCCCGCCATGTCGCAAAAAAGGGGAGCGCATGGAGAAGGATCTGCGCAGCCAACAACGCTCCCCAAATCAAATGGCTCGGTCGATAAGCGAGTCCCCGGCGTGGTCGGTCCTGATACTTGGAAGGGTGACACTACTGTAATCCCCGTCAGTGCCGTGGCCGTGGTACAGTATTGGGCATAGACATTCTTTTGCGGTCGCCGTTGTGATGTCACCTGTTGCCGACATCTTTCTCTTTGCAAATCGTCCTCACTCATACGTCCACGAAACCTAGCTTTGATTTTCGTAGCCTTACCCCCCTTGGCCCCGGACCGTTGACGTTGGGGAGCCGGCGGATCCGAGCTCAAGGCCTTCCTGTAACTCGCTTGCTTCCTGTACCGGGTTGTGGATTGGACGCCATTCTGGATGGCTTCATTCGTTAGGCGCCAGTAATTCACGGCTTTCTTCCCAGGTATCGGTTCTTCCCGGACAGCCTCGAAGCCCTGTAACATAATGGATTGTCTTAGTACATTGCCTAGGAAGGATAAGGGAACAAGGGGACCATACCGCATTCATGGACAGGTTGTGTCGGACACTGTTTTGCCAGCCTTTCGAGCTATGGTCTCTCCCTTTCGCAGTATTTTGCTCAAACCAGTTGTATATCCCCTGAAGTGACAGCTTCTTTTCGGGATTTGTCTTGAGAGCCATTTCGATGAGTTTGGAGTAAGGCTTATCATCAACGTTATCAGGGGAGTCCGGCTGGTCTGGCTTCAGTGAAGGGTAGGTCAAAGCCGAGACAGCTGGAGACAGTGGTGGCAAGCTCGATGTAGGACAAGCCGTTTCAGAAGTGTCAGATCGCGCCATCCCTGACGATATGTGATAAGAACTAGATTCGTGTGAATATGAGGGGATAACTCCCGGCTCCCGTAGCCAGTCCAAGGAAGGTTTGCTATCATAGAGACGCCGCAGCCCGGGCTTAACTTGTCTCGACCTAGAGCCACCAACTCCCAGCAAGGTGGATGGTCCTTCAGGGACCTCAAGACGGTGCGAGGGAAGCAAACGAGGCAACCCACGTTCTGACAATGGAGTGGGCACTGGAAGTGACGGGGGGAGCGCCATCTTCCATGGATTCTGTTGATGGTGAGACAGAGACATCGGCTCCCCTGGACTGTTAGAGCTAGAGCTCGTCCAATTCCCGACTGTTGAACAGGGATCGCGATGGTGAGAAGGGTCCAAACGAACGCCATCCGAGACGGAGGCGGGAGGGGCCACTGTTTGTCTTGCAACCTCAAGAACCCCCCGGCCAAATGGAACTGAATCCGAGGGTAAGCCGTGAGGGGGGTAGAACCGATCCATGTCGTCCTCCAGGGTGAACCAAACTTATCACAATCCGGATCAAGAGCTCTGACCAGGCAAAATGGCACCTGAGGGTTGATTCAACGAAGGGGAAAAAAGGAATATAAAGGATTTAAGGGTACGAATTGTGCCAGGAAGGTGAGGAAGACCCTGTGAAATGGGGATGTCAAGAGGGGTTGGCTAGAAAATTAATATAGAAGACGTGTGACCACTCAGGATGAGGAGTCTCTGTAGTTCCCTTGGAGCTGTGAGGCGAAAGAAATGCCAGCTCATAAGATATCTTGTCTTTTCTTTTCTTTTTTCCCTTCTCCTTCTGGGCTGCACAGAGCCAGCAAGCACAATGCATTTCCCTGGCAAACAAGAGATACTCTATAAGATGGAGGTAGATTTGCCTGACGAACCCCAGAAGTAGCAAAAGCAACGAAAATCTTAAAAATAGTAAAAAAACGCACCAAGAAGCAGATAGGAATTTTGAAAAAAAAATATAATGTCAAGAGGGGAAAAAAATAAAATTAAATAAAATCAAAAATCAAAAATCTAACAGGTAACCCAACAGGCACCAAGAAGCAAAAAAAAACAAAAAGACTCCATCATGTGCACTGGGGATGTTGTGGCCAGAGCTGCTTCGTTCTACCGCGGGAATCGCCATCCAGTGGACGAACAGCGATTCAGCGCTGCAGCGGGCCCCAAACAGAGGCCGGATCTGGGACTAGTACTGGGTACAGGGGCCTGTCTATCATGGCAGCCGTACTTTGGTTTCCTACTACAATGCTGGACCGACCGGGGGTGGTGGGAATAACTGGTGGATGGCGGCCACCTGCAGAAGAAGTCCTGCGATTATTGCGCTAACCATGACCACTCAAGAACAGAGATAGGCCGTCGACAATCTCGCGGATTGCCATTGGGTCACCTTCCTAAAAGCCATCAGCGCTTTTGAAATCTATCCTGCAGATTCTCCAGTCAATTCCCGATTCCCCGACCAGCCAGAACCCTTAGAGCAAGATGCAGGTGCCATGGTGACACCTTGGAAAAGCCGCACCCACTATTGTTGCGGCCTTTTATTCTTCCGTGAGGGCGATGCGAAGTCGGTCAGTCCAGGCTATTTAGAGAAGGAAACAAAAAGAAAAACAAAGAAAGCCCTCTCGTATTGTCATTCTCCACCCGATCGGCCGAAGACAGCGCCCAGATGTTGAGGATTGCAATTGGGGGAAGTTAAGGAAGTTGGGGAAGTTGGGAGGTTCCGAGGTGATGAACGCAGAGGGGCAATGAACAGGGTGCCCTGGGAAGACTGCGGTGCAAATAAGCATAGGCCGCTACGCACACGTGGAAACTTGGATCTGCGAGGTCCGATAATGTGGTTTCATATCGATATGATACATCCTAGCTTGGCCGAGATGGGATCCAATGCCGCTGGTGGTGGTTAAAGTTTCCAGCCCAATAATATTATGTGGTCGTGGTGGTGGACGACGGATCCCGAGTGTGGTGGAACCCCAGATGATCAGTCCCATCCCGACTGCAGTATGTACATACACAACACTCCCGCCCGAATCCTTCAGGCGATAGATTACTTCCGGTAGTAAATCTGGGGGGTAAAAACCATCAGTACATGTGAGATGCCACGTTTTAAAAGGCAAAGGGTACTCACTCGCTTGAACTGAAAGTGTAGTTGCAGGATTCCCTGGATTCAATCAAGTCAGTCTCTTTCTGGCCCGTTCTCAATCGATCAACCCGGAACATACTTTGTCAAAGGTACTCTTGAAGCCTCGTTCTCTCTTTGCACTGTAGTCCCATTCCTTGTCGACAATCCGAAATGCGATGTCTTCGTAGGGGGGTCCAGCCATGAAGCGAATCAAGCAAGTATCCTCTTCACCGGCTGCTGCGAAAGATTGACCACGCTTCCGCCCATGCTCTCGTTCTATGCGGTAGGTTGGCGCTTTCGCTTCGTCAATCAGGTCGGGATAAAAGATGTTGAACTTGTAACCCTGTACAACTTTGGGAGGCGGGTTATCGTGATCATAATGGGTCTGGTTGTATTTGTTCCACTCGTAGCCCATTTGGACACGGTTAAAGTACCGTGGTTTGCGGGGTCGGTATTTGCTCGCCCACTGTGGCTGGGAACCCGTGCTCACGGACTCCTCGCCGGTGAAGATCTCTTCGTTTTCATTCACTCCCTTGGCCAACTCTCGCTCATAGAGCGCCTTAGTTGCTTGCGAGAAGTCTTCGTTGGGAATCAAGGAGAAGCGAGTCGATGCAGTAGCAATGGGGGCGTTCGTGGCTTGATTTGTGGTAACCACCGATGGCTTTTCAGCCTGTCGCTGGCGGAGAGGAACGAACCCCATCTTCAGGATCTTCTGGCGCTCACGAGCCTGTATAGGGTCAGTACCAGTGGGTTTGTGCAGGAGCGAGTGCAACCTACAACTTGATTAAGGAATGCGGTTTCGTCCACTATCTCTAGGACCTTATCTTCTGGTCGGATTTGAAGCAATGGATCGGGGTCGAGTCCACGATATTCGCCACCATCAGCCGACTCTCCATCATCGGGGATCGCTTGAATGTCTGGCGCCAAAGGGGCCAGCTTCGCCCGGACAGATGCAGCTTCGTCGCATTGCTGTTGGCGCAGTCCGCGAACCCTCTCATCTATGACAGCTTGGTAGACCTTCTTAAGCTTTGCACGGGCCTTCCAGACGGTAAGGCTACGCAGAAGCTCTTCCCAATAATCTGTATCGATGGGCTCGTTGGAGTCCAACTTATTCCTAACCTGAATCTCAAGGGCCTGGAGTTGCTCGTAGGTTTTAGGACTCAACAGCCGGTTAATATCAGTAGCGACAGAGCTGAGAGCACGGCCTTCGGGGGCAGTGAGTTTCTGACGATCTCGACAAATCACTTTCATGGTCTGCAGTTAAGAACAATCAATCAGCGTAGAGCCCCAATATCATGCCAAGTAGAAGACCCGTACCTTCCAAAAGTCCCTATTTTGCGAATTTCTCTCAAGACTCAAGAACGTATCGATGTCCTTCTCTAAGTCGAGGAGCTGTGTCTGGGATAGTCCCTCGAACACGCCATCCGGGTCCACCAAGTCGAGCTCCGAGTCCGCGATCTCATCGTCAAGGGGGTTCCTTGTCGGGTCAATAACCCGTAATGTGACAGTAAGCCAGTCGATGGGCTTTGCCCGACCCTCCTTCACCCGGATTTCGGCCTTCTTCTTCGCTTGCTTGAGGACAAAGATGTCCTCCTGAGCCACCCACTCACGTACTTGCTCGTCTTCCTGAAGTTGGTTGAGCCGGAGCTGGTCTTTCATATTCCGGGGCCGGTAATGCGACTGTTCATCTCCGTCTCTTCTGTCATGATATCTATCCGTGTCGTCGTATCTGCGCGGGGCCTTCTGGGGATGACGCGAGGATGGAGACCGAGACCGACTTCGCTTCGAACCCGTCCGGTCGGGAATTCGTGATGACATTTTGGCGCCTCACTGGAGTTAGCTATTCTAGAGAAGCAAGCAGTGGGTTAGTGACGCCAGATTTTAGCGGTAGATAGCCGAATTCTTGATGTGAGCTGACCGAGGACCATGAGGTTTGACATAGTTTCCTCCAACCTTTCTGGAGAACGGGTTCCGCGCACCTAAAGCGGGAGGTATAGCGACCGGCAAAGTTTCCCTTTCAACCACGTGCACTTATCGCTTTCATGTGATCCACCGCGGGAGCCTGGAGAAGCATCCTTTACCCTCTTCTATTTACCTTGGTATAACTGAGCGAATCTCCCTCAAAAGGTGCCTGAACGATGTCTTTGAAGTGGCAAAGATTGCACATATCCAATCACGAATCCGCTCCGCTTCTTCTGTTCAGATATTCGGTCTCCAAAGATGAATATCAGTTGTATATAACTGACCTTACGTACATCTGGTCTGAGTGTCTAACCCGCCAGCATATTTTGAGAAGAGCTGCTGAGAATAGTACGACCATCGACCCCAGCGAGGACCCAGAACAGCTCACTGTATTATTGCAGAAAATAGGGGAGGGTCTCCGCAATGAACCTGGAAACTGTACGGCGCTGAGCCATGGACCAGGGAGCGATTCTCTACAACTGAGCACCTCAACAAACTTACCAGCTCCGCTTCAGCCTTTGAACTGGAATATATACCTGTCTAAAGAACCACAGTCCTCATCGACTGCTCAATTACTTCTTCCGCTGCTCAAAGCGGAGACCGGACGGGAGTCACGCCAACGGGGTCTAATTGAACTACTTAACAAGAAAGATTGGGTGCTGACGAAGCTATTTGACAAACTCGAAGCCATGGGAATTGATACCAGCACTGTTTTTCCTGGTATCACTGGACTTCGAAGCAGTCACAAAGGCTCAATGATGTCACAAGCTGCTAAATATATCAAAGGAGTAGCGCCTTTTGACGAGCAAGCCTGGCTAGATGAGACCAACGCACTGTCTCTTGACCCCGGACTTGCATCCACCCTTTTGGCAGAAACATCGGGCTCTAGCATTGAGGACAACGGCCAACAACTTGGACATATAAAACCAGCACCTGAAGGATGGTGGAAAACGCTTTCAGCGACTAACGTTCCCACTACCAGCAAGTCGCCCAAGCAGAAGGAATACAACCAAGCCGTAGATTCCAGGCCCTCACAGGACTCAACACACCTGGAAACAACAGGTTATGGTACGGAGACTGAAGATGACGAATTTGAAGTACGTCCCTTCCCCACAAACGCATGGTTTCTGTATTCACAGTTTGTCTTTTAGCGACAAGAAACGCCCCCAAGGCTGAAACGTCGACCGACCTCCAAAGACAAATCACCCTCCGCTCGGCTAGATGAGGAAACAGAAAGCGACGACGAAGATGTCAAAGGAAAACAAAGTCCAGTGAAATCGCCTGCACCGCGAGAGAACCCCCCAGCAAAGCTCTCAAATGGCCTTGGAATAATTGGAGGCAGGAAAAAACAGCCATCAGCACAGGAATCTCCGCAACCATCATCGCTGTCCTCACCAGATGTTGACACACCGGTACTAGCTCCCAAATCACCTCCACCTCGGCCCAACAGCGAAGAAACGGAGTCAGAGCCAGACGAAGACGGTCAACCTGCACCATCATCACCAGCGCCATCCAAACCTCAACCTTCAGTTATCCCACAAACGAAACGGCGCGGGCTAGGAGTGATAGGTGGTCGAAAGAAAGAAAAGCAAGCCTTACCCCCCCTCCCATCGCTGGAATCCGAACCTTCAAGTAAGCCGCAGACCAAAACTCGCGGGCTAGGAGTGATAGGCGGCAAGAAGAAGGAAAGGCAGACCTCACCACCACCACCGGCACAGTCCCCCGAGCCACAAACAACCGCCCCTAAGTCACACTCGCCGGCTCCCAAACAGCCAAAGGCATTGTTGCCGCCACCCACCGAGCAAGAGAAAGAAGAAACAGAACAGGAAAAAGCGGACAGGAAGCGTGATGAATTGAAAAGACAACTTGATGCAAAGAGCAAGGCTCCGACGAAGAAAAAACGGAAATTCTAAGTATCGATCTTGGCAAGTAGCATCATTTGTCCTGGCTATCTCTTGGGATACCATGAACGCGATAATTTGGGTTTCAGAACAGAACTACAAGAAAATGAACGAGTTCTATCTCGGGATAATTAGGACTTCATCACACATGATTTCAAAGTTACTTTGGCTCCTTTGGGGCTGCGATCTGTATAGACTGATGTCAGGGGGAGGTTTTGGTCATGACTACATATTGGAGAAATTGATTCAGGGACATATTATATTCTGTAAATGTTCGGAAGGACTAAAACAAAGGGTGTTAGAAGGTCCTGAAAGCGCACAAATTTGTTCATCTCTTTTGCATACCAGGACCGTGTCCAGAGAATGAGATTTTATGTACTATAGCAAGCACAAGCCATTCCTTCAACCGCGCGTTTTCCGACATCGCAGGATATCACACCTATTACATTGCATGGGAATCATTCAATTTGCTTTATCTGCTGGACCCTCTTGTACTCCCACTAATTTGCTCGGGTACCGCTTTATTGGGCGTTCATACCACCCGTAATAGATCAAAGGGAACTACATGAGGGATTGTATGGTGTTATACGAGAAATGGTCTGCATTCTATGTATAAACTTCGCAGTCGTGGTCTAGTTGGTCTCGACGACTAGAAAGATGGTCTCCTGAAGGGGCTGCGTTCCAGTATAAGGCATCCATCATTATCATCATCACTACCTGCACCTTCTTAGACAACCTCATATTCATACAAACGCTCCCAGCTAATATACCGATACCTACTGTACAATGTTCCCCATTCTTTTCTTCCATAGATGCCATCAATACAGTCAGTCCCCCCTCAGAAACATCTTACTTACCTAATTAACAATCTAGAAAAACAAAAGTCAGCGACTTCAACCACGGTGTCACAAAGACCATGGTCACCTGGGTGGCCTCTTCTCCCTAGCTGGAGTACGGCCTAGCCTTCCTGTGTCCACCTAATGAGGTCCTAAGTAGTACCTACTAAGCATGTGAAGACACATGGGGGGCGGTCCAATCAAAAGATGATGGTATGATCTAGTAGTGAGGCTGATGGAAGGTAAGAAAACTTGCTAGATACGTTATTAGACTAAACTAACTTACGGCCATGGGTTACTGTGATCATAGCTTATCTATTTCGTGTGTATGGAGTACTCCGTAGTCATATCTATTATATAACATAATATAATAATAAGATAATATATTAATCTTCGATCTCTCACCATTACCCATTCTTTATAACATATTATTGGACAACCAATCCATTCCTCCCACTAGTAATATGTAAGACAACAAGTACAGTAGGTAGTACTCCGTAGCTGAGAAACAATCTAATAATAGTAGCCATCATCAAGAAGGGGCTGACTGACCTCGGACGAATAATTAGGTCATCCTCGAGAGATCAGATCACCCTTGACTACTGCATGTGTCCGCTGCGGGGATCCTAGTCTTACTACGGCCCGGGGAAAGGAAAGCTGTTCCAGGGCAAGGAGAGTTGATGGAATTAAAGGTCAGATCAATTCCATTTTAAGCTTTCTTTTTGTCTGCGAGGAGAAGGATACCAAAGTACAGTACGTTCTAATTCCAGCAGACACAAAACGCGCGCGACAAGGGAGAGAGAGAATTCAAAAATTTGGTATAAACCCAAATTTGGAAAGCAAGGGACAAAGCTGGAGCGGGAAGGGCGATTGAGGGAGACAAGGTCGGTAATCGGTGGTAGGATCGTGGATAATGGTGGGAAGGAGGGGGGGGATGACTATGGCCTTGAGGAGGAGGAGGAGGGGGTGGTAAGCTACTAGGTCGTAGGGTAGTAGTATACCATAGTACAATCAAGGGCTTGGACCTTGTTGAACGGGGGACCAGCAGTTGAATCTGCACGACTTCCCGCAGGGTTGGGGCCGAGACCCTAAGAAGAACGGCTGGGCAAATCTTGCTGGAGCACTGGCCGCGCGGTTGGATTAGTAGATAGGCTAGACTGGCTATTAGGTAGTAGTAGTAGTACTTGTGACTCTGTTGCACGGGAGCAGGTGGGGGAGGGAGGCGAGGCGGTGGTGGAGAGGGGAGCTGGGCAATCGTGACTACGTGAGAAATGTCAGACATGATTGCCAGCCTCACTCAGCCACATCACAGCTTAAGCCCGATGGAGAATTGGGGCTCCGCTGTGGTTGACGAATGGTCATGGTCTTGAGGACAGACAAACAGGAGAAGGAGAAAGAGGTGGTGGGGAATGACATGGAAAGGGGGAGGTGGAGTTTGGTTGAGGATGGCTAAGTTGATACACAGTAGATAGTACTAAGTGGTACTATGTAGTAGTGAGGTTGAACTGGTGACTTCTGCAATTCATACCGATGGGGGTGGATCTGATTTCAGGCAGCCTGCAGTGCACCATGCACGTAACGAGGGGAAAAAAGAAAAAGAAAAAATGTTAAATTGAAGAATCACAGGGACCTGAAACTCCTTTCATTCTGGATGACTTTTGATGATCAACATCGTACTAATCGTGTACTCTCTCTCTCAACCCTGTTCTTTTATTAACCATACCCGTAGTCCCATCATTGTTGTGGCGACAATGACGATGCGGTTCATTGATGCCCACCTTTGACACCCGATCCATCCTGAACCGCAGTTCGCTCCGGCTCTTCCACCCTAACCAGGTCTAGTCCCGCCTCGGGACTACTATTAGGTAACCCACCCCAGCGTGGCGACAGTGGCTATCTAGGTAGAGTATAGCAAAAACAGCGTTATGAGGAAGATGAGGGAGGTGACAACTCCATGGGTTAAGAAAACAAAACAAAAAAAAAAAGACAAACCTACAGATTCGATCTGTCCACCTGATGCCTCACAACGTAAAATCCCACCCAACTACCTAGCACCATCACCTCCCCTCCCAAAAGCAGGGGATTGTACAGACCACAGTGTTGACCCGTTTAGTCAAACATCTGGTCATTCTAGGGAGACCGACAGGTCGACAGCGTCAAGTTACGTACCCGCAGTTGAAACCCGTTTTGTTGGTTTCGGAGAACCCTTCTGGATGGACGGGTGCAGACTCGAAGGCTGGAGGAAAGCCGGCCTGCATGCAGGTATAAGGCGGTGTGGATTCGACGGTGCCCGGTGGATGGGTTCGATCGGCTCCATATGACGACTACTAGTACTAGCTCTTGCGCTTAGAGTCATCGTGTCGGCAATCCAATCTGGGACGGGGAGAGCTGGGGCTGGTTGTCTGACCATCCCCAGCAACGTGCTTAATTGCCGTGTCCACCTATCGGGAGCGCTACCAGGTTACAGCAGAACCATCCTCCCCAAACCATGAGACCATGAGACAATTTACCTGCTATCTATGTAGGCAGTGGCAGTCATGTCATGTCTTACTCGAGGGGGAGGTACATTCCAGGCGCTGTTTTAGATCATCCGGACATTCGGGACTTCAAGGGTGGGACAAGCTAAAAAGGACTAGTACCAGGAATGACTCGTCCGGATGGCAATAACGATGCATCCTCAACTTGAAGAACATGATCGGTTCCAGTCCTCCCCGCATTGTACCGAATGCTGGGTCCTTCTGCTGCCGATGGACTTTTGGTCGGGTGATAATGGCTCTCATGGAAGCAGGAAATCCTCCGCTCAATTCTCCAATTCTCCAATTCTCCAGTACTACTACTAGTCTACATACTACAACAGTAATAACAATAACCTGGAGAAAAAAAAAAGGCTCTGCCAGTGATCATCCCGGGCGAGAGAGCGATCGGGCCACTCACTCCTTACAATTTTCTAAACGACCGTCCCTGAAGCTGTCAGCCACCTACGCACTAAATATCACACCTCCTGCATTAAGGGCTTGATCAATCAATAATGAGCTCCGGGTTGATATATGTATAGATAGCTATCTACCAGCACCTCCTATCGTGATGGGAAGGGGGCATCAACGAGAGTGATGTGTCTTCGTGCCCCAGCGGGCCCGCGGCCAGTCAAGGAGCTGCTCGGGCATCCCAGCAAACAGCTTTCCAGGGAATCCCCGGACGGCTATTTGCTGGTGCAGCCCAGGCCCGCCATCATTCGCCGTCGGCCGGTTACCTCTCGCATCGATCTGCGCCTCGCCCTCCTCCATCGAGATCTGTCACGACCACATCCCTACGACCGGAGTCCCCTCCAGTTGGTTTTTCCCTTGTTTACATCTGAGCCCTGAAAGATCTTCGTTTTTCCTTGAGGGTTACACAACTATCACAATTTACCACCCTTCTGCGACGACCTGCTTGCTTACCTCCCTATCGGAGGTCGATAACTCTATCGCTGGAGCTGTGGATGTACATACTCATCTGTATGCATGCATGTAGGTAGGTCGGTAGGTAGGTCAAGCTCCAGGAAGTGATGGTGTAGGACGAAGCTTTCGCTTGACCCTACCCCACACACTCTTCTTCCATTCTTCCCTGGAGGGATCATGACCTTCGTCGGGCGGGGATTCCTCTCCTTCAGGACTCGAACCTTCATTCCAACCCCTGCTCCCATTGGGCACGAACCTTTTGGTAAATCCACTCAGGTCCGAGAAATTGTCCTTGAACGGGTTCAGCAGGTACTGGCCCTACATCCTAGGACGACAAACGGCTACGTACGACGCTGTAGTTTGATCATTCCTATCGTCCCTTTCCGCCATTTTGGATTTTCTTTTCTTTTCTTTTCTTTTCTTTACTTTTTCTTTTTCTTTTTTAGCCACACCTTGCTCCTTGACACGTAACATTTAACAACGGTGGGGGATGGGAGGGAAGGGTAAAAAAATCAAAAAATAAAATAAAAACAAGAAAAAGAAAAGAGAAAAGAAGACAGAGAGACATAGAATAAAAACCTCCGATTTTGCATCTGATCATCACGAAGGAAAAAGGAAAACCAAACGGACCGTTGAAAGAAAAGGCGGCGACTGGATTTAATGATTAATATTGATTTATTAAATATTATTATTATTATAATTATTATTATTACCGACTGGGCCCCCCGATTTCTTTCTTTTCGCCTTCCGGAGCCAACCAAGCTTAGAGTAGCTTTGGGACCGGCTAGCCTGGGTTCTCGACTGCTTTCGCATCCACACCGTCATTCTTCCTCAGTTCCGTCCAGTCCAGTTACTATTTGTATCCTCCAACGATCCTTTCCTCTCGCGTGTTGCTCTCCTGCTATCTCGTCTTTCCCTTCTCTTTCTTCCGTCTCTCCCTCCATCCCTCCCTCTCCTCCGCTGTCTCTCCTCCCTTTTGATTTTCTTCTTTGTTTCTGGCTTGACCAATTTCTCGGTGCAGCAGCCATCCTGGTCCCGACTTTTCCTCTTCTTATAGTTTCGGGATAGTCTATCTGTATTCTTCTCCTGTACTTATTGAGAACCTTCTTTTTTTTCCCCCCTCTTCCATTTCGCATTTTCTTGCGCGCCATTTTCTTTTTTCGTTCCCGCCTGTCATTTTTGGTTAAAAGACATTGCTGTCAATTCCTAAGCTTAATAGAGATTCGAAGAAGAGGTTACTATTCCCACGTGTCTGTCGATCCGCTCAGTCCTTCGATCGCCGAGCTCCTAGTCAGCATTCGCCTCCTACACATCCGGATTCGAGGCTTCCCACCATATCTCCCCATTGCCGCCACTTTACGCCTGCGGTCTGCGATTTGAATAGACGATCACGGTTGTCGTGTCATGGAAATATCTTGATTGATACTATCGGTCAATGGGAGGACTCGACATAATGGGCTACCAACACGCTACTCGCGAATTGTTGGGGTATCTTCGCATTGCGTCCCCAATCCTCCTCCTTCTCGTCTTTGTGGCTTCGTTCATTGCCAGCTCCGTTGTCACGGCCCGCAATGCGAACAAGAACACAAATGCCGTTCACACAGGTCCCGGTGGAAGACCACTCCCCAAGCGATCGAGGAGTACAATGACCGTGATCAAGGCACCCCAAAGGTTTTCCCGGAACACGAAACTATTTTTCAAGTGGCTCTCCGTCGGGGTTCTTTTGACAATCGCCGCGGATGGTGCTATCAACATTGCCCATGTTATGATTGCGAGATCGGAACATTGGTGGTGCGGCCAGTCTGTAGTGGTACGTTCCCTGTCTCGTCTTCTGTTTCGGGCTGGGCCTCGAGCGGAAACCTTAGGAACAGAGTAGATGCAGCTGCTAACGAGACCAGATCTACGTCGTGGGGTCATTTTTCGACTACGCGATCATTCTCGTCTCGTTACTGGATACCAATCCTTCTCCGACTTTCGCACAGTTCATTCCATGGCTAGCAGCGGTCCCGATTGAGCTGGGAATTCTAGCCTCCTCGCTTTCAATCTATGCTGGCGTACACCGTGAACCCGTGGTTGGGGATCCTACTAGCGGCCGCCTGAGACAAGGTATAACGCCATGGGAGTTAACGGAGGTGGTGTTGAACTGCCTCAGGATACTGTTTCTCATGGCTATGGTCACGGTGTATACGTTCAACTCAGTCAACGTTGGTTCCAAAAGAGCCCATGGTCACGCCAATGGTGTTACCGAGTCCACGGGACTGCTCAGCGCCCACCACGCAGAGAATGGGAACGGGAACGCTTATGGCTCAACCAACGGTCACGCGCAACCTTCCAAACCCGCCGACCCATGGGTTCGCCCGACTACCGTTCCGTCAACCAGCTGGTGGGAATACCTGAGCGGTTATTCGTTATTCTTCCCCTACTTATGGCCCTCCAAGTCTCGTCAACTTCAAGTTGTGGTCGTCATTTGTTTCGTGCTGATTGTCCTGCAACGAATCGTAAACGTTTTGGTTCCCTACCAGGCAGGCGTTATCACCAACATTCTCTCCAAAGGAGATGGCGACTTCCGGGTTCCATGGTTTGACATTTGTCTCTATATCCTCTATCGCTGGTTGCAAGGTAATCAGGGACTCATTGGGTCTTTGCGTTCCAACCTGTGGATTCCTGTGAGCCAGTATTCCTATATGGAGCTTTCAACTGCGGCCTTCGAACACGTGCATAGTCTCAGCCTCGATTTTCACCTAGGGAAGAAGACGGGTGAGGTGCTCTCAGCCCTGAGCAAGGGTAGTTCGATCAATACCTTCCTCGAACAAGTCACCTTCCAAGTTGTCCCTATGTTGGTTGATCTCTGTGTTGCGATTGTCTTTTTCCTCATTTTTCTGGATGCCTACTATGCCCTTGTGGTCACAATCGTGACTTTCTGCTATCTTTATGTCACAGTGCGCATGGCACAATGGAGAGCTGAAATTCGTCGAGAGATGGTCAACAAATCACGGCAAGAAGACGCCGTAAAGTAAGTATCCGGAAAAGCCCTCTACTTCGTGTTGTACAAAGCGGCTTACACCATTCTAGGAACGATTCAATGGTCTCCTATGAAACTGTGAAATATTTCAATGCAGAGGATTACGAGTTTGGCAGATACCGAAATGCCGTGTCTGACTTCCAGAAGGCCGAATACCACGTGCTCTTCTCTCTCAATCTTTTGAACACGTCGCAAAATACCGTGTTCATGCTAGGTTTGCTGATTGCTTGCTTCATAGCGGCCTATCAGGTGTCATTAGGACAGCGGGATGTTGGTCAATTCGTCTCGCTCCTCACGTACATGGCCCAGTTACAGGGGCCCTTGAACTTCTTCGGCACCTTCTATCGTTCCATCCAGTCGGCCATGATCAACTCAGAGCGGTTATTGGAACTATTCAGAGAACAGCCTACCGTGGTCGATCGACCCAGCGCCAGGCCTCTGCCAGTCTGTAAGGGTGACATCATGTTCGAGAACGTGGAGTTCTCGTACGACACCCGGAAACCAGCCTTAAATGGGTTGACATTCCGCTGCGAGCCAGGGACGACAACGGCTCTGGTGGGTGAGTCTGGCGGAGGCAAGTCTACTGTCTTCCGGTTACTCTTCCGGTTCTATAACGCTTCGCGGGGCCGTATTCGTGTAGATGGACACGACGTCGAAGGTATCACCATTGACTCGCTTCGGAGGCACATCGGAGTTGTGCCACAGGACACTGTGCTCTTCAATGAGACACTGATGTACAACCTGAAGTATGCCAATCAGAATGCCACAGACGAGGAAGTATACGACGCTTGTCGTGCTGCCAGCATTCACGACAAAATCATGTCTTTCCCTGACGGCTACAACACCAAGGTTGGTGAGCGCGGTTTGCGGCTCAGCGGAGGCGAGAAGCAACGGGTTGCCATTGCACGAACCATATTGAAGAATCCGCGGATTATTCTCTTAGATGAAGCAACCGCTGCCCTGGACACGGAGACAGAGGAGCACATTCAAGGCGCGCTGTCCAGCCTCTCTCTTGGCCGTACCATGCTTGTCATTGCCCATCGGCTGAGTACTATCACGACGGCAGACCGCATAGTTGTCTTGCATGAGGGACGAGTAGCCGAAACTGGTACTCACGATCAGTTGCTGGCTATGAAAGGCCGATACGCAAGCATGTGGCGTAAGCAAATTCGTGCCCAGAGAGCAGCTGCGGAAGCCCAAGTGCTTCAAGATCGCGCTCAACGCCTGCGTAGTGCATCCACATCGGGTGCCGCAGATGATAGCTCCAGTCAGTCCGACGAGGACCGGAATGGCAATGCCCCGGCCGGGGCCCGTCCTACCAACAAGCCTGGTAACGAGGGTCGAAAATGACAGGACACGGCTCGGTGGGCATTGAGGAGGTATGGAAAGTCTTCTACGGACGGAGACGTCCCTATACCCGGCACCAGGCTTGTTGAATGACGGGTGAGATGATAGCGCATTCTCGGGTTTTCACAACATCCAGGGACCATTTTGATTTTGAATTTGTTCGCTTAGGTGCCCTTGCATTATAAGCCACTCACGACTGCATGACCCATGTTCACCTGTCAATCTATATGGACCCTTGACCCTCTTTCTTTTCGGAAAAGGACGTACAAAATGGTTGGAACCGTGAATAAAATTTCATTAGACCAGTTGCATTTGGCACATGACATTAATGATACTGATCGATAGCATCCTTTAGTATTTAATATCAGAGAGTCTTTTGTGCATCACTATGACAAACTGTAGTAAGAGCTATTGTTTCGTAGCAGTATGTAACTATGTAACTGGACTACTACTATTTGCTGTTGGTGTACCGGGGCAAATGTTACCATTTGCTGCCGTTCGATTGGCTGATCGCTGCCAAGCTGGGGTAATAATGCCTCAGGCAGAAAGACCTCCAGAGCATTGCGTCTGCTGCTCCACCCATCATTTCTGCGTTTCGGCTTCAATCGATGTCAACCTCGACCAGGTTAACCCAGGAGCTCGCTATCATTTGAGCAGTCGACATCCAAATCACAATTTTCTACAGAAAGAAGCCCCTTTCCTGAATCTACGCAGAAACAAGCCTAACAATGCATCCCCCGTCTCCCCAACTTCTCCGCGCCTTGCGCACCTCTATCTCGGCCAACCCCAGGGCCACCATTGCCTGCACACAACTAGCATCTCGATCTATCTCCCCCGTTTCTCAGATCACACCTCTTCTAATCTCCCATCGCAACAACAGCAATCATGCCCGTCCAACCCGGATGATTCCTCGCGCTCACACCGCAAAGCCCTCGAACCGCGACCGCGGCCCGCCGTCCAAGGAAGACACCCAGACTGACTTTGCCGCGCTCAACGTGCTCGGGAACATCCCTGCCCCGACGACCGCGATCGACGCCACTCTTGATACGGGGTTCCATTTGAACAATGGCGTCAAGATCACCGGCGGTGATGGGGTGTTGCTTATCGGTGGAGAGGCTTTTGCCTGGCGGCCGTGGCACGGTGTGGAAGGAGGTAAAGACAGTATGGTGAATAAGAAGGGCCAGTTTGAGGTGGGTGAGCAGGCTTGGGGTATTTTAAATTTGGTTTGGCCTCGTCCGGGTAGGTTCATTGTTCTTTTCCCCTTTCGTTTCTGGTAGTATTCTACGTTGGAGGTTTAGCTGACACTGAGCGTGTTGCATTTGGTTGTAGATATGCTGATTATTGGAATGGGAGAAACTGTGTTTCCTCTGTCGCCTGAGACGAAGAGACAAATCAATTCCTTGGGCGTGCGGGTGGAAATGCTGGATACGAGAAATGCCGCGGCGCAGTTCAATTTGCTTGCTACTGAAAGAGGCGTGTCGGAGATTGCTGCGGCTATGATTCCGATCGGGTGGAAGGGAAGGTAGATTGATCCCTGGGTGTGATGTGTGATGCGTGAAGCATAGGGGGTTGGTGGATATGCGGTGGCTGGGACTAGTTCTGATGTTGTGGCGGTTGGGGGAGCTGCGACCTCGTCGGACTACGTATAATCTCCTCTTCGGATGGGCAATTGTCCATGTATATCATGTATAATAGATCGATCTGGGTACAGAACTGTATGCAGTACTGTGTGTGTGCGTGCGTGTATATCGCTGTGCCATAAAGACCTTCCTGCGATGTGATTTGCTCATGACGTCGACGTCGATCCCGGGGCGGAGCGATACCCGAAAGGGCAGGACCGTGACCAGGACTATCGGCTGAGCTGCAACCCCGGACGATCATCGCCCATCTCACCCTCTCACCTCCTGTCCAACCTCCCTCATGTTCCATCCCGCCCTGTTACTTTGATTTTCTTCCCCTATACGCACTTATAGGGTCTCTTGCAAGGAATATGGCTCGAGAAGAGCCGCTTCTGGCCCCGCGCCCCTCCTCTGACCACTCCTCCATCCGCAATGCCGAGGAGGAAGACGCCCTGTTGACCGGGGTCCGCACTCACCGTCACCAGCGCCGGGGATGGGCCCTCTGGAAGGAAATCGGTCTCTTCACCTGGGCCCTGGTCGCTACGGTCGCCGTCATTGTTCTCTCTGTCGTCTATCAGCATGAATCTAGTCGGACCCATGGTCCCTCGAAAGAACCCTGGGGGAAGCCGACCGGCAAACGGAACCTGATCTTCATGGTGTCCGATGGAATGGGCCCTGCTAGTCTGTCCATGACCAGGAGCTATAAACAGCTAACACAAGGACTCCCTATTGACGACATCCTCATGCTGGATAAGCATATCGTCGGTACCTCCCGCACCAGATCGAGTTCCAGCCTTGTGACCGATTCCGCCGCCGGAGCGACTGCATTCTCGTGCGGCCACAAGAGCTACAACGGCGCCATCTCCGTGCTTCCTGACCACTCGCCTTGTGGTACCGTCCTCGAGGCAGCCTCCTTGGCCGGTTACAAGACGGGGCTGGTGGTGACAACCCGTATCACCGATGCGACCCCTGCTTGCTTCGCCTCACACGTGAATCTCCGACAGTATGAGGACCGCATTGCGGAGCAGGAGATCGGGGAACACCCGCTGGGTCGGGTGGTGGATCTCATCATGGGTGGAGGCCGGTGCCACTTCCTGCCCAACTCTACCGACGGAAGCTGTCGAGGGGATGACCGCGACCTGGTCGATATTGCGAAGAAGGGCGGATTCCACTACTTGCACGATCGGGCCGGGTTTGACTCTCTGAACGAAGGCACCGAAACCAAGTTGCCGCTGCTAGGTCTCTTTGCGGAGAAAGATATTCCCTTCGAGATTGACCGCCGCAGCCAGGATGACGTGTATCCCTCTCTCGCGGAGATGGCCCGTGCTGCCTTGACGACTCTCAGCCAGGCCACCGCCGACAGTGACCAAGGTTTCTTCCTCATGATCGAAGGGTCACGCATCGACCATGCCGGTCACGGGAATGATCCCGCTGCCCAAGTCAATGAGGTTCTGGCCTATGACAAGGCCTTCGCAGCCGTGCTGGAGTTCTTGGAGAAGGACTCCACCCCGGGGGTGGTCGTGAGCACCTCCGATCACGAGACCGGAGGGTTGTCGGTTGCACGGCAGTTACACCCTGAGTATCCAGACTACAAGTGGCTTCCCGGTGTTCTCGCCAATGCCAGCCACTCCGCCGAATACGTCAACAAGAAGCTAGCGAACTACCTCGCTGTGGAAAACAGTGACGCTGCGTTGCGCAACTTCGTCCACAAGCTCTTGGTAGAGGATCTTGGTATTTCCGATGTCACAGACGAGGAGGTTTACGCCGTCATCGACCCCGACTCCCCATATGCGCCCAAAGACGTGTTTGCAGACATCATCAGCCGAAGGGCCCAGATCGGATGGGCCACCCACGGACATTCCGGTAAGCCCATACCCACCCCCTCCCTCTTCCCTTCAAAGCACATACTAACATTGACACAGCTGTCGACGTAAATATCTATGCCTCCTCCAACGAACACGGGTTTCCCCTCGTCGGTAACCACGAAAACACTGAAGTTGGCGACTTCCTGGCCAACTATCTAGACCTGGACCTTAAGAGCACAACCAAGAAACTCCGCTCATCCGACTACTGGTCCATGTCTTCCTCCTCCGAGGATAAATACTTGGGTTGGCTCGGCGATCCTCTGGGCGAAGACGTCCGAACCGAAGGACTAGACACCTACCATGGCGAGTTCCGAAAGCGCGGACTCTCCGAGAGAGGCTGCAGCTGTGGCGAAACCCACTGAGCCATTCAGACACATACATCTCATCTATCACCCACATTACTGCCAATGATCTATATTCCATCTACCAATAACGATCTACCAGTGTTGCATAATACGTCCGGTGTACGGCGTCACATTACCTAAACCAAATACATTATTTACAAACATACGACCCCATCCACGACAATAACAGGAGCAAATACCGAATCACACATCACACACCCCCTTCATTTCCCATTTCCCATTGCCACTTTCCCCTTTCCCACAATCATAACAACAATCCAAACAAACCTCCCACCCCCTAACATTCCTCCCCACAACAGGCGGACAATCCGGCGCATCGAACGGTAATAAGAACTTCTCCCGCTGAACAGGATCATTAATCCGATCCAGCTGGTAATACATCTCGCGACAAAAGGAGAATAACATTAATTCGTCATGTTGGCATCGTTGATGCAGGATTCCGATGTATTGGCACATGGTTATGGTAATGTGTTGTATTGTATTGTATTGTTTTGTTTGAGTTCTTCCCTGGTTGCGTTTAGGGAGGGGTGGTATGAGTGATGCGCTGGGTTCTTGGTATCGAGGGATCTTGGGATATGAGATGCAGATAGACGGTTGGAGTAGCTCGGTGGATCGGGGATGGCTAGAGGGTGCGTGCAGTGGACTCGACTTGGGTCTTTCAAGTTGTCATAAAGGAAAGGGGAGAATAAAGTGTCTCTACGGTTTCTTTAACAGAGTGTATGACGATGTCTGAGATCTGTGTCCCTTTGTCCTTTGGCCTTCAATCGAGGTTCTTATTCTGTGAACATGAACGGAGGACAAAGAAGAGTGCATGTACGATTGCATTCATGGCTGTATCTGCCTTGTCTCAAAACAAGTGAATGAACATCAACAGTATTCAATCATCAAGCATGTAGTACAATACAATTAATCCCATCCAAGGATATCCACCTAGCATCACAGCCGACCAATGGCTTCAATCAGCAAACACGTGCTTATCCAGCGGAAAGGGGTATTAGTATGTGTATTCAAGTCATGTTCATGACAGTAAAACGCAACCTCCCATGCGCAGTCATAAAAAACCATCAAGACATCCAATGGAAGAAAACAAAAAGTAAAGGTACAATATCCGACCAAAGACGGGCGTTCGGAGCGCCAGGTATAGAACATGAAACAAAGATTAAAAATGATAGGCAAAGTCATAAAAGAAGGGCGTGCACCGGTGGTCAAGCTATATGAATAAGAATATTCAAGAAGGGAAGATGGAGACTGTCGAAGCTCCTCAGAGGGTGACCAGAACAACAACTGCGACCAAGGCGGCAAAGAATGAGCCTCTCATGACTCGCTCGCTCTGGGAGGCGGCACCACTTGATTCGCTGCCACTGCCACCTTGGCTGAATCCAGTAGAGGAACTCGAGCTGCTGGTGCTGGTGCTGCTGCCGTTGGTTCCTGGAACGTTTCCTGATCCTCCGCGGTTCTCCGGGACCGTGCTATTACTTCCTGTGCTGTTTGAAGAACTGCTGGCACCGAGATTCATGTCGAGACCGGTGGCGCCAAAAGATGCCAGGACGGTGTCATTGTTGGTGATCTGAACCGATTTCGCGAGGCCGTCAGAGTTGGTGAATATGTACGACTTGTTACCAGTCGAAACAGTGCCATTCGGAGGGTCGTAGCATTCAACGGTGATTTCACCAAACGTAGCATAGTAGTAACCCTTGTCTTGGATGTCCTGGCTATCCCAATCGATTTCACCACCAGCCCACTCAATGGTGCCTGGCGCATTGCTGGCTTGACCAGCTGGCCACAGTGACATCTGCATTCTGGATGGGCTCTGGGGGAATTGGTAGCGCTTGGCAGTCTCATTCCAGGTCGATTCCTTGGTCAGGGTCCGCTTGACCTGTCCGTCCACAGACCAGGTGATCGCATCTTCTGTCCAATCGATCTCATAGTCATGCCAATCATCAAAGGTATCGCTGCCATTGATTGCATCCTTCGCTCCGTTGTTGTCTGGAGAATAGTGTTAGCGGTGTCATTTCAGCCACTCGGCTAATATGCTTGGCTTACAATTAAGAACGCCTTGCCAGTAGTAGTTGGTCTGAACATTCGCCAAATCCGAACCAATAAACTCGAAGTCGATCTCGTCTTTGACATCCGAGAGCAGGATAAAGGCTGTAACAACACCAGCGCCACGACTGCTCTTGACTTTGCCGGAAATCTTGCCGTACCAGATGTAGTGGTTGTTAGCAAAGAGACTGCCCACAGTGTTTTTAGGCATAGTGAGGAGAAGATTGCCATTGTCCAGTTTGGGGTAGCCACTGTAGACCCAGTCATATTCGGAGGCGTTTCCGAGATACTTGGTGTTCAGCGCCGCATTATCTAGATTGTCCCACGTGTAGGTCCTGCTTTGACACACCGGTTCGCCGGTGCAGGAGTCAAGAGAGAATGACGAGAGAGGGTCACATCCACCAAGACAGTAAGCCCCCGTGCCACACTCACCGTATTCTAGAATGAGCATTAGTCGATGAAGTGATACAACATAGGGCTAAATTCGAAAAGGGACCGACGCACGAGAGCAGCAGGGATATTCCTCGGGACATTGAGAGCTGGTACTGCAGGTGGGAGCCGAGGCCCAGACGGAAGTGGCGGCCAACGAGGCCAAGAGGATCGATGAAGTATACCGCACCATTGTAACGGGTAGAGCTACTGCGATGCCCGAGAGGTAGGAAAGAGAAGCCGGTAGAAGTATTGGGAGAAGGGCGGAAGGTGTGCAACAAGGAACTGGAGAGAGCGGAGGCATTGATTAGCTTATCAGCAACGATGGCTCCCGATTCAATGTCGTCTTTGTTGCTGGTGCCTGAGCCGGAGTGATGAAACATGGGACGTACCAAATTCCAGTCGTGCCTTCAGTGAACGATAAGGATAACGGGTTCTATATAAAGACGGCGATAGGATGGAAACCGAGAGAGTCGACGAGTGGAATCCAATCAAAGGTGGCGCCGGGAAATGAGGGACCGCGGGAGAGTGTGGATGGGATGGGATGGGATGGGATGGGATGGGATGTATGGATGTATCACCGCTGGAGAGATGGAGGGGGAACGAGTGAATAAAGGGAAAGAGGAAAAGAAGTCGACGACGAAACGATGGAAGGAACGAGCCCTGGTTGTGCCACGAGTACAAGAACAAGAAAAAAAGGAAGGTACCCGAACGGGGAGGCAAAAAGGAGAAGTCATATACTATATACCTCGCGCTGCTCGGCGTGGAAGGTTCGATGCGAATGCAGTCCGGTGGGTGTTCGGTTCGCTGGATTGGCCCACCCAACCTCGAGTACTAGTTCACTGGGCTATACTGGTCCGGTAATTTCACCGGTCCCGTAATGCACGGCCTTTCGTAGGTTACGTCGTATTCCCTGTCGGAGAGAGTCTAGCAGCACGAGAGCCGGGCGAGTGTGGCCCCCGGGGACTTCTTACCCCTTTATCCCCAGAGCTATCGACCATCCCACAACTCGTGAGGGTCAGCTGAAGGGGTGGGAGGAGCACGTTGATCGTGATCTGAACGGCATGTCGTTGGCCCGAAGACCTGGTTTGTCAAGCCCTACCCCAGCGACCGTCAAATGTCCTGATAAGGCTTCGGGACGGCGCAGCGCCGTAAAGGACTGGTATTTACCCAGACATACGGGAGAACGTTCCATGCAAGATCCGTTCTTCTTTCTGTTTAGGGAAGCCGTGGGTGAGCGAATAATCCCTGATCGGCCGCGGGACCCTAGGCTCCAAGCAGACCCTGCCCCACCCCACTCAAAGTTAATTCCTCCGCGGTCAGCGGCGGTCTAAACTCTTATCGGCGGCACTGCTTTGGGCCACCCAGCACCCCGAGCTAGACTAGCCCACTAGTAGTACGGAGTAATCGCACTAGCGCATCCTTGCCCTGAAAAGTGAAAAAGACAAAATGCCCAGAGTGCCAAAGTAATCTACGGGGTCAATCAAAAGGGTTCGGTAGTTCAGTTGGTTTCCATCTTCTCCCCTTTACCACCATTGAACTTCCTCAGACCAGTGCCGAATCTCGTGCTCGCTGGGCGGACAACCAAATATCCCGCCGAGCTACTTAGGCAGGTATCTACATAGCCAAGGGTCCCTCCATGTGGTTCCTGTGACTAAGTCCACAACAAACAACCCCGGTTGGTGCTCCCTTGGTCGCCCACAATGTCTTAGACCAATGGGCGCTTATAGCCCGGAATAAGCCATCGGGGCTACTAAACGGTCTAGTACTACTAGATAACTGTACGTACTCGAGGCACTTGTCCCACTTGACATCCGCTCCCTCCGGCCAAGATAAGAAGTGCGAGACATTCCAATCTACTTACTTGGTCGCGAACGGTCAGTTTCGTCGGGCTTACTCCGTCCTAGCTGGTGACATGGGGTGGGTTAGATACGGGATCGAAAGGGTTTTCCGACCTGGAGCTGCCGCAATCGTCTCGGCAAAGCATTGTTGTCACGCCGGCCGCGCGCATGCCAGATTACCTCACCTGATGACTCTGAGAACCTGCCCGAACCGGGCGGGGATTGGCTGTGTGGTGAAAAGTAAACACTTCGGGAATTTGAGTAGCACAGTGACGACAGTCGCGGGGGAAGGAGCTCGTCAGGGGGGAAGCCAAGCTTGACATGACCGAACAGAAAAAGTAAAATGAAAACAAACCTCCCAGAGAGGGCGATATTTTTAGAAGGCGCCTTTTGCCAATGCCCCGACAGCCGTGGAATGTGGCACTGTCAACACTGTCGCATTGTTCCTCAATGATAACAATGATTTCAATCTCATCTGGCACCGGAGTAGGAACACAATGCAGGGCTCCGAGGCTCACGGCTCCATCAATATCCACAGTGACACCATATGTGTATTGTGTCACCCATCAATCCTAAACGGCTCCAAGTAACTGTTAGCCGGCTAGTAATTAAAACCCATGCCCCCTCATTTTGAAGGCCAACACATCTGAAACCGTGGAACGCATGCGGGTAATCTATCCGATAATTCCATAAATTAATGCGTATTAATCATTACTCGTCTTATCTGCTCGTCATCGCCGTCGACAGGTCCTAAAATTCATCCATCAGTGCCCAGTGGCACCTTCCATCCACGCAGCGCAGCTACTGAACCTTAATGGTGGCCAGAAGCCCGTCCCATTTGCGGATCCGGACACCAATGCAGGGGAAGCTAACTGTTAGGTTGACTGTAGTAGCAGCTCCAAATCCAAATCCACGAAGCTCGGACCACATTATGGGCCCATGTACTGATTCCTGCTCCATATTCCGTGGAAGTACATACTAGTAACTCCGTATGATATAACCATATAACCAGTAACAAAACCCCGCCCGCTGCCTAGGGAGAAACGGCCGGCAGTCTGCATACTGCCAATCCAAGTCTATTGCCAACAATAATGTCTCTCAAACAACACAACAATAACAACAACCGAGCAGCATACTTTCGAACCGGATCAGGTCCCATGTGACGTATACAATTTCCCTACCACAATTTCAATGCCACATCCATTGAATGTTTATGCAAGGGGGACCTCACTGGATAAAAATATGGGGAAATGGAGCGGCCTAATAATATGGAAGACCTACCCACCTTAATCTTGATATGATGGGGGTCATTGATAACTACCTGTCTTCGTGGCGCACATCTCCAAGCCTCTCCATGACTCAAATAGATCCGGTCTCAGCCTTAGATGCGGAGCCCTTCGCTATTCTACTCCCATATACCAAAAGATTATGTGGGATCATACCTGAGATTCATCTTCTTAGAAGCCAAGACGCCATCAAACGAGGTGAGTCTAGATGGTAAAGCGATGCCTAACGTCGTACAGGGACCAGGGGAGGAAGCAAGCTCGGGTCTGGACCAAGTCCCAAGCCCGCTCCCAATACCACCTGGGCAAAAAGAAAGGAAACCCCCGGATGGAATCACATGATGCCGTCAATCCGATTTCCTGGGTCTCATGTCAGACAAGACATAATTCTCAAGGCCGTGGTAATGTGCGAGATCGGTCTGGGGGGAATGGCTTGGTTCATGCGCATACTGTGCCATTATTTTGCAATGTACCTGCCGGTAACTGTGGTTTATACTTTACGAAGTTGCATGGTTGTAGGCTTCTTTCCAAGAGCCAAGCGCTAGATAGAGAAACCTGTCAGCCGATTTCCAACCAAACCGTTCCATACAAAGGGGGTGGTTGATTCCACATGGTCTGTTTGACACCCACTGGGCAGGCTCGATCCCTACACGCTCAGGTACCGAAGCATAGCTTGTTCGGGTGGTGTAACCATCCCAGCCGTTTTCCCCCAAAGTGGCGGGTGCAGTTGCTCTGGCTGCTCTGGCTGCTGTGCAGTGTGCGTGCAGGGCTAGCACGAGGGTGTATTCTCTGTCATGCAGGATATAATACTGACAGGTGTGGTTTAGGTGGGTGGGTGGGAGGGAGTGTGTGTCTGTTCAAGCACAACCTGTCGCTTAGTCGGCAGATGCCATCATGCACGCCATTTGCCTGGTTTGTTCCCCCAGTCATTCATTCACTTGCCACAGTCTGCAGTCTCATAGGTGAATGTCCCCCAAGTCTCTTCTTCTCTCTTCTCTTGTTTCCCCTTCCACCTCGAATCCTGCTCTGGAGAACCCCTCCTTGATCTCGACCACCCCTCATCGCTTCAAGTATCCTCTTTCTCTCACTTTGTCATTACCACACGCTGTCGACTTTTTCCGCATAAAACTCCAAATGAGGCCCTATTCCATCGACGGGGCCATGGCTGAGGCCCTCATCAACCTCAACCTAATCACCTCTCACGTATGTCTTTCTGACGTTGTGAACTCATTAACACGTCGAGGAAACTAACCCAAGTAGTTTCGCGAGCGGGGTCAGAATGGGGTCGCAAACGATATCGGCCAACTTAGTGTTAGGATCGTGGCCAAGTTTTCCGAGGGGGTGGAACATATCTCCACCGATGACTATGCTCTAACCCAGGTGGTAAGCATATAACAGGCTCGGGCTTGCGAAATACCAAACCACAAAGGCTGAACAGACATAGCAGGATGGTAACAACCAAAGTGCCCCAAACAAAGAGCTCCCTTTTCAGAGCCTGTTTCAGAAGCGATCCATCGCGACCCTGCTGGACGGATCAGAGAAGGAGAACAATGGTATCGAGACTGAGAGCCTTGCGGCCCCAAAGGTGTCCATGCATGATGGACGTCTCCTTTCCGCTGGAAGCTGGGCTCAGGTTGCTGGTTCGTTTTCCGAAACCAGAGCTCAACACTCCGATGTGCTGCAGTGCATGTCACCTCTGTCATTGGTTATGGGCTCAATGTCCAAGCGTAGCCAGATCAGTGATGACGATGAAGAAGGACGCGAGTCCGGAGACGCGGGAGTCGCGCTCCCTCCGGCCGCGCAACCTGAGATTCCTGAAGCGAAAGCAGGAGTCATCCGTGTCTATGGAAAAATCACCCGTGATTTTATCCAATACATCACCACCCGCATCCACGAGGGACCCTTGCAAGACATTCGCGTCGAAAGCAATGGAAGGACCAAAGTTACCTTCCAGCACGCGGCTCAGGCTCTTGCTTTCCTCAAGTCCAACCAGGACATGGAGCGGATGTTGGGATATGGACGCCTGGGAGGCGGTTACCGCGTCGAGTTAATCGAACTTGTTGATTGGAATGAAGATCATCGTCGGATGAATCAGCCCATCCGGGAACGCCGTCGCCTCTCCTTCGCGAGAAAGAGGCTTTTTGCTGAAGGGATGTCGCCCGAGAAATGGAAGCAGGACATCCGCGCTATTGCTGGACCCGCAAACATTGATTTCCTCTGGGTATTCAACTCTGGTAATGGTAAGTAGTGCCTTGGACCTTGTGAGCTCAAATAGATACTGACCGCCTGCAGCGACCGCAGTGTTTACGAGCACCATCGTTGCTCGTCGCGTTCTGGAACAATTTGAGGCATGGAAGACCGGCCGAAACGTCTACAGTGGCGTCTCGGTTACTTATTCCTCAGACCCATGCGAGAAGGAGTTGGTTCTGGTTCGAGAAATCAACCGCCCTGGCATGATCAGGAACTTTGTGAAGCGAACCATGCGGTAGCTGCATTCAAGTTTTGCCTGCAGTTGGCCTGACACTTGTTTGCCATAAGGGATAGGAGATTCGTTATCGACCATCCATGTTCAAAGGCATTGGTGGGTATGAAAGGAGGAGAGTAACCAGAAAAACGATCAAAAACATAGGAAAATAAGTTGTGAAAATGGGCGTCGCGTCTGATGCCCGGCACAAGGGGCTGTTGCATCCCTTTGCAAGTTGGAAAAGTAGGAGACTGCCCTAACTCCAGAGTACTGGGATCAGCCGGGGAAGACATGCACGATCCGGACCGTGCCGGTTCAGGGGATTAATCGTACGATGCCGATTATCTGTTCATTTATGGAAATGTCAAGGGATTCTAGGACGACGGAGGACTTTTGCCCATATGCATTTCACCTCTATGTGATGTCCAGCAAGGGGGTTACTCGAGTATGGCTAGAATGTAATGGAGTTGGTCTTAGTCCGCCATAGTCATAGCCCTAGCCATAGCGCTTGGGGGTTATTGGTGCATATCAGCATGGTAGTAGTACCCGGGTTTCACCAACTCTTGTACCGTGGACAGCTTATGTCGATACCAATCTACAACTCTCTACTCTCTCTAGTACCATCCATCCATAGTCTAAATCTCATGACCATCGAAAATCTTCCAGGTTCAAAGAAAATCATCCCCCTGCAATCCCAACATTCCCCTACTTTACTTTTAAACCTCAATAAGCCACCCTCCCATATTCAAAACCAAAATCGACAGTGTACTTGAAGAGTACTCTAAACACACCAGGTCACTAATCACCCTACTACAGTACCTGTATACTTCACCCCGGAGTATTTGAAGGATGCACAGTCGTGAGAATTAACTATGACATTAAGATACAAGGATAAGGATGCAATAAAGCCAAGCCACGCATTGATTGTGATTCAAGCTGCCTGACATGATCTGCAGCCCAATTGAGAATGTATAAGCCAGCCAAGCAAGCCACCCTTTATCCATATAGTAGATAGATCCTCAGGCCATAAAAACAACCATTACCCAACACCAATCAATACCAATGATCTCATTTGTACAAAAATATCTCGAAATACATATATTTCCTCACTCAACCCCAACCCAAGCACATACCACACCATTCTCATCCTCAAACCCTTACTCCGAAAGCGGCGGGAAATTCCTCACGAAATGCGCCGGACACTCATACCCCTCAGGGTTCTTATTCAAATACAACTGATGATACTCCTCTGCATCCCACCACTGACCCGCAGGGACCACGACCGTCGACACCGGCTGCTTGAACCACTCCTTGCTGACCTTCTCCGTCACGTCGTGGGCGATCTTCTCTTGTTCGTCGCCGTGGGTGAAAATCACACTCCGGTATTGGGTGCCGACGTCGGGGCCCTGACGGTTCAGAGTGGTGGCGTCGTGCATGCGGTAGAAGAATTCGAGGAGGGAGCGGTAGCTGACGACGGAGGGGTCGTAGGTCATTTGGAGGGCTTCAGCATCTTAAAAAGGGGAAATATATCTTGTCAGGATGGAATGTATTGGTGGAGGGAGGGATCGATTGGTGGGTAGGGGAATACTCACGGCCCGTATCACCGGTACACACGGCGCGATAAGACGGAGAAGCACTATGGCCACCACAATAACCGACCTTGGCTTCCAGGAGACCTTTTCCGTTACCGAAGTGTTTGCGGAAGAGGTGCTCGACGCCCCAGAAGCAGCCGGCGGCGACGGTCGCCGTTTGGGTGGTGGTGGTGGTGGTGGTGGTGGTGGTGGTGGTGGAGGACATGTTGCGGATAGTGGATGGAGAGGTGAGAGAGAGGAAGAAGGGCGAGCTGCTACTAGTAGTTGAGAAGGGACGAAGAAGGCGTGAGAAGAGGGTCGAGCCGAGGGTGGGCGCCGCGAAGGCCATGCAGTAGTAGATAGGTGGATAGGTAGTGTGAGTGGGCTTTTTTTTTTCTCTATACGCACTTGAATGCTTGTGTTGCTCCACCTCAGGTTTGGGTTCCGCGGGAAGAAAAAGAGGGGCGTCGGGAATTGTTGCGGGAAGGAGAGGTTTTTCAAAGAGAATGGGGGTTAGAGCTGGAGGAGAGGATTGAGGCACTGGTCTGCTATACTGTGATAGAAGTAGAGATAGTAGTGACTGGAAGCTATCTACTATAATAATAATCAAAGGTGGCTGTTGGGGATTTGTCATGGAGGGCGGGTTGTGGCGTCATCCCCGCGCATGACATAATAATGGCGGACGCCTTCTAGAAGCTTGTCCGAACATCTACAGTGTGTACGCTACGGGGCTAGTATAGCTCATAGACTAGTCAAGGAAAGATTCATCCTGCTATTATTATACACATCCCCGGACTAATATATGCCATGAAAAGAGAGAACTCATCAACATCGAAAAGTAATGAAATTACGGGATCTTTCCAAATTCCAGATGAAGCACATCACAACCAGAAAGGCTCAGAGCAGCAGACCGGATCCCAGATCGTGCGGTCTGCATCCCACCCTAAAACACTCGCATGTGGTATCCTTCCCCAAACACCGTCCCATGTACCGATACCCCCCAACAATTAAAACAAAGGAATGGGCCAACAACGCCGTCCGTCTACCTCAGGGCAAATCCAGCACTGGGGTAGAAGCTTTCTGGGGGGCTAGGACCCGCCATCACACTCAGCCTCCGTGGCCGGATGTCGCCTCCAAAGGTCGTACGTCGGTGCGTGTTCTTCATGATTGGGAGAGTCCGAGGGCCCAGCACCCCGGGCTTGCCCTCGAGCTCTTTTTCGCTCTTGACCATCCGCCGGGCCTGAGATGCCGTAAACATGGTGTTCATCGTGTTATTCTCAGTCGGAGAGCTGCCGTACGTGGCGGATGTCGGGCTTCGTCGGCGGTGGATGCGCAGCGTATTGGCCGAGCTGCCAACCCCAAACGATCCCCCCGAGATCCGTCTCATGGCCGATGTGATCTTGATGGCATCATCTTTGCTTGCCTTCCAGCTAGTCTTACTTTCGGCGGCGGGACTGCCCGAGTAGCTGCCACTCGAGGTGCGGACCGCAATCCGAGATGGGCGCTCTGCCGGAGTCCGGTTCAGAAAGCTACTGCCCTCGATGTCGCGGAGGGGGGATTTTCCGTGGTCGGACAGAGGAAGCGTGGTCGTTGGGGGCGGTGCTATTGGGGAACTGCTGTTTTTTTTGGTCAGGAACCCGGCCTTGAATCGACTGTTCTTCTGAATATTGAGCGTCAGCTCGGGAATGGCTGAGATGGGGGGAGAGCCACTTGAAGGGCTAAAGTTGCGTGTGGGCACCGGAATCCCACGAGGAATAGGCGAAGTGCGAGGCAGTTGCGGCTCAGGGCTGTTCTCGGGTATGGTGGTAATTTGCGTCTTTTGCGGTGTCTTTTGAAATTCGGTCAATGTGCCTTCGTGTTCGTCATCCTTCCATCGCACGCCTCGCTTGGTTGGTTTCGGTTGCGTCTTCTTCGGCGAGAAACTCACGCTCTTCCTACCAACGTTCAGTTTGCGACGGCGAGGGGATCCCTTCGTCGGCGAAGGCGGTGCTGCCGTGGGAGTCAAGATGGGTGCGAGCATGGTTCGACTAGTAGGCACCGCAGTGGCTATACTGAGCCGCTTCTTTTGCTTCACAGGGCTAGCCTTAATCGGACTCAACGGCATGGGTGGCAGACTGCCGTCCGGCTTCACGATGCTGGAGGCCGTGCTGGAGCAGGAATTTAGCATCTTCGCGAGCATTTTCTTTCCCTGGTCGATGGCATCTTCTTCACTCAATTGCATCAGATTCTCGAGCTCGGTCATTAGCTCGAATTGTGCCTGAAGTAGCAATTGCACCGTGGCAGCTTCGCCCGCCTTGTCCTGTTCTGCTACTGCCGCCAGAGCCTCACGGTCAGCCGTCGCTCTTAGTAATTCGGCCTCGCGAGACATATTGACAAAGTCGTTGTTGTCGCTAATATCGAAGTCTTGTAGCTGACGAACGGCGTGTTCCACTGCGGAGTTCATGCCGCGGTCCCACGTACTTCTCGCCAACCGCTGATGGTAATGTTGCCTGCTACTCTCCAGCTCAAGGAGGATCCCCTGGGCGGTTTTGCGGACTGCCTGGAGGTTCGACAGTGCGTCGTCGATCTCGCAACTCGCACAAACATGGTCGAAAGCAGCGATCCACGAAGACAGTAATCCGATCCGGCGACTGATCTGCTTCTGTTTAATCATGTGGTTGGTCCTTTCCTGCCTCTCTGACTGCGAGTGGTCGTACGCATTGCGAATTCGAGACAATCCTTCGCGGATAACGGCATCTTTCTTTTCGGTCTGCTTCTTGAATTTGGCAAAGGCGACCTTCTCATAATCCTTCTGCTGGGCTTTCAGTTCGTTAATCAAAGCCATCTGTTCATCAATCTTCACCAGGAAGTCCTTGACGTGACGGTTGACATTAAAGACGTTTCGAGTGACCTTCGTCTGGATATTCTTCGCTCTATTCGCATATCTAAGGGTGTTCTGCGTCTCGTCAAAGTGCTGGCTCGATGGACTGACACAGACAATCATCACGGTCTTGCAATTACCGCCAAGCGCGAACTTGAGAAGACGCGTCAGCTTCGAGTTTCTGTATGGTACGTGGTTTCGCTTCCGAGGGTCACAGAGTGCATTGATGCAGCTTCCGAGTGCCAGGAGGGATTTGTTGATGTTTGCACCTTCAAACAACCTCTCGCCTCGATTCTTGGTTGCGCTGGCACGCTCGCTGCCCGCAAGGTCGATAATGCTGAGGGTCGCCATTGTATGGGGCTCATTCACATCGGCATTTCGATCTTTCTGTGCAATGTTGATTTGGAGGACTGCGTGCGACCGCGAAGAGGTCGCATTCGCCTCGGTCGGGGACATGGTCCGACATTCATTGCCCCTCATGATCATATCCATGACTTGCTGCACATTCTGCGGGTGGTGGCTCGACAGTCCAGACACCGAAACTGACTTGTTCGAGTCCTCTCGGAGCATCAGCCCGCCTTTGCTACCCCCGGGGACGAGGAGATCCCGGATGGTCTCGTTGTAGATCTCGAGGTATGAAAGCGAAACCTCCGTCGCCTTTTCTCCAGACCGCTCGTCTATCCGTTCGAATAACTCCTGCATCGTGAGAAAGATAATCCCCGGTTGTTGCGCGGTACCAGTAATCGTGTGAGTCTTTCCACATCCGGTCGCACCATAGGCAAACACCGTGGCGTTATAGCCGTCGAGGACGCTGTCGAGAAGGTTTCGGGTGGTCGACTCGTATACCTCTCCTTGCGATGCATTCTGGTCGAAAATCCGGTCGAATGCAAAGGTCTGGTCCTTGACGCGTTTTCCTTGGGGGACCACACTCTTGGAGAATTTCTGAACAGGATTGTCCTCTGGGGGGTCGAATACTCTGTTGCAACTCCAATTAAATCGTGCTAAGAGACAGGCAGCATGGAATGGATTCAGACATACAGGCATCTGTCATCGATAACCTTGATGATAGAGCGAAGGCCCTTCTGATTGAGCTTTGGTGTCGGTGCTCCAGCTAGGGACCCGTCACCGAGGAAAAGCGGGCCATCTTCGCACTTGGAAAGCTGCGCTGCCTCCCGGATGGTGAACGGTCGGACTCTGACAGCAACGGTTATAGAAGACGAGTCACTGGTGGCGGCCATGGTTGTTCTAGGTGACAGCAGAGGCGCCACGTCCCTCTAGAGGAAAGCTATCGCGGATCGAGGATTCAACGCGGAGGGTGGCTATCCAGGGAGTCTGCGACGCCCTGTATCGTCGGCGAGTCGAGTAATATGGAGACAGCGAACAGGAGAAGATAAGAATTGAGGATTTGACCGTGAGAATGTTGACTGTGGACCTGTTTTTCCGTCGGCCCCAAAGACTCCCCTGTTGAGCGACGCTGAGGGACTAGGTCGAGCTTCTGCCGGACTGTTGACATTGGCTTGTTTTCCACCGCCTGTTGCTCCGAGCAACCACCGCGTGTGTCGATAACGTAAATAGGCCGTGCCCGTCACGTCATCTTCCTCAATCGCGGCTGAGACTCGGCGAGACATGTCAGTATGCACGGCAATCAGCTGATAGTACCACGCACCATTGTTTCCTGATTGGTCGACTGTTTGTTGCAGTTATTGAAATGGTTGGATACATGATTCATAGATCAATGCTTTCCTTGCTTTTTGTCTGTGGTGTGTAGTACTCTGTACTCCGTAGTACATACTACTGCAAAGCCCCGATAAAAAGCCAGGGTCAACGTTATCGAGTTCAATCAATGTACCTAGCTCGTCTTATAAGTTTGTCTCATTGGCTCCACCACAACGAGCCACGACAAGACGAAATATTTATCTAACACGGAGCCGTTACACATCAAATTGTCGACATTTTTTTGGCAGGGTACCCTGAATTGAGATAACAGACCACGTGGGTTCCATTATGCAGTGTCATCTCACAAGAAAACAGGATCACCAACAATGCTAAAGTTTCGTATGTCCCTATCCGATGATTCCTACCAGCTTCATATCCATCCTATGCCCATCCACAATATCGTAAGGTCTTCTCACAATACTATCCATAAGAATTCTAAAAACGCCGCCTATTCGTGCCTCATATCAACCATGCGCCAGTCCATGAAAGCCTTGCTGAACTCCACGTCGAAAGAAAGATAACGGGATAAAGATGTGACTAGATGCCTCGACTGAGATCTTCTTCCTCATCATCCAAGCTCGGGACGATGACGTCCCATCCGGGATCATCCAGTTCGAGATCAATCATTTCGTCTCCCTTCTCAGTCTCCTCAGATTCACCCCTGGCCTTCCGGAACCTGAAAGCGATCGGTTGTCCGTTCCTAATCTCGGCCCCTTGCAGAGTAAGAGCGCCGGTACCTTTCTTTGCAGCTCCTCGTTTAGGGGCGTCATCATTATCGAACGCCGACACCTCAACCTCCAGTCTTGTCCAGCCCTTCTCCAAATCATTTTTATCTACCGGAACACCAAGTTCAATATCGGACGAGTCTTCCGGGATTATATCACCGTTGATATCCTGGAGACCGCGGGATTGGAGGGCACTGAGGAGTGATTCCTTTGTGGTGGCGATCGTCTCCGACGGCGGGAGCATCAGAAGCACGGTGGTTTTGTGCTTCTTGAACAAAAGAGTCCAACTCAGAGGGTCGGGAAGAGACTATCGACACATACCAGATTAGCAAATTGCCAGACCCAAGCTTAATCAAAATAGTCACAATAGTTACCATGATGTAGACTCTGAGTATTGTTGTATGGGTTGTTGATCAGTGAGCTTTGGCGGGTCCTCGGAGCTTTTCGAAGGGACGGAAGTCGGCGTACCGCTCAGGTCTTCCGACTTCACGCCAGCGATTTTATGCTCCCCGGAGAAGCTGACCATCACCATCACCACCGACATCACTGCCAACTTTCGCGATTGCGCAATCCACAACAATCGTATCCAATAGTCAGCGGCCTCAATTGCAAGCAATTCTCGCCATGGACGACCAAGACCCTTCAAACAAATATAATGAGCACTCGCTCTCATACAAGATCATCTATTGGGACAAATTCTTCGAATCCGACGCGCCCCCTAGACTTGGGATGGGCATTAGAAAACGTGTCAACTATGTTACCCTGTCTGCATTCTCCGCCGGTCTGGGTGTCGGGTACGCTCATGGTAGCAAGATGTTGGCCTACCGGTTTCGTGCCGAAAACGCGCATCGCTTCCCCGAGACGCCGCAGGCGTGGTTCCAGTACCATAAGACGAAGAATTACACGTCGCTTATCGGGGGTATCAAGGAGGGCTTTAGAATGGGAGCCAAGCTAGGTACTGGTGCTTTATTGTTCTGTCTCTTCGAGGAGACGGTGGATTATGCCCGACACGACCAGAGGGATTTCCTATCCACGGTGACTGCCGGGCTGTCGTTTTCTGGCATCTACAGTCTGCTGGGTATGTTTTGCATTGGTTCTTTGGTTTGGGGGCATGGGCTAAGAAATATGTGTTCTTTAGGTCGACATGATGTTTACACGGCAGCTCGGACGGCGAAGCTGGGTCTGAAACTGAGCTTGGCTTATGGGTTGATGCAAGACGCTCTTGCATACGCCAAGGGCAATCGTCCTGCCTACGTTGATTTCATCATGGGGAGTCGCCGGTCAAAGACTGAATGAGAGCCTCGGAATCTGCATAACTACTTTTCTCTGGATATCTTCGCCCATTGATTGCTGTGGTTATGGTCTCGCTTCGCTCGGGTGCAAGCTCCAATACCTAGCCATCTTCATTTGGATAGGTGCAACCGAGATCTCTGCAAGTCTCTATTGAGGTAAGTACTTGCTTTCCTGGATCCGATAGGATATATGCTGATGGGGGGAATGCCAGCATTTCTAGGGTGGTTGCACATCCTGCTTCTTTATCTCTACTCTCCACTATACACATAAGGGGCCTCCAACTCCCACGCTCGTCCCGTGCTACTTGAACCAAAGAGGTAAAACCCTGGATCGACCAGAAAGCCGGGTGGCGTTCTTATACCTGGATTGCCGACAGGCAACAAATGCGCCGGTAGAATGCAAGGCGACGGCGCCCGGTAATGAGTGAAAGGAGTTGATTGGAATATCCTGGGATGAAGATTATGGAAGGACGGAAGGGGGCACGTTCGACTCCTTTTTTCTCAATATTCCCTGGGACTGTTGATATGAAGGCACAGACTACCTAGTCACGTTCATCCCTGAATGTGGAAGGAATCCATGGAATGATGAAACGGAACAACCACATCGCTGTCCTAATGTAGTACTCTTCCGTGTGCCCCCGTCACCTGACTGTCCAACTTACTTCCCAAAGCGGCCCCGGGTACTTTGCATGCGCACGAATCCTGCCCCCGAGGATGGTCCGGTAGGCAGTAGACCTGGTATCATGGCAGGGAAAGTGCTGAGGAAGTTTGAAGGGACCATCGACACTGTTGAGGGAGGATTGCATGGTCCCCCATGCAGGTGAACAGGCGATACAGATCTGCCCTGGGGACGGGCAGGTCCTGCAAACAATTCCATTGGGCTGGCAGAGATCGTCCGTCTCCTCAGGCTTGCATTACTCTTGTTGTTCTTTTTGATTTTTCGGCGACTCAGGCTGAAGAGGACTGACTAGTAATGCGTCCGTCGTACTAGATCGTACTAGTCAGTTGGACTGGGGGGGCACACTTTCCCCACCCACAGATTATTGAGACCTGTCACTGCCCAAGAGACACAAGACCACCAACCAACCCAGCTTTTGTACTCCGTAGTATTCCTCTGCCTAATAATTGGGTGAAAAAAAAGGGAACCTTCGAAAAAGCATTGGCCTCGAGCTCATGGCTATCCATTCTCCCTGCCGGGTTTAATTTACAGACCGGTGTTTCGGTTGGGTCGTGCTCCCCACCATCCATTCCATCCGCACAGCGTTCCCGCCATAATGGACGGGAATCGATTTATTCGACGAGGGGGGGGAAAGAGGGTAGATCGACCTCTTGTATTCAGTCATCATTGATCCCATACAGATGGGATGTCCTTGAATGTCTGTGGGCAATCTGACAATTTGACTCACTGCCGAGCAAAGGAGAGGCCCCGACCGAACTCTGGAGACTGTGAGAGGCTCCGATCGAATCGTCATTGACTTTGGGCTTTGGAGCAGCCGGAGCGGCGGTGGAGCAGCAGCGCGTTATTTGACGTTTGGTGATCCCCGCTTTGAAGGGCTGCTGGGCGGCTGCACCACTGCACCAGACCTTCTGGTCCGCCGGCTAGACTGAACCACTAGCTCCTCCCAAGCAGCATGCTCGTCCGCCTTTCTCCAGAATTATTATTATGATTTTATTATTATTATTGCCGTTGCTGCTTCGCATCATTACCGCTCTTTGCTCGCCCCTCTGGCGCCGTGTTATTGTCGCATAGAAGCTATTCAGCTGCCCTCGCCCACTCTCAGCTCCTCCTCCTCCTACTCCCACCCCTCCCCGCACTGTCGTCCTCAGCAAAGATGCCTTTTTGAGAGCTTCCTTTCCCCCGTGATCTCATTCTCGTCGACGTCATCGGTCCATTGATTGCTTAGCACGCTGGCCATCAACTACATGCTGGCCCTCTCGAGTCTCCTCACCAATTTCCTCCGCTCGTGTTCTCGCCTGCCTTTCGTGGAAGGTCTCACAACCGGCCCATCATGCGGCGCCATGGCAGAACTAGTGGTGGCTCGACCAAGGCCGTCCACCCCATCTCAGACACCGCATCGCTGTTACATTCCTTTGATTCGCTCACGAATCCCAATCGTCCCGTACGACCGTCGCCCTTGACCTCGTCTAATATCCAGGCCCTCCCGCTGGACCTGGTCGATCGATTACGCTCCTTTCCTTTGTTCCAATCTACCCCCGAATCCTTCTTGATCGATGTCGGCCAGCACCTCCGCCCACAGCTCCATGCGCCCAATGACTATATCTTGACGGAGGGGGACGAGGCCAAAGCCATTTACTGGTTGGTCCGGGGTGCCGTGTCTGTGACCTCTCGCGATGGCGAAAGTATATACGCGGAACTCGAACCGGGGGCGTTCTTTGGCGAAATTGGTGTGCTCATGGATCGCCCGCGGACGGCAACCATCATCGCCCGCACCCGATGCTTGCTTGTCGTCTTAACCAAGGAGGACTTTCGGAGTATCCTCCCTCGCTTCCCTGATGTGGAGCGGGCAATCAGAGACGAGGCTCAAGAGCGGCTGATGATCCTGGAGAAGAAGAAAAAGGAGACCTCCGCGCCGCCAGTGGATCTCGTGAGTCCAGCGAGAAAGGGGTCGAAAAGACTGCGGGACGCATGCTCCGGTGACCTGAGTCTCGTAGATCAGGACGGCAGAAGCTTGAAGTCCGTCAATAAGAAGCGAAAGTCCCCAAGTCCTGGATTGGCTGATGGATCCTCCAGTGCGTTGGCGAACGGACTGGTAAATGTCCGTCTATTACTCAAGGAGCTGCCGCTATTCGCCGGCCTGCCGCCGGATATCCTCCATTTCCTAGGTCTGAATGCGCAACCACGGTCTTACCCGCCATTCACCGACATCATCAAACAAGATTCCCAGGGTCGGGAGATTTACTTCATTGTTCGCGGTGAAGTTGAAGTCCTGTCGGAGAGAACGCAAATGCAGCACGCGCATTCCCTACCGAACACGATAGAGCATCCCAGCTTTGAAGTGAAGGCGCGCCTGAAACAAGGGCAATATTTTGGTGAGGTCGTGAGTCTCTCGCTTGCACCGCGCAGAACCGCCACTGTGCGATCCATCAGTGCGGTGGAATGTTTGATGATCAGCGGTGAGGTTCTAGTAGAATTCTGGGAGAGGTGTCCTCCGAAAGTTCGCGGACAGGTGGAAAGAACTGCCAAGGAGCGCCTCCAATCAGCGTCCGATGGCGATGTTGTGATGTCAGAAGCGGGAAGCGCTGAGCAACCAGCAAGCGAGCTAAGTGTCGATGACAATTTCAAGATTAGGGCCGCTCGCAGACAGTCCATGCCGCTTCTGACCCTAACTGAAACGGAATTGGACAGCACTCCGAAAGTCAACGGGGTAGATGAACCAAGTGTATTGCGGCCTTCCGATCCGGATCCTTTCCTCAGCGTGGGCTTGGATAAAGTCCGACTTCGAAGCCGGCGCAGTTCTGTGGCCCCGTTGACACCGGAGGAGGTTGCTGGAGAGCAACAGAGGTCGTCGCCTCCATCAGAGCCTAGATCCACCAGTTCGTCCTTTCTCACGCTGCCCGGAGCCGGCGAGTTCTCGGCACCCTCGGAGATACTCCGTGAACCGCGTCGTGATAACCACGGCTTACTTCCCGACAGGGTGCTTCTGGTTATTTTCCAGCACCTCGAGCTCCACGATCTTCTTCGCCTCAGGGCAGTCTCGATGCACTGGTCGGAAATCCTCAGCAAGTCAACGGAGTTACTTCATGACCTGAACCTGAGCTCATATAACCGATGCGTCACCGACGACGTGTTGGTGAAGATCATTTGCCCGTTTGTGGGCAGCAGACCGCGTTACATTGACATAAGCAATTGTTTCCACATCACAGACGAGGGGTTCAGCAAACTGGTTACGACGTGTGGCCGTAACGTTGTTGGGTGGAAAATGAAGAGTGTCTGGGATGTCACAGCATCTGCTATCCTCGATATGGCTAGCAAAGCCAACGGTCTTCAGGAGGTTGATCTCAGCAATTGTCGGAAAGTCGGAGATACGCTCCTAGCTCGAATTGTCGGCTGGGTCGCGCCTGGCCAGCATAAGTCGAACGACGAGACAGGCAAGACGAGCAAGGCGTCCATGAAGCCTACTAGGCAGACCGCAGCCGGGACCGTTTTTGGCTGCCCCGAGCTAAAGAAGTTGACCCTGTCTTACTGCAAGCACGTTACGGACCGGTCAATGCACCATATCGCGTCTCACGCCGCCTCGAGAATCGAGCAGATGGACCTCACCCGTTGCACCACCATCACCGACCATGGATTTCAATACTGGGGCAATGCCCAGTTCACCAATCTTCGGAAACTGTGTTTAGCGGATTGCACATATTTGACTGATAATGCCATAGTCCATCTTACAAACGCCGCAAAGCAGCTGCAGGAATTGGATTTGGTAAGGAAATGAACCCACTGGATGACAGACTCACTGACTGTTGACAGTCATTTTGCTGCGCTCTCTCTGACACCGCCACAGAGGTGCTCGCGCTGCAATGCTCCCAATTGACCTATCTCAATATGTCCTTCTGTGGCTCTGCCATATCTGACCCCTCTCTGCGCAGCATTGGCCTGCATCTTTTACATCTCAACCGCCTTTCAGTCCGGGGATGTGTTCGAGTCACCGGCGCCGGAGTCGAGGCGGTTGCAGACGGTTGTAATCAACTCATGTCCTTCGACGTCAGTCAGTGCAAAAATCTTCACCCTTGGCTCGAAGCCGGGGGTCCTCGCAAATACGGAAAGAGAATCTCCTTCGAGACCGTTGCGCTGAACGGACGAGTCTTCCGCTGATCCACTGCGGCGCGCCTTATCAAAAGCTCCACGAGCTCAACATCCCTATGGAATGGCCCCCATGAACGGGCGGTCATAAAGCCCTATCTGCGGAAATCTATTGTCTAATGTCCGAAACAATCATTGACCTCTCACTCCCTCTTATCCTCCACCCTTTATCCGCTGTCACATTTCTTCTTACTTTCGTTGGAACGGCCTTGGGATCGGATCCTGTGGAGTCGTGTTTTCGCCGGGAGGACTTTCCAGACTCACGACTGATAATCGTCATGGGTCTAGCTGCATTGCACTGACATCTGGAGCACATTTACCTCAGGCTGGCTTCTTAGGTTTCCTCTTTTGGTTGGGATGGTATTTCATGATTACTTTCCTGGTTATAACGGACTCGGGCATGGGAGGAGTTGATCTCTGATCGCAGAGCATATATATGGAAGCATAGGGTGTATGAGAGGCTGGCTCGGTAATACTCATCTTGCATGTTGGAGCTGATGATGGTTCCCAACTTCCTGTACCTTAGAGTTCCTTTTCCCCCTTTTCCCTTTTCGTCCTCTCCGCCAGCCCATTCAGTGCCTCTTTGAAAGCCCTCACTCAGTCCCCTATACCTTTGCTTTGAAGAGGGGAGGGGAGGGCTTGCGTATTCGAATAGAACGAGCTTTCTCCGTGCCAGTATGGACTGCAAAATGACAGATCCTTTTGTCCCCTCGCAATCTTTCGTTCTTTAACTTGTTTTCTCGGAGGATGCGTTTCTTTGTTTGTTTGTTTTTTTTTTTTTTTTTTTTTTTTTTCTTTTCTTTTCTAATGTCCTTGTTATCGGAGATTGTCGCCCGGAACAGAGGGACCTGATAATGGGATGATGCTGAAAGAGAATGCTGGACGAGAAGGGGTTGGTGAAAGGGCAGTGCAATGAGAATAACGGAGGAATGCGACAAAGACACCACTGGGGGTTGAGACACCTGCCGATGGGCTCCTGGCGGTCTCAGGCCAGGCCGGGCATTGTACGGAAGGTGCCCTTTGTTGGCTGGAGTTTGTCGCCTTCCCCTGGGCGTGACGCACCTTTCATGCCAACAAAGTTCTCTGTCGGTAAATGCCCTTTACTGTTCGACAAGTGCCTTGTTCGGTCGGGTGGGAGTGATGGTCTGGTCTACAAGGATAAATAGAGGGTCTTTCCCTGGAGATGCCTACATCTTCCTGACAGCACTGTCATTGCTAGTGGCATCTTTCATTCAATTCACTCCTACTATCACTTGGTAAGGTCTTGCTTGAGCGTTCCTTCAAGAGTAACTTACCGGCATGTCCAGTGAAATGACCGCAAAGAGAACGTCTGACCAAGCTGGCCTTGGGGACGAAGCGAAACGGGCCCCCAAGCGGGCAGCGAAAGTGGCGACCCCCATTCACGAGGAAGATGGCAACCCTGACATCCCCGACTTCCCACACCCGGATGCTGTGGCTGGGGGCACTCCGACAGACGATCCGGTCTCCTTTGACGAGAACGTCTGGGGGGGCATATTGAGACAGCATGATCTTATGGACGAGCCCGAAGGCTGGTCCCTGCGAGACGCCATACTTGAATGCCCCGAGAAGGAATTGCGTCAACTCTTTGGCAACAACTGTAATGCTGTGGACATCGTAAGGGCAATACTTCCGCCTGAAATCGATCCCTCCACGGACCCTGCAGCGGGTGAAGGCGCACCGGGGGTTGAGGGTGCGGGAACAGATGCATATGGGGAAGAGGGGCCTGGAGAGGACCCAAATCGCGAAGACGATGAAGAAACCGCAGCCAACACCAAGAAGAAACGGGGTCGCCCTAAGCTCAAGGGCTCCAAGGGCGCCAGGAGAGTCGGCCGTCCAAGGCATTCCCCCAATTGCTATACAGAACAGGTGCGCGCGAAATACCGTCAGAAGAGCAAGTCGAATCGAACGCACAATGCCTGTGACCGTTGCAAGGTAAGTGGCCTTTGAGACGCCGATATTGGATGGGGAACTGACTCTCTCTTTTGAAATAGGCCCGGAGGGGGACTTGCGACAAAAAGTCCGAGCGCTGCAACGCATGTGAAGTAGTCAATCAGGCATGTGTGATGACCGATCCCAATACACTCGAGACTTGGCCTCGTGGAGCCTGCCGGAAATTCTTTCGACGGATTTTGGTCCTGATCAAGCAGATGAATCAAATCCAAGATGCATACGATGGATCGCGAAGCAAGGTGCAGATGCTCGAAAAACGACTCATAGAACTTGATCATACTTCACCGGCTTACTATCCGGGGACCCCCGTCCAGAACCATCCCCTTTCAGCGTCTCGCCGCCATTACAGGGCTGTCCCTCGAAGCCCTTATCCCACGATGCAGCATAGTGGCCCCTTCAATTACGTCTCAGCACCACCCGCCCCCCAGGATATACCGCAGCCGCACCAGTGGGACCACTACAGATTTACCAATATTGCGCCGCAGCAGCCGCAGCCCGCTGGCTATAATCCACAACAAGAACAAAGCCCTGGCCAGCGAGCAACCCAGCGTGACCCGAGCTCTTCAAGCCGGAACTCCCGGTCTATCCCATCTCAGCCGCCGCAACCGCGACGACAGCCACAGCCACAGCAGCAGCAACAACCACAACCACCACCACCACAGCAAGGTCAATCTCCATCCCAATACCCTAACCACCGTCGGTCCTCATCCCAAGCCACCAGCGCTGGCATCGACTTCAATGAACTTGCGATGAATTCCATCGCCGCACCAAACTTCATGCCCATGAACAGCGGCACCGCACCACATATGTTCTTCCCGCCCTCGCTGTACCCAACACCGGGGATTTCGCTTGGACCCTATGACCCCCTGGTCTCGTCTCAGAATGATATAGATCAATTAATTGGTTACTCTCATCTCCATCCAGGGGATAGCTTTGAATCCTATACGAATTTCGAAGTACCTGGTGTCGACAGTGCGTTCGACCCAAATCCTATGCCAGCTATACAGGGCGGCACGACAGCACCGACTCCCAGGTATCCGAACGGATCTACCAGTCAACACTCTAATCATGGCGCAGTATCCAGGCTCCCGACAGTATATCGAGTCAATGATGCTGACGATGTCGATAATGCTGACGATGTCGATAATGCTGACGATGTCGATAATGCTGACGATGTCGATAATGCTGACGATGTCAATGAGGAGATCAAATGTGAACCTGCTGACGATGGGTTGGTGCTTGTAGATGCAGAACAAGCCATACCTGATGGATCGGGTGGCGAATAGAGAGATGTTGCTTTTTTTTGCTCTGTATAATTCAGAATGGGGTCTTTTCCAATTCAGACTTGGATGGTTGGATTTGGAGTGGTTGTATCTCAATTAACATGTTTTGTCTTACCCCTTTTTTCTTCATTTTTTCTTTTTTCATACTCTATCTATTCCTCGATCCTAGGCTATATATTCTAGTTATAGTTGTTGTTCCTGTTGATACTATATATTATAATCTAATGACGATGGAAAGCTGCGGATAACCTGATAGTATGCGAAACTGGTTTAGTAGTTATATATTGTTTTGTTCTGTTTTTGTTTTCTTCTCTCAAGAAAAGTTATGTTGATTGTTACTAATTGTTAATGCTGGTGTTATTTGACTGATTGTTTGCATTGGATTGAGTTTGAAATCTAATGAAAGGGCAAGCCTTGTGTATATACCCTCCCCCTTTTGTCGGCGGCTTCTCTTGAGACCAAAGAGAAGAAAAAAAAAAACCAAAAAGGGTTCAGAAAAATAGAAGAAAGGTTTTCTTACTTATCTTCGTATATTCCGTACCGTGTCTTTTCAAAAAAGTATTCTTATAGGATTGTTAGAAGTAGAAAGTTGTGGGGTATACAAGAAGCCAAATAAGTACCGTACAAACGGAAGAAGTCCAGAATAACCCAACCACCAACCACCAAGCCCTAAGCCGGCCGAGATCAACTCCAAATCAAACTACTAGTACACTAGCACCATACCCCCCTTCCCTTCCTATTCATCGTTTTATTTTATACCCAACACAATAACTGATATCCAAAGAATAAGATGCTATGTTTGCTTCGTACTCAATGTAGAGATGGCCGGCATCTTATTTTGAATCGTCCTTTTTCTTGGGTCGATAGCAGCAACAAATACCTTTGCTTTCGCACCATCTTCGTACGAAGCCGGCGCCGACTTCGCGGTCCTCGTTGATGAGGCTCAAGCCCTCTGTGTTTAACCATGTCGTGAATTCTTCGAGTGGGATTGGGTCGTACATGAGGATTTTCTCGTGCCAGGTGGGTCCGGGTCGGGGGGCTGTTAATCGGGGCTGTGCGCGGATGGCTTTGGTGATTTGGTCGGAGAGGTTTGGGAGAGGGTTGTTTTCTGTTGACGTTGTGGTGATGTGTGTGGAATTGGTTCTGGAGGTGAGGCGGCTGGGACTGGATGGTAGGTGGGAGGTGGGGAGAGAGGGCTTGGGTATTGTGGTGGTGTGTTGGAGGAGTCGGTTCTGAAGGCGGCTAGGGGAGGGGACTGCTTCGTCTTCTGAGTCTTCGATTTCTTCTACGTCTGCGAATGAATATTTTGGTGTCTTGCTGGGAGTTTGTGTAGGTTTTGGTTTTGGGGTGTTGCTCAGTGACGTTGAAGGTGGAAGGGAAGTGGTTTTCTTGCTATTGACGGCCATTGCTGAGGGAGCATCTTCTGTTATCGTTGACGGCGTGCGGGATTGAGCTTTGCCCCTTGAGTTTGTATTGGTTTTCCGTGCGGTGTTTTTTCCTGTTGTTCTATGGTTTGGTTTCGACGGTGAAGGAACGGCTTCCGACACTTTATCAGCAGGCGGGTGTTGCTGGGGATTCTCATCGTTTGGTTGCGAGCTTATGCCGTTCTTCGCCTCCCAGCATTTTTGGAGCAGTTCGATCATCCTTTTCCGGCCCTTGATCGGCTTGAACCCGTATTTGGCAATCTGCTTCGATAGCTGGGCATCTGTGAAGTCGCTATACTGTGGCATCCGAGGGCGGGGCTTTGGTGCTTGCGAAGTAGTGTTTTCAGTACTCTTATTCCCTGTCTGTGTGGGCTGAGTAGGTAAAGTAGACGGTTCATCGCACACGGTCGAAGTAGCTTCTGGCTCGCCGATATCCTTCTGGATAGGGTTGCTGGGGCTGCCATTACATTCAGTCGCAGTATCTGTTCTGTCTTTGCTGAGGTGTTCGCCCAAAGCGACAGGGTCGGATCTATCAGGTGAATCCAACAAGTCCACGACTTCCACCTGCATTAGTGAGCCGTCGACATCACGAGATGCAACGGACCATAAGTTTCCTGAGCCTGTGAAACGCGATACCGCAGATGAGGTTCCCTTGCTCAACCCCTGGTAGGGACGGCCATTGACTTCCGACATCATACTCTGTTCTGACTCATGAATTGCTGCCTGCAACTCTCGTATTGTTATAGGAGAGTCCTCCCGCTCCAGCTGGCTGCATGTTCCAAATATAAGCTCCTGGTCTTCAAGGGACTTGGCGGCTTCTTCAGGAGAGAGTACCACGAATTCGGGTCCACGGGACTTCGAGCTTTGTTGGCCCTTTTTCTTGGACCTTGAACCCCTGGGCTTTGTTGTCGAATTACCTTCAACGGTTGTAGTTCCTTCGTCCACAATATCCGAGCTTTCTGCAGATTCGTTGAGATACTTCGCTGTCACGCGGGCAGTGAGTGTGGTAAATTTAGTGGCACGCTTCTTTGGTTTCTTCTGCGCAGCTGATGTTGGATTATGAGGCTCATTCCCTGTGTTGTTCTTTCCATCGATGTTGATAGCGCTTTGCTTAGGAGCAGGATATACTCCAGGATCAACTAGCTGCTCAGAGTGAGTATTGGCCCAATCCTGAAAGCATCACGAGTCATACCTCTATTCGCCTCCGTTTTGTTGGCCCGCCATCCTCGGAAGCCACATAGTCGCTTGCAGGAGCAGTAGCCCCATTGAAGCCATATTCAGAGAGCAAGTTACCGAAACCACTCCCATTGTCATCCGACCCTGGCCTGCCATCCAACTCAATGATCTGCTTGGTCTTATTTTGTGTGGGCGTCCAGTCCAGTCTCCTCGCCATTGCTTGTTCTAGCTGTAGGCCATCGTCATCCCATTCGAGCGCTTCGGTAGCCTTCGGTGCTGAGGAAGCCCGCGGCGTTGATGGGCAATTATCCTGCTCTTTGGCTCCCTTGGGCTGTGAACTGCCTGCCTTCGCAATCCTTCCTGAAATAGTTCTGTTTGCCGGTGTCGAGCGCTTCGTTGTCGTTTCGCGTTTCTTCGGGGCGCCTGTTGTTGACTTTTTCGAAGCGTCCTTTTTCTTGCCCGCGACAATAGGCTCCGACTCCCCAGGAGCTTTCGTCAGCTCTTTCCTCGGTCTACCCCTTCGCTTCGGTTTCTCTGCGACAGGTTCTCCGTCGATCGCTAGCACAGCTGACTCATCATTGGTCGAGGTATTAGGCGTCTTGTTGACTTTCTTCTGGTATGGTCCATCGACCTGTTTTTTGATCTTGAAAAATCTGGAGTGCGTCGGAGGCTGAAACAGCTCCGATGGAGACTGTAGCGGTGTCGTGGAGGTGTCAATCGGAGACAGCCCGAATAGCTTCTCGGGATTGTACGCAGGTGGTGCTGGCGTACGAACAGGATTGTGCTCCGGCGAGGAGGAAAGGATTAGGACCTCCGTGGTGATGGCCATGGTGGCGAATCGCAACGAAAATCCAGGCGATTAGCAGGTCGACATTAGCGCATTCTGTCCCTGGTCATGCAGTGCGCTAAGAAAGGCCCCCTGCACTAGTGAGCCATGGTGCTATGCATGCCCCCGGACGATGGCTAGACTAAGTCGCGACGATGCGGAGAGATTCGCCGGGCCTTGGCAAAGTTGCAGAATTGCCGCTTTGGGAAATACACCGCGGTGGGCAGGGCAACCGCCCGCATTTCATCATATCTCTCAACATTAGTCCTGGAAGCTATCTACGTTTCCTTGAAGCTGTACGGTTAGGAGACTTTCGGTAAGGTGAGCGTTTTGATGGCGGATTGGGTGAGGTAAATAAACAGAGGCCATAGTTCAGTGCTCTGCACGAACTATATCTATGGTGACCTTGACTCTCTATATACATGAGATCACGATTTCTATATGTGTCCTGCTTAGGTGCGTCTGACCACGGGATTTCGTCCGCCCATAAGATGCCCTCTTAGAAAGGGGTTGGTCCGGTACTCAAGACTGCAGTATTGACGATCGGGTAGAGCAGACATCCTGCAACTGTAGTCGGCCTGCTTTCCAGGGAACCGAGCATCCAAGGCAGCAAGCTCGGGGGGTGAGAGGTGGCTTCCAGATCTAAACTTCTCTTGTTCAAGTCGCTCCACGCAGGGCAATTGCTCCCAAGACAGATAGTTCTAGCCTTCGCATGCCGCTATCGTGCGTGCCGTTTGCTTGGTTCGGCGGCGCAGTATTCAGCGCTCCCAACTTGTAGGCCTTCTTGATCTTTGCAATATCGGAAATCGTCGACAGCGTTTCATCGTCAAATGGCACGGGAGATCCCTCGACATGTTCTCCGAGGTGGGCTGCTACCGATTCGTGAGTAATCTCTGGCGTCACAGAAACCTTGACTACCAGCAGGTCTTTGGTCGCATCAGTGATGCCGAACTTGCGGAAAGACTCAGCGATCTATATGTGGTCAGCATAGCTCATGACCTCAGACATTAGCTGCGTGTAGACGTACGTTCGTCGCAGGGCTTAGCGAAAAGACAATCTCGGAGTGCACATTCCGAGACTTGAGGCGCCCGTTCATGAAATCATTGACTGCTCTGAAGACTGCAGAGAGAAGATGGGTTCTGGACAGGACCTGCGGCGTTGTTAGACACACCAACTGCTCAGCTGCGAAGGATTTGATCCCATACCGTACTTGCATCGATGAATGCATACTCGAAATCAGCATTGGCCGACATCAGCTGCTGGCGAAGGTAGGGAGCATTCTGCACATCCCGATATAGAGCGACGTGCACGGGCATCGAAGGAGGCAGATGCGCCAGGTGAATGGTGTCGAGTAAAGGCGGAGACATGGTGGTAGACGGCACGATGGCAAGACAATTCCGGGAGAACTGACGAGAAGGGATTAGAAGAGCGTACGGGAGTGTAGATTGGATGACAATTGCAGGGTGGCCGTGCAAGTCCGTTAAGTCCTAAATCCCCCCTCCCCCGCCAACTTATCGCCGAGGGCGGTGATGCTGACTCATTGGGCGCAGCTCCCACGTGACTTCACTTCTCGAACGTTCGGGCGACCGTAGCAGCCAGCGGTGGCTGACTGATATCATTCTTAAGCCGTCCTTCCGCCGCCCTCCAGCTCTCCTCATCTCCATCAACCTCACTTCATCCTCACCGTCATGGCGTTCTTCATGCGACGCCCGTTCGCCGTTCCGACGGCGCTCCGGCAAATCTCCAAACCCGCTAACAGCGCTCGTTTTATCCACAACACGCCCTTCAAGCCGTCTCAGCCCAAGCCTACCGGTCCCGTCTCCATCTTCGCAAAGTCCCGTCAGACCTTCCAGAATGCTTTCCGCCGCACCTACATGCAGCCTTCCTACAATGTCCAGGGTGGCAACCTCACTCAGAAACTGCTCTACGGAGCCACCATCGTCGGTGGTACTATCCTCGCAACGAACCTGATCTTCAACCGCGAAACCAGAGAAGATGGCGGCATGCCCCCGTTTGAGCGCAGCTTCCTGAACGAGACGTTCTTGCACACTGGACTTGGTGTTGGTATCATCGGTATCGCTGCTCGGGCTCTGCACATGAATGGATGGTCTTACCGCTTGATGGCTGCCAGCCCCTGGGCTGTTATTGGTCTCGGTCTGGTTGCCAGCGTTGGCACCATGTATGGCACTTTGTACACTTCTCCTGACAAGTAAGTACTTGCGCCTGCCCTCGTCTTCAATTCAATGTAAGGACGAAGTTACTGACTTCTGAATTAGCTACGTTGTGAAGTACGGTCTTTGGACAGCTTTCAACATCACCCAAGCCGCACTCCTGTCTCCTCTCATGTTCATGAACCCGGCTATCCTTGCTCGTGCCGGTCTCTACACCGTTGGAATGATGGGTTCGATCGCTTTCGTCGGTGCCACCGCTAAGCAGGAGAAGTACATGTACCTGGGTGCTCCTCTGCTCGCTGGTGTGACTATCGTTGCTCTCTCCGGTTTCGCTCCTCTCGTCCTCCCCGCCACTGCTACCCGCGCTCTGATGTGGTCCGAGAAGATCTGGCTGTACGGTGGTCTCGCCGTCTTCGGTGGTTTCACCCTCTACGACGTCCAGAAGATCCTTCACCACGCCCGCATGGCCGAGAGAGGCCTGGTCCGCAAGGACGTTGTCAACGAGGCCATCAGCCTTGAGCTGGACTTCATTAACATCTTCGTCCGTATGGTCCAGATTCTGGGCATGCGCAACAACAACCGCCGCTAAACGCATTTTGCATTCATGCATCTTGGACAGCCCCGGTCTAGCACCAGGGCATACAAGTGCATGAACCCCTCTCAATACCCGGATATGCACGATCTCGAACACGATGATAATCTGAAACAAAGTGGTGCTTTTGTTTTTTGAGAAAACCGTTTGTATTAGTATTTCTGCATGGTTTCCACCAAATAATTTAGCCTGTTTATGGGAAGATGAAAGGCACCCATCAGCTACTCTAGCTCTCCGCGCCGATAGCCAGTGAGTCAGCCACGCAGCTCCCGACGATAACTACAGAAATCCGATGGAATTTCTGTATGTTAATTCTCTAGAGGTGGATACTAATTAATCTCCGCTCTTGAATCCATCATTATGACATACTTGAATTTTCGTAGATGCTCAACATGTCCTTACCTACCCGTATATCTCTAGCTACAGTATATCATCATAACCATAATCATATTATTTACTAGTCTTTATATCCAACCGAAGTGCACTCCCACTTCATACAACCCCCCAACCCACCAGCCACATCCCCAAAACATACCACCACCACCATACCATCAACCCACCCTTACTTCCCCCAGAAACATCCCCATTTACCCCAACATTCCTCACATCAAACCCACAAACCCCACTCCCCTCCATCATCTCCACAGGAAACAACACTCTCGGTTCCCCCCTCTCCATATCCAACCACACCTCCCCCCTCTCATTAACCGTATAATTCCCACACGTTACCACCTCCATAACTACAACACCGGGTTGATACCCATTCACTAAGCGCACTGTGTACTTTCCGCTTTTCGTTCCCTGGGTTGACAACATCATCACCACTTTTCCCTTCCGGAAGCCCATCTCGCTAGAGCCACGGTAGATAGGGACAGACTGTGTCGCCAGGTAACTGGGATCAACTTGGTGGACGTGTTTGCGGAGCCGGTTGAGCGTGCGGATGTGTTGATATAGTGGGGTGGATGTGTCATAGGATGAGAGCCACAAGGCTTCGCGGTTTAGGGGGTCGTAGGCCCCATTTAGGTGTTGTTCTTGGCCTTGGTAGATCATGGGGATTCCGTCGGAGAGGAGGGTGTAGGTCAGGAGGTTTTTGGCGAGCTAGATTGTATTGTATTAGGTGGTGTTTGGAGGAAAGGGGATGGGGGGAGGCTTACGTTCATGTCGGGGACTAGACTGGCGAAGCGTGCGACGTCGTGGTTCTCGGAGAAGCTCGTTAAGGTCGTGACGTTGGGACAGGAGTGTTTCATGACTTGGATGAGGTTGGGAAGCGTGGATGTGTTTCCGCGCGTGAAGGCGTCTAGGAGCGCAAAGTAGACTGGGTAGTTGGGAACACTGGGCAGGTAGTGGGCTTGATAGTCGCAGATAGTGTCGACAGACTGGTCGTAGACTTCGCCGGTGATGAAGGAGTTGTTTGCGGCCTTTTGGAAGATGGGAAGGAAGCTGGGGGTGACGTGTTTGGCAGCGTCGAGGCGGAGTCCGTCGATGGAGTAGTTGGCCATGATCTCTTGGATCCAGGTGTTGAGGATTTTTTGGACGGAGGGATCTTCGGTCTTGAGGTCGGGGAGCGCAACGATATCGTCGCCGGTCCAGCAGGCCTGCGCCAGTGGGTAGTTGTTGTAGTCGGTGATGGGACAGTAGGGGTGGTAGTACTTGGAGTCGTTGAAAGGAGTGAAAATGGAGTAGTCAATGCTGGTACTGAGATCAGAGCCGTTGGTTATGTATGCCATGTTGTTAATGACGGTGTCCATCATGAGATACATGTCGCGATCGTGAAGCGCCTTGCTCAAGTCGAGGAGATCTTGTTTGGTTCCGAAATGCGGATTCAGCGAGTATAGATCCTCTGGCCAATAGCCATGGTAGGCTTCGCCATAGGAGACCCTTCCTTCGATGTTCTTGACGATAGGGGATATCATGACTGCATCGAATCCCATTCCTTCAATGTAGTCGAGTTGCTTAATCATGCCTCGCCATGTTCCCCCGCAGTATAGCCCGTCTGTGGTGTTGCAAGGAGAAGTGGTTAATCCATCGGTGCGCGCAAATCGGTCGGTCATGGTCTGGTAGATCGACCGTGTGGCCCAGGCGTCGGTGGTTGCTGCCAATGCTGGAGCGAAAGTTGAGAGGATGCAGAGCCATCGTAGAAACCACGGAGAGAGCGGCATACTATCAGTGGTGTCCGTCCTGAAAATGAGAGCAGATCGAAGAAGTCAGCCGCTGGGGTACTTGCAAGTCTGGTCTTCACTGGCTTGTCATAGGCAAATAGTGAGTTTTATGGTTAAACGAGTGAGCGACTCCAAGAATGATCGGTGGCCAATTTTACCGACTCTTGCAAATGAGTGACTATATTGGAGTGAAGTAATCTTTTGTTGTGTACAAATATGATGTTAAACGAGGGGCGTGGAGTTGAACAATTAGATGCTAATGCATCTTAAAGAGCGAAAGCCAAATGATAAGGGCAGGTTCGGCTCACAGCACAATCCAGCATAATGTGAACTTGAGTCAGAAGGAAAAAGCAAGAAGGAAAAGCGTCATGGAGCACTCAAGCCCTGGGCAGCAGTGTGCATTTGAATGACACTGACAGGAGCTACATGCAGTGGCTGGATGGGAGGTTTTCACGGGGAAATGGATCGGGGCCCATTGTCAAGGGGAAGCTAGCTCGCATTGTACATATGTAGCAGTAGGGCCCTGAGGACTTGACCTGCTGTAGCCAACTACCCCTTACCCATGGAGCAGGTGGTGATGCATCTGTTCCATGGAAACGAATTCTCGACAGCCAGCACATTAATTCAGATAATTGTGCTATAAGCTGGCTGACACCTTCATTTATCGACCACATGCAAGCCAATACCGCAGCAGCAGACTACACACATGACGCAATATCCTGCGGGGAAGAGGGCAGTCCAGGAACAAGTTCTATTAGTTGGTGTCAGGGCATGTGTAATTGCAGCACGTTAGCCACCCCTGTCGCATGCAAGGGTTACCCCGGCGGTAGAGAAATATCTATCTACTTAGAGAAAGCGGTCTTGCAGCCAGGACATTGCGCGGTTGGTTGCATTCAATATGGTTCTCGGTCCAGGCCCAGACTTATTCTCTGTTGAAGGTGAATGCATTCATCTTTGCTGGGATTCTCGAGGCAGACAGTGCTGTCATTCAGGCGCGATAATTTGTTATTTTGAAAGAAGAATCTCTTCATCAGGTACCCAAGATGTGGAAAGCAAGGAGATTGCACAACCTCCTATCTTGCCTAGAACATCCAGAATAGTTGGGAGTTAAGGAACAAGTACCTGGCCACTCAAGATTAGCAACAGAGTTCTTCCACTGAAGAGTTATATATGGGACCAGAGATAATCTCACCTGTGTGCCATCAAATTTCTTGAACTCAAAGAACCAGTCTCGAGTTTGGGACTATTGAGATTGGCAGTGTAACCTAGTTGCATGCCGTGAGAGACCATGCCAGGGGAAGGGAGGCCTCACCGCCAAGAAGAACTCTATTCATGTCTGCCTGCATTTGCTGTCACACCAAATGCCTGTCCAACACACACATAAACCCGTCGCAGCACAGGCACGTCTCTCCACATAAAATACTGATCAATCTACTTTGACCTCGACTTGTGATGAAGGTTTGCTCGTTGAATTAAGTTATCAGTTTATCTCATCTTATTTACATCACCCGATATCCCCTGACATGACCTCGTATCCCATGACTTCGTATCTGATGTAGTAGAAACTTGAGCCGAACGCTAGAATGCTTACACTTATTGCGATCTCGCCGAATTCTCCTGCCACCGGAAAGAGACTGTTAACCGAGCACCAAATACCTGCTCCCTGTACCGTTTGCTACCAATAATTCCAGTATCTTGCTGATCTTAGAAACAGAATCGCGATCTTGTATTATGGACGCTTCCAGTCTGGGTTCTGATAGCCTCCGAATACCTTAAAAGTACTGTGGAGGCGTGAACGGCGATGAGCTGTAGATAAAAGCGAGAAGATGAACCTCGTATGCGTGATTGATCCTCTCGATTTTCTCCTCGTCATTGACGGTGACCATGTATTCAGACGATACAGGGTTCTTCCGTCGCTCATGATTGGCCTTTTCAAGCTGTGCCTTGATGTCCTTTTTGGTCTGGCGCACATCTAAACCTCCCACGCGGGGAGTAAACATCATGTTCGCCATATGGCAATAGCTGTCTGGTGTGATCTGCTTGAAAGTCTTTAGGATCAATGCCACAGTCTTCCAGCGCCGGCATCTCTCCTCAGGCAAGCGGATCTGAAGAGTCTTGTCGGGCCAACGACACTCGAACAGATCGTTGAACAGACGGCTATATGGAGGATCAGGAAAGTATCCATTGAACTTTTCCTTCAGAATCATCTTGTTGCCTCTCACGGCACATGCTGAACGACGAATTCTTAGAGAAAGAAGCAGCGAGTGATCCGGAAGCCCTTCGAGGTTCAAGAAGTGAACGTTTGCGGCCTTGATTATCAGACCGACAGAGTATGCGATCTTAGGCCTCGAAGGATCAAAGACGCATTCATTCAATGTCATTGTATTTCCGACCACATCGAAGGCAACATCGAGCTGCGCATTTGGCTGATGCAACTCGCGGACTTGATCGGGCTCCGAGCCAGACAACACGGCTTCAATTTTTGGAAAAGGCTTAGGGGGACGAAGGTGACAGAAGCATTGGGGGTCATCGCTACCAAGGCAATGATCGGGTCAGAGAATTGTCTTTGGGGATGAACTTGGAGGGCTCACCATGGCAGGTTCGAGATTGACTTGCCACTCATCGTGGCGAAGTCTGTCTCTCACATCAAAAACAAGACACTTGTTTTAAAACAGTCAGAGTTTAGGGTGACGTTTATCTCAATACTGAGTCGATAGCTTGCCTGTCTTCGTAGAGATGAGAGAGAGAGAGAAAGAGAGAAGACTGTGGGGATCGAAGATGGGATCAAGTCAGGACCGTGTTTATCACTGGCACCCCGGTGACTGACATCCATTCACTGACATTACTTCCCAATAAAGGATCCCACATTTAGCTAGTATAAGTGGTGTCATGAAGGTTGTATTCTTGTTTTTGTTAATACCTAGTTGCTCAGTGTGATCTCAGAGCATCCTCGGCACACTGTTTTCACCTGGTAGGGGCCCTTCAAGGCCAAGGGTAGCAGTCTATGCGATAGGAAATAAACACTTCATATAGCGTATTGGGTATCTCATGATCATTTTTATTCTTAGAATCCATAAAGATCAAAGCCCTCACATCTTCCTGATAGAAGTTGGAATAGATCCTATCTGTTCTAGGATCTGGTGGGTGTTGTATATATTACAAGTACGTGCGGCGCAAGAAGCTTCTGTTACAAAAGACACCCAATGCCATTGATGCCAACATCCCTGAATAGTGAAATTGCAATGAGTTCTGGCGTAAAGGATATGAACATCGAAATCTACAACTTGATGAATGATGAGAAAGTTCCTGAGTATTATACATAGTCCCATACTCAGTCCCGAGCTTATACCCATGCTGCTACTCTCCAAGCTATCTATAGGTATTGGATGGCAAGGAAACAAACGTCAGTGCATGATGAAGTATAATCCTACACAACCACTGGCCTTGTTTCACGCCAAAAACACCCACGTACATTGTGCGTGATCTGTGAAGTTTCGGGCTAGAAACCAGCAAATTTCTCTGCTAACATAATTGCCTGATTGCAATATCCTTTCATCATACTCTTTGTATATTTACCTCCTGTTTTGGTGTCATTGACAAGATGGTAGCAACTGACCCAACATTCGTCGTTGGATATCACTCGATTACATAAGCACACCGCAAGCTTCGCGAAGATCCATCGCATTGCAGAGGTTGGCCATTGAACAGCCTCCTTAGTCCAATATCCTCACCTTACCCACCTACCCTCGAGCTATCGATTCCATTCAGCCGCAAATTCTCTGTTTCGCTTGCCACCATGTCCGCAGAAATGGAAGTCGACCCTCCAGTGGCGCAGGAAGAGGTTCCCGCGCAGTCGGGCAACAGTACCTCTGATCCGAGAACAGACGCGGGAGCTGTTGCAGTGCGCAGTATCGAGGGATGGATCATCATCGCGACCAATATCCATGAAGAGGCGTCCGAGGAGGATGTGACGGATCTTTTTGCTGAATATGGAGAGATCAAGAACTTCAACCTGAACCTTGATCGCCGAACGGGTTATGTCAAGGTAGGCAGGCATCCTCTACACCCTCATCTTCTGCGTGATTCGCCCTACTTTTCTGCTGGCCTTATCCCAATTCCTTAGCCCAAGCACTCTATTCTCTAAATGAAGATGAAGTTCTAATTCGGTCTTGATCAGGGTTACGCGTTGATCGAGTACTCTACCCTCCCCGAAGCCACAGAAGCCATCAAAGCCTTGAACGGGTCCAAATTGCTGGACCAGACAATCCAGGTCGACTACGCATTTGTTCGGCCGCCTCCATCAAACAAGGGAAAGAATGCTGGACAAAGAGGGGTCCGTGGTGGACGGGGTCGCAGCAGAAGCCGCGAGAGGAGTCGCAGCCCTGGCGCCGAAGAAGCGAGAGAGTAGGCGTATTAATGGCAGAGAGGAATCGTCTTCTGTTCGCTCTATGACCTTGGCAGGCACCTTTATCTTTTCTTGTCTTTCCTCATCGCCTCTAGCGTTTTGATCTTGCTTTCGCGTTTGCCCTCGAGGACTGCACGGTTGTTGAACCGTCAAGATATTCACCCCGGCTCGATATGCGCGCAAGTCGGTCTCAATTGGTATGGGTACTATAGGCAGCAGTGGCTACAGCCGGCAATGTCTCCTACGATGTGTGTATGCTCATTGTCTGATGAGGGCACCACTGGGCTAGCAGTGAGAGGAGATACTTGCCGGCGTCGTAATTAAATAGCGATATGGTATGTGCCGCCTGACATTCTATGCGCCGCAGGCTGTCGTTTCTTTCGTTCATCTCCCGTCTATTCTTCTGATTGTCGATCTCCTTCTGTCCACCCCCCTCCTGGGTTCTGTTTCGTCTCGTGGCTTCCTCAAGTGCCCCTCACTGACTTGGCTGCAGAAGAGAACCGCTCGCATGATATATCAAGCTAGGATATCCCAAAATGTCTACTATTTCCGAGCTTAATCCGGGTGCAACCGGCCGAATATGAGTCTTATGTGGCTGGCGATATACTTGTAGCGTCTCCTTTTTACCTGCCTGACCCTCCGTCAAACCGCGCATACTGAGCCCTTCAGCCTGGCACTCAAATCCCCTGACCCTTTATCCACCTAGATCCGTAGAGTGACCCCGGTCACGGTCATTGGTCATCCGATTCCTGGGGTGCAGACAATATATGAGGGTCGGCGGGGAAGCGATCATAAGATCGTGGGGCTGGGCATTCGTCGGGCATGGGATCCAGGCAACGGGGGCGCGTGATAGGATACCAAGAACGAGAGTCGGCGACGATCGAGAGCCGAACAACGAGAGGAGGACAGCAGCTGAGGCTGGCAAGGGTCATCCGGCCTGCTGGGCAGGGCAGGATTAGTTAAGCCCGGGGGTGGGTGGCTCTTGCCCTCCCCCGCAACGGCCGAACTTAAAACTTATCGGTCGACGTCAAAGGGCTCTTCGTTCCTAGTTCCCTGAATCCTTCCTTCCCCCCTCATCGCCCCTCGCTCTTGCCCCGGACTGGGGAGCATTGGCTGCTGAAATATGCCTCATTCGATCCCGACGGTCGATTGGATGTAGGTCGTTTTCTCTGCTCGCTCATCCCCACGTCCTGCTCGAGTTCTGCGGGTGTAAAGTACTACTATTCTTACCTCGCTAGACATTCTCGTTGCTTATCGGCTCTCCGCCCTTTGTTCCCAGTACCACGAGACCATTCGCTCATCTGGATTTCGGGGAGATACAATTAGAAAGACACCAAGATGCGTGCATTACGTGCCATTCATAGATTTTTCTACCTGACTGTGGCCTTGTCTGAGACCAATGCGCTGGCGTTGCGGTCGCAGGACGTCCTTGCGCCGTTGTCTCCCAACTCGCAGGTTCCACTGGAGGACTCAATCGCACCATCGGAGCAGCTACCCCTTCCTGCTCCGGGCGAGCCTGACGAACCCATCGGGTCCATTGCCCGCACCTATGAGGATTTGCTGGACGCCCTCAATGTGATGCAGGATAGCTACTTCGAACTTTGGCAAGGCACTTGGCCAACTAGTATCGATTGGACTGCTGCCGTGCTAGGTACTCAGGTCTCCGCCACTCTCTCCTCGCTGTCCTCCACTGCGGGAGATGTGCTGCCGGATTCTCTTTCACCGGATGCTGGAAGGGATCTCAAACAGCCGGCACTCATCAAAGAGTATGCGTCGGGATTCGAGAATCTCATCAACCATTATTTTGACCAAACATCGGCATTCTACTATGGTGAAGATTCCTTTGCTGTAAGAAACCAGGCGTTTGATGATATGCTGTGGGTTGTGCTGGGCTGGTTGGAGAACATTAAGTTCCAAGTGTTGCACACCGACCTGCATTACGATGATCCGTCCTCGCCCAACGGCACAGCGAAGCTGCGCTGGCATGGAACCCAGTTTCAATCCCCGGCGGCTCATCGAGCACGTGTGTTCTACGGGCTTGCATCCGGGGGCTGGGACGTGTCTCTCTGTGGTGGCGGGATGATCTGGAGCCCTTACCTGACGCCTTACAAGAATGCCATCACCAATGAGCTGTACATCTCAGCTAGCGTCGGGATGTATCTTTACTTCCCCGGAGACGGCATCAATTCCCCCTTCATGGAAACCGCCGTGGACGATGAGAACTGGTCCGACGGATATCCCCACGATCCTGCTCATTTGCAGGCCGCCATTGAGGGGTATTCGTGGCTGAATGCGTCGAACATGACTGGTGCCGATGGTCTCTATGCAGACGGCTTCCACATCAACGGGTGGAAGAGTGCTGATGATCCTGGCACGGGCAAGTGCGATGTTTTAAACACCATGGTATATACATACAACCAGGGAGTGATCCTTAGCGGGCTAAGGGGACTTTGGTTAGCTACTGCTGTGCAGCAGTATCTCTCTGACGGGCACCGCTTGGTCAACAATGTGATGCTGGCTACGGGATGGCCTGGCAAGAATAGTCAGCAGTGGGCAGGGCTTGGCCGTGGAGGTGTCTTGGAAGATGCATGCGACTCTTCCGGGGACTGCTCCCAGAATGGGCAGACCTTCAAAGGGATATTCTTCCACCACCTCGCCGAGTTCTGCCGAGATATCCGGCCGCAGGAACTGCGTTTCCTGGCCAGCGCGAACCGGACAGCTGACGGAGAAGACGGCTGGGAGTATGTATACGAGTGGCACCAAGCACGATGCCGAGCATACCGCCCCTGGATTGAGCACAACGCCAATGCGGCTCTCTTAACCAAGAATGACGATGGCAAGATCGGAACGTGGTGGGGAAACAACACCGCCACCGCCGTGAGCCCTCTGCCGCAGGGGGCTATCGACTATCAAAACTATGGGGCGCAAGCTGAGGGCTCGGAGCCGTTGATGGGACTTCTCCGCAGCCGTGGCTCTAAGAATCCAAGCGATGAGGCGATGGGACCTGGGTCCCAGAGAAAGCCGCAGCGCGGGGGAGCTGCATCCAAGTGGTCGGGCTTCACTGGATCGGACGATGAGGCGAAAGACCCCAACGATCGCGGCCGCGGGCGCACTGTCGAGACACAGTCAGGAGGTGTAGCGGTGCTGCGGGCATTGTACCAGTGGAAGACGACGGCGTCTCTTGCATGACGGGGTCATTGGATCGTCTGCTTAGGTCATCCTGTATAAATGGGTTGATTGTATGTTAGGAGTTGAGGAATACCACACATAGGAATTGGCGTTTGCAAGCATGATTACCTTTGTCATCTGTAGGGCGCGGCAGCTGTACAGACGTACATACCCACCTGCATCCTGCTGGATCAGCAGGGCAAAGTCGAACCGGTGAAATTAGGCCATCCCAGTACTCCGTCCTCGGTATCATCACGGAAGAAACCCCCGCAGCCCGGTAGGGAGACGACGACATCATCGCACATGGCAGGATCACCAGATTTATCTCGGCTAGCATGATGTTGACCCAACTTACATTCACTTGGGTAACCAGTAGAGAATCCCGGAAATATTATAAATTTTCTAAGTAGTTCAATTCATTTAATTCGTCTGAAGCTTGACCGATTGTACCTACTAGTGGATCCGATCATTTATTCCTTCCTTCTTGTCCCGTCCTCCAGCCGTAGCCCCATCCCCCGGCGCCCCCCGAACCATTCATTTCCCGTTCTTTGGGGGAACAAAAGTTAGTTTTGTGGTGTTGTTGTGTTGTGTTGTGTTGTGTTGTGTTATGTTGTCTGGTGGGACTTGAGAGGTTGGGTGAGTGAGTTCTTGACCGACTGATTACTGACTGACTGACTGACTTTCTTTGTTTTGGTTATGGAAATAAATTAAAATCATCAGATAGTAATTCACATTTAAAGATGGAATTTTCCAGATGAAAAGTAGGATAATTTAATTGACGCTGATGATGATTATTTTGTATATCTGACTGTCTGCTTATATGGAGTATGTACGGAGTAGTAGATAGTAATTATCAGATGGGGGAGTGATAGATAGAACAGATACCAACTACATAATACTACATATTATAGATACACAGTATCTAGTGGTAGATAGGTTAGGTGCATTGCATCACATCCCTAGATCCCTAGATCCCTACATAACACGAAGTTATTTATGGAATATGATTGATGTATTGAGTATCCTGGGGTTGCAGTTAGGACTGGGATGGAACCGGGAATTGGGAACCGGGATGATGGTAGGGGGGGGGGAGGTGCGTGTGTGATGAACAGGTGGTGGAAGTGTGAAGTGTGAAGTGGTATGTAAAGCGAGGTTCAGTGAGGTTGGGGATGATGATGATGATGATGATATCACCGGACAGGAGAGAATGGGCGAGTGGGTTTGGTGTAAGGGTGAGGGCTTTCTTTTTTATTCTCTTGGTACTGGGTATGTGTCTTTCGGGTATGTTGCTATGTATGTAGTGTGATGTGATGATGTGTTTATTTATTGTCTGGACTGGGTGGTCTGGTGAAGAAGAAGAGGAGGAATATGATGATGGTGGTGATGGTGGTGTGAGAGGATGGGTTCAGTTTGTAGTTAGTATGTTGTCTGGGTTCTGGCTTCTGGGTTGAATTCTGGAATGACTCCTTTGTAGCATTGGAGGGAGGGAGGTATTGGTTTGTTGTATTTGTGTATGTTGGTAAGTTTGTATGTTTGGTATCTAGGAAATAATCGATTATTTGGTGATAATTTACCTACATTTAGAATCTTCAGGCAGGCAGGCAGGTAAGCAGGTAAATCGGTAGTTGTTCAGATGTACTGGATACTATGGGTATACCTACTACCCATCTAGTGGGACTATGGTAGAGCACATTAGTAATAATCAAGAACTGTAACTAATCACTCTGTAGCAATAAGCTAACCATGTGTGAGCTCAGGAGCTGCGAGGACTGAGGAGACTGCAGACTAGAGAGAGAGGTTGGGTAGAGAAAAGAAAGGCACTAAAACGCATTGACCTTGTCCCTGTGGTGGACGGGGGAAGAAGACGGGAGACCCAAATGTTTCTAGGAGGAATAATTTAATTTATTCTGGAAGCACTAGCTACCTCCAGAGGAGCTACCAAGGGCAGGGCACCTGGCAACCGACCATACGATAAGGAGGGAAGAATCTTCCATGGCAGGATGACCCTGGTCAGTAGTAGGTCGGTGTTATCGACCTGCCGGATGGGATTTAGGGGAGTTAGCCTTTCTGGGCTGATGGGCTGCATTTGGGGTTGGACGGGATGGCATATCGAGTCGATGCCGTCGGGTCTTTGTGTAAGGTGGTCCTGGTGGCTTGGATGAAGTGTACCGTAGGGTTGCCTAGATATCTATATGGCGGATGGGCCGAGGGGGGCGTAGTTGGTACTCTGGACAGGTCCTCCGTGCTTTGTGGAAAGTGGGTACTCATGGGAGGGGGGCAATTTGATAGGTATGATAGGTATCATGATGTTACTTGTTAGAGACCCAGCAATTGAGGTCTGACTCTGAGAATGATGGAGCCGGAGAGGGGGGGGGGGGGGGGGAAGGAAGGGCCATGGACGGAGATGGCGGGTTCACGGTCAGGGTCGCGATGATCCTGGAAGCCGTGCCGCGACATCAAATAATCGGGTAAAGGCATCGAGCCAAGCAGAATCGAATCGGGGGTTGTGATCATGACTGTTGGTGCTCGCTGGGAGTAGTCTTAGCCCTCGCCAGTGTCCTTATTAGCGGAGAATCACCTCAGCCACTAGCCGATCCCAGATCGGCAGTTCTTTATCGTCACTCGCCAGGGTGGCATTGGCCTCATAAGCTCATAGGCTTATTATGGGCCTCATTGGGGTCGTGGACAGAGGAGTGGCCAGCTGTCCAAGGCCAACTCGGACCCGGCAGGACCTCGTGGGAGGAGGAACTGAACTGGGAAGAGGGCGAGGAGGAGAAAAGGAAGCCACATTGTCACGTCGATATAGATAGGAGACCAGTAACTAAGAATAATAATGCTGGAGGCCGTCAAGCGTCAACCATGGAATAATGAAAGGCTGGTGGAGCCGGACGCAGTCACGCGGCCGCCCAGTCGTGGTACCCTTACGTCTGCGTATTATTGGAACCGTACCGTGTACGCTGTACATACGGCGGCCAACCGCCTGTATGGTATTATTTCGGGAAATCCTCGCTTCTCTCGGTTTCATCCGTTGCTTTGCTTCACTCATCACTTGCTCGCTCACTCTCCCTCTCACTACTACCGAGTACTACTCACGGACTACTGACTGTCGGTTGAGGGTCCTGCTGGCCTGCTTGCTTGCTTGCTTGCTTGCCTGTGTCTGTCTGTCTGTCCGCCATGAGGTCACGGGCTCCCCTTAAGATTAGGTACCTACCGATCTCCCAAAGTCTCACTCACGCCCCCTTCCCACACCCCCTCTTTCATGTCTCCTCTCTCTCCCCTAACTGACGTGCCTGCCTACTGGAATTGGCTGCCGATTCCAAATTTAAGCCTTCGCTTGCCTCCTCTCTTCCTTAATCACCCGGATGGAGGTTCCCCAACCCTACATCGGGCCGTGGACAACTGTCACTATCATATTAGATTTCCCCAAGGAAATAAAGAAACCAAAAAAAGGATACCTTTCTTTTTTTTCCATAAAAAAATTAAGAGAATAAAAAGGGTTCGGCCATGGTCCCATCCGGTCACAAGCCCTTCGCGCGCTCTCTCCCTGGGTGGGGAGCGCGACTGCATGCACCGATGCGGGGGTCGAGGAACACTTTCCACTGGCTGACTCGCCCTCTGCTGTTCAACGCTCCCCGGTGAATGCGTCCCTCCATCGAAACGGAGCTCGTTCACTTGCTTCTCAATGGCGGTTGGGGGGCCATCCTGCAGGTCTGCTCGACCTCGTGTTGATAACCGGATTCATAAAGGGACGCGTCGAGGAAGGAGTAGCTCGGCGGTATAGTGTACCAGACTACCAGTCTTTCAGACGACGTGCCCGTCCAGTAGGAAGCGGGATATCGCCTTTGCAGTGTTTTCGCCGACCCAGCTCAACTAAAGTAGCCGCCGGGGAACGTTCCGGGCGTCGTCCGTTGGGGCTCATGTATGCAACTGCAGCGCCTTGCTGCAAATTCGCCACGATTGTACTAGCGGTCGAGCTGAGATGCGATCTGTCCGGTGCTGGTGGTTCTTTGATAGAACCTACGCGATACTAGTCACTCCGCAAGTGACGTTGACCTGTTTCAGTCTCTCCATCAGATAGATGGGCCTGTGTCTTGGTGTCGAGGCAGATTCTCCGTACTTTGTCAGGCCTTCCGGGGCTGAGCCTTGCATTTCAGCCAGTCAGGTACATTGCAGCACGGGGGGAGTAAAAGTACCGTCGGCCAAAGGAGAGAGCGCGAGAGACATGCCTCGAATCCAATTATCTAACAGGAAGAGCAATGGCAAAAGACAGGTCCAATGAGAGGGACTCCCATGACGTGCTCACCCGTCATAGCTGGCGGCGATTCTCAGGTTGCCCCGAGGATGAACCACGGTGGCCGACGACGGTCAGCACCCGCAAGGACCTTTAAGCTGCAAAAAAGAAAATTTGCTTGCGTCTTCCCCGAAGCCTCACCCATGGTCGGGCATTTTCTTCTATTGAGGTTTATTTCCCACCATCTTGGGTCGCGTATCTGTATTATATTATTCATAGTTGATTATGGGTCCATTCCTAGTCAAGGTTGGCGGGATGGACTTACAGTTTTACTACACAGTCTGCACGGACGAATGACAGTGGATGAAGCCCTCCATCCCTGTCGCGGTTGCGAGTGCATACATGGCTCCCGTCAGTAGTAGAGGCGCTGTACGGGGTACCCCATACAGCCAGTCCAGGGGGAAGCGAGCATCTGAATCAATTTCGTCACATTATCGACACTGTGATTCGATGCTCCGATGGACACATGTTCCCGATGGTGATGGATCGGCGCCCTGCACATCCTTTCCTGGTTCTACCCTCGCTGCTCGCTCCCAGCCATGATCCGTCAGAAGGTGTCGAACCCGCGGGAATGGATCGGCTTGCCCCAAGCCGTTGACTTCTTTGTGCTTGTGGTGGAGCTTAAAATCCGACCAGAGAGGAAAAGTACGCCCGCCCACTCACTCCCTCTCCACTGCCAAAAGGACGAGAAATAATCACCCTACTACAGATGGATCATTATTGCTGCATGTGGACGATGGAGATGCTTTTTGGAAATCGGTCGGTCTACTGTAGTGGTGGTGGCAATTGTAGGACTAACTGACTGTCCATAGTAGGTGATCCGGCGGGGGGGGGGGAGGTGTTAGGTACCTTCGGTTGTAGCACTGTCTAGGTGCATTATCAGTGTCACTAGTCAGGATAGCGGTAGACGAAGCATTCCGATATCCATGCTGACCCCGTCTTGCGGCGATGGAGGCAAAGCCACGAATCCGATGGCTCGATCGACGTTGCATGACCTCCCCTGAAGACTTTGTTAAAACGTTTTGACTAGGTCCGACTGACTACCATCGCCCCATTTGACGTACTAGCACTTGTGCCCTTCGTGGCTTAATGATCCGCCGCCTCGGCAATTGGACAGGCGGAAGAGAGGAGTACGGAGTAGGAGCGGCAGCCATAGCAGCCGCCGCCAGGGAGGAGGAGGAATGCTTTCGTCCGGAGCAATGCAATTTTGTGACTCGGAAAGGTGGAAATGGTAGCCGTCCGGCTGACGCTGGCGATGGATGATTGAGCCGTGGCAACAACAAAGGAAGGGCATCCAATCTCAGCAGTAGCAGCAGCAGCAGCAGCATCATCATACCCCGACATCATCATCGCCATGGATCATCGTCATAGTACTAGCGGTGGATGATGAGGATCATCGCCATTCCTCCGAAGACGAACCTCGTTGGCGGTGGTTTGCGGCCCCCCCTTCAGGGGATTTGGGTTCCCGCTAAGGAGAGCAGCATCGAACCAAGGGGCGTCAAAGCCTGGGTCCGACAGTCACTAACCGAACCACTGCTGAGAAAGGAACAAAAACGAACCCCTAAAAGGGCAGCCGGCGCCCACCAACCACGGGACGCCAGTCCGAACCGAGGGCCTTCACCGAAACATCTGGCGGCGTTTTGCCAGAGCCACGGAGGATTCCGTAGGAAACATAGTACTATACGGAGTAGTAGCATAGTAGCTGGTAAGTCATTAGGATTGGAGCGGATTAGATTCGCCAATCGCGGTTGAGTGTGTTCACCAGCATCATCCGCATCATCATCATCATCATCATCATCATCATCAATCATCATCATGTCTCTGGTCATGTCTTGAGTTGTCCGGTGTCTTGTCTTGCCTTGTCTGGTCTTGCGTACCCAGGAATACGGCGATAATCATTCCAGTGGCGGCCACGAGTCTTCCCACTCTTAGTGTGGTGCCGCTAACCCCCAAACGGGTAAGCCCGAGCCCACCGAGGTACCACTCCGTACTCTGTTTGTACCTCCCATACCGAATCCGGGCGAGTTTCCTGCCCAAAAGTACAGCAGGCATGTACCCTCTGGGTAATTTATGGCCGCGGTATGTTACCTGCTACCTGCCTATTTCTGTCGGGGCAGGGCTGTGATTAGCCCCCCGACGGCTCGAATTATCTCATAAATTGTGGTTTATTAGTCTCCATTCATGACAATACTGCGCGTATCTGACCTTACCTGCTGGGACGCATGACTAACCTCCTTTTGCAGGGAGGTACTTCGGCGCCATAGTAGTATCACCCCCGAAGAGGTTCCTTTTTTCCTGCCTATTTTTTTCGTGAGAAATTCGATAATTACCCACTCGGGAGTAATTCCTATTACATACCCATCTGCTGCTGGGGCGGCTGCTTAACTGCTGCTGCTCTGCTCTGTTCTGCTGCTGCTGCTGCTTGCGAAACTGACCACGATAATTCGGTTGCTTATTATTATTATTATTTATTTGATTATTATTGCGACGAACTATTCCTACAGCGACTTCCTCGACTCTACCCAGCAAAGAGTCTCCTCCTCATTCATACCTCTCTTGAGTCTGTTCAATTTTTTTAAGCTACTGGCTTGCTCCTCCTTCTCTCCTCTCCGTCGGATCTCTTTCTCCTCCTCCCTTTCCTCGCAACCTCTCCCCTCCTCCCGACTCCTCCTTGGTTTTCCACTTTTTTTTTTACACCCCCCCTTTTTTTTACGTGATTGGGATTGTGATTGTGACAACCACCCACTTGTCGCTCACCACCACTCCCACCACTTCCACCACTTCCACCACTTCCACCATTTCCACCACTGCTATCGGTTACCACCACCACCATCGATCAACTTTACTACCAAACTACTTTACCAACTAACCACCCACCGAACCCAAACTCAACCCAAATCAAACCAAACCAAAAAAAAAAAGAAACCCACCTCCCTCTTTCCCCCCGTGTCCAAGTTTTAGTCCGCCCGTTTTCGGACTGCCCAACGAACTTTCTCCAAACCCGGGTTCGACGCCGTGGATTAATCCTAATCCCTAATCCCATAGACCCAAAAAAAACCTCTCCCAAAAAAGGAACAAAGGCGATAGCTGGCCATCATTCAGGCACATTCTTGAATTGCTTTGTCCCGACGTGCTGGTTGTCTTTCCAACTTCGCTTAACCGACCACGCCCGTCCCCTCGCGCTGGTCACTCACTCACTCCCCTTTTATCTACGTGATTTCTCACCTCTGGGCTCCCGCCCTCCTGATCCCCTGAGATCCCTCCCTGGCAGCCCGGGACCTGTTTGCTTTTTTCCCTGCTGTTTTCGTTGTCCCTTTTTTGCTTTTTCCGGCCGAAAATCCTCGACGACAACCGCCCTGGAAACAACCCACCTTTCGCTTTTACGCCAGCTACCTCCAGCGACTACGCAGATCCGTCATCTGAAGTCATCGCTAGAGGTAGTCACAGCTCCGCTGTGAAAAAGAGTCAATTGCTGTGTTAGTCGTGCGGGAGTAGCGTTATCAGTTCTCGACCGTGGAAAGCCTACCTCAGCGACCGCCCGAGATTTTTTCTTATTCGCTTCCCAAGCCACCTTCAACCACAGAACTCTTAAATTCAACCACCAGCGCCACCGCTAGAGCACAAAACCATGGCGTCAACGTCAGATGTGCACGGTTCTTCTCCTGTGCCGACCCTACCCCAACCGAACGAGAACGGTCGCTCGCACATGTCCTCCCTTTCATCTTCATCCTCCATCTCCGACGCAGAGACTGAACGTAGGGGGCGCTCTGAGAGACCTCGTATGGCCAGTCGGAAACCAAGTGCCTCGATACTAGTTCCCCGAGATCATCCCGAAATTGAAATCGAAGAAGAAGAGTTTCCCCCTGACGACGCGCGCGCCATGAGTCCTCGACGCAACTCTGCTGACTTGGAGCGACTGGGCAAGGAAGCCAGGCAAACACTACAGGAGTGAGTTTTCGACTGATCCCTTCCCCCCTCCTTTCCCCGGGACGAAGCTGCGCCAAGGAAGGAAATGCTAATGTGTTACGTGTCAATGACAGACAAGCCAAGGCCCTTCAGTCGTCCCTCCAAGCACTTGCTGAACGCATCGAAGCCGTCAAATCGGACCACGATAAGCTCGAGAGTGAGAACCGGTTTCTCCAGGATTACATTGGTGGATTAACCCGCAATATGACCAAGAGCGAAATGACGAGGAGTAGCACCAAGGTCAAAAAGTCGCAGAAATAGCTACGCCGCCGCATTGTCATCCCGGCTGTTCGGTACCGATAACGGTCGGGAATTCGCTGCCCTGGGAGAAAGCGAGCGATAAGATCAAATCTACGATATTCAATCTTCTGCGCGATGACCTTCTATACCATTCACTTGATGAATTCTCGGGTCCGATGATGCCACATTCCTCGCCTCATCATGCAGGTGTCTCGCATACGGCGGAATGAGACGCTCTTGGCTGCAGCGCATACTCAGCAGCAACACGACACACCATTCATGCACGCGAAGATCCGCTTGGACTTGCCCCGTGTCTGGGACTCCGAAATGACATCTGCGGCTTCATCAGGTGGAACCTCGTACGACCCTGGGGCCCCGGGAGGTTCGAATTTCGCAAATTGATACATCTCTTCGATTCGTTTTGTTTTTGGACGGACGTGATCGTGCAACGGGACACGGCGGTCGATCACGATGACCACCCCCACGACTTCACCCACTGCTTCCCGTAATCTTTCCCACGACGCCCGGTTTCCCGCCTGGACCACCCACGTCAATGCGCCTCGCGCGTGCCCCGGGGGTCCAACGAACGAGGCTTGCGATCGTGACATCATCCACACATGCCGGGTGTTTCCAGGGGAGTTTGATCGACGCCTACCGTCTTGGCAGCGATCCACGCCTACTTGTTGGGCTGTCTGTCTAGTCTACCTTCTTCTGTTCATATTCTGTGTTTCTCTTTTTTCTTTTTTTCCTTTCCTCTTTTTCTCTTCATATTTTCTTTCCTCTTTTTCTTTTTACTTCCTTTCCTATCTGTCATATCATACCGGAGGCTTTGTGTATTGGCATAGCACGCGCGGCGTTGGGACACTGACTGGGATCGTTACTTAGACTTGTTGTGTTCATCTCTTTCTTTCTTTCTGACATTGGAACCGCACTGGGCGCATTTGTTTGCAAAGGTCTGCAAAAAGGCGGGAAGCATTTTCACGGAGCAGCCAATCTTCATGTGGTTTTCATCATCCTCATCCTCCCCAATCCTGTTCATCGCCGCCTCTCTCGTCCCCGACATCAACCTCATCCTCTTCCCCCCAATCCCCGTCCCCATCCCTTCCTCCTGTCAACATGTACATTGGAATCGTCCCGGTCTGACGATTCGGATTCGACTTGGTTTGATTTTCGTTTGGCTCTGAAGACATTTGCTTACCATACCCAGAAGCGAGCGGTTGATACATTAAATGAGAACAAAATTGTCGAAATGGTCTGGCTGTTCGTAGTGTGACTCTGGTAATTTCCTTCTCCATACGATAGAGAGTACTTTGTAGTCTAGATGGTTCTATCTCTCACCGCATCTTGCTGTTGACACCTCAATGGATGAATCCCCACCCACCCACTCCTTCAATCAAACCACAACCAACCAACCCCGAGCAAGCAAACCCGCCATGGACCAGTTTCATACCTATCAACCCACCACCACCACCACACCACACCACCACTACTACTACATCGTACTAATTACCACCAACCCAATCGATCGATTACGTCCTTTTACCCCCCGTCTCTCTCTTTGCTTAATCCCAGCATCCACATCGGACACTAACCTCTTTCCCCGTCTTTAGTCTAAATTCAATTCGAAGTACCACTCGTACTTTATCCAAATCTCGTAGTTTGGACTTTACACTTCGTAGTTTGACCCCTGCCCGTTTCCCATGCTGGGCTAGATGCATACGTACTTACGTACTATGCTCATATTCCCTAGTCCGTGGTGTGCAGCTTTAAGAACCTAGTTGAGGTGTAAAATACGAAGTACCTAGGTACCTAAGTAGGGAGAAAGTACGTCCTGAGGTACCTAGTAGGTAGGGTAATACCTTTATCTGATTTGACCTATCAAGGTAAAGTGCACCCACCATCTTCATCGTCTACTCTACCCACCATACCAGTAGTACGTATCGACATATCTAGATACTTGTCTTACGTACCTGGGGACTGGGGGATAGTAACTACTTCTACTACTACTACTACTACTACTACTACTACTACTACTACTACTACTACTACCGAAAGCCAAACCAATAGTACATACAATCAACAAAGTCCCCAGAAAAGAAAAGAAAGAAAGAAAGGGAGGTAAGTACTATCTATACCAGCCGCATACTTCATATCCTATTCCTTTCTCCTTTCTCCTTTCTTTATTTTCTTTGTCTTCAGAGTACGGAGTACGTGGTAGCTCTTTTAGTCTATATTCTGTGAAACTCTACGTAGGGTTATTGTCTACTATCCCTATTTGTACTCCGTATTGCGATTAGGTGTATACATGCATATATGCCTTGTAGGGGTCATACTACTACACATACTCATACCTACATGAAGTACATACACTAACCTAACTACACAACACTAAACCACATAGGTAAGTAAGAACAAAGTGAATACTACTATAAATAGCCTGCCTACCTCCCCTCTTCCCCCCCTTCCAAAGAAGAAGGCAGGGGGGGAGGGGTGTATGGATAGTATGCTTCACCTACCTAAACCACAGTAGCCCGTACCTATGCACTAACCGCTACTTAAGTACCGCACGTATGCAAGTCAAATCACGAACTAATCCAATCTAGACCTACTGCATACTACTACGCATCAAGTCACAAAGTACATCGGAAATCTAACAATAGATATCCACTCCCCGTAGTATCCGAATTTGGCAAGAAAGTCTAAGGGAGAGAGCACTGTATTCTTTAGGATGGTGGGTGGAGGGATGGTATGCATGTGTGTCCTGGGACTCCGAGCGGAAGGGACTCCGGAGTATCCGCTAGGGATAAATCGATGCTGTTATGCATGTCGCCTGGTCATAGTGTGTGGGTGTGGTCTTGGATCGGGATCTGGTTGTATGCTTTTCTCAGATAGGTCCTCTCGGTCGGTTTCCTGGTTGATTCGTTCCTGGTGGCTGGGCCGGTCTACTGGTATGGTACCTGTCCATCTTGATGTCATCGGCCCAAGGTATGATCGCCTATCTATAATACCATGCGAAATGATCATAATTCAAGTTTCTTTAGCCACTGCCGGCTTTAGATCTAAACTCAGCTAAGGCGACAAACAAACGCCGTACGTGGCACAATGTGGGTAAAACCAAGAGAGGTCGGGGAAAGCAAGTCAACGTCCGGTGGGGAATAGATTGACTAAGGTAGAGGGCGGTGGATGACAGAAAAGGTATTCTTTGGGGAATTGCGACAATAGGCAAAAATATGACCGTAAAGATGGAAAAGAAATCAAACGACAATCGGAGGACCACGGATAGAGACCAGACCGAGACCACTGGCGGCATCAATGACACCACCAAAAAGCCACTCGAAGTGGAGAAAGAAACAGGGGCCCCAGTGCACGACCTCGAGTTCATCACCCGTCAGCCAGTGATAGCCAACAGGTTTTCCAGACGGTATGAACCAGACTTGCGCACTGGCTCCCTCCCCTCTCCTACCCCCGGCCTTTTGCGTCTAAGATCCAGGTTGTCGGCCGGCCGACCCTATCCAAGTCCAGACGCGAGTCCTTCGTCATCTTTACTAATTTACTCAGCAGGCTTCTCGCCCTCAGCAGGGGCCTCGTCCTTCTTATCGGCGGGGGCGCTCGGCTCAGCGGCGGGCTCAGCCTCGGATGAGGTCCAGAGCGTCTACACGGCGTTAGCAGAAAATATTTACACGAGGGCGATCATAACATCTTACCAGGTTATCTCTGAGAAGCTGCATAATGAGGGTAGAGTCCTTGTAGCTCTCCTCGCTGAGGGTGTCAAGCTCTGCAACGTCCGTTAGCCTCACCGCTGCACATTATAACATCAGCCTCCACATACCAGCAATAGCATCATCGAAGGCGAGCTTAGCCAGGTGGCAGGCCTGGTCGGGGGAGTTGAGGATCTCGTAGTAGAAGACGGAGAAGTTCAGGGCAAGGCCGAGACGGATGGGGTGGGTGGGAGCAAGGTCGGTTTGAGCGACTTCGGTGGCGCTCTTGTAGGCCTCGAGGGAAGCATCGGCGGCGCCCTTGCGGCGGTCGCCAACGGCGAACTCGGCAAGGTAACGGTGGTAGTCACCCTTCCTATCAAGAAGGAAAAACGCGTCAGTCATGGCTCGCGATCGCATCAAGAGCGGGAACAGTATGAGTCGTCACGCACATCTTGTGATAGAAGACCTTAGACTCGCCGCTCTGGGCAGAGGGAATAAGGTGCTTGTCAAGGACCTCAAGGATGTCATCGCAGATCTTGGCCAGCTCAGCCTCGATCTTCTGACGGTACTCCTTGATAAGGGAAACCTGGGACTCGTTGCCCTTGGACTCTTCTTTTTGCTCGATGGAGGTGACGATTCTCCACGACGCACGACGGGCACCGATAACGTTCTTGTAGGCAACGGACAGAAGATTCCGCTCTTCGACGGTGAGCTCGACATCGGCGGAGGCGACGACCTTCATATTCTCAACCATTTCTGTCGGGGGGGCATCTATGTTAGTATGGGAGCCTCGTTGCCGCGAGAGGGGCGGTCGGAAAGGAGGATGACGCACCTTCGTAGCGCTCAGCCTGCTCGGCGAGCTTGGCAAGGTAGACAGCATCTTCGTGACCCATTGTGAAAGATTATCTGGATGAAGGAACGGAGGTTAGTGGGTGAGATCGCGAATAAATAGATTTCCGGATGTAGAGTCCGGACAACTGGGGATAAGCGCCACAGTGGACGGGGAATCGATAGTGCAGAGAAGCGAGGGGCAGGCAGTCACAGGGCAAAAGTGAGGCTGTGAAGTCAAGTGGTGCAAGGAACACGAAAGCGATAACGCCTCCCCTCCTTTTCCCTGTTTGCCGGGAGCCCCCGTCATACGTATCAGGTCTCCCAGGACCACCAGCACGACGTAGAGGAAAAATCAGTCGACTTCCCAAGCCCTCACGACCCCTGATCACCCAGCACCCAAGACCAGGATGCACTGCGACGATCGGAGGCTTGGGCCCGGTGGGCGTGGCCCTGCCAGTTTCCCTCCGTCACACCCCTCGGCTAGCCGTCGACTGACTGCCTGCGGTGTCGCGTTCCAGCGTAGTCTAGACGGGAGGCCATGGAGGGGGGATGAGAAGACTCCCATTCCCCTCCCAGCAGACCCGGCCATTCTGCGCGCATCCATGTCCGGAACAACATCCTGGGCATGCAGAGCCTCCCGATGCAAACTTCCCACCATTTGCGATCGGAACCGCGGCCAGAAGGGAGGGGAAAAGGTGGATGACGCTGGAGGGGGGAGGCATTGGAAGGGTATGGTACACGGAGGGGGGGAAAGGCACGGCAAAGAAACGGAAGAGAGGCTTACCTGAGATATAGCAGCAGATAGAAAAAGGTGTAGTCTATAGTCTGCCAAAAGGAGAGGTTAGAAGGAATTGAAGGAGAGAATGAGAACGACGGATAAATTTGGTGGAAATTTTGGGCCTGGTCGAGTCTCGTCTTTTTGTTTTCCTTTTTTAATTTAAGGAATGGGGGGAGGGGGGTATGACTTAAGCAGGGGGAGGGGATGGGCAGATGGAGACAATCAATTAGGAAAAGGGAAAAAGGTGGAGGAGGGCAGGAGGGAGCAAGTACCGGACAGGACGAGAATGAGGTTAGTCAGAAAGCAGGAGGATGCAGGATGGGAGAGTGGCAGTAGCAGGAGGGAGGGAGGGCAGTAAGAGAAGACAGCACAAGACGGATAGTTGGCAGGTTAGCTTGGGATAATCGGGAAGAGGGGAAGGAAGAAGGAGGAGAAGGAGGAGGAGGAGAAAGAGAGCAAGAGAGGGAAAGAAGGAGGGGGAATTAATGGCCAGCCGGAAGGGGGGAAAGGGGATTTGGGAGTTGGCGGTCACCACTGGCCAGGAATCCTCAAGCTGCTGCTGCGGTGCCAGACGCCCAGCAGCATCATCGCCTTCATCATCATCCCCAATCATGCTTTCAATCCTTCGATGAGGGCGCCTCCCCATACTCTCGACTAACTAGGTAGTCGTTAGTTACCCAAGGGCCAGCCCATGATGGAGTCGGTCATCCACCACTGCACCACCACTAACCTACTCTTCCCCCCCTCCCCGAACACGGCCCCTACCCTACTAGGTACTTACTACTATTATTGCTACTAATAATACCAAGAAATCACAGTAATTATTGGTCCTCCCGTGGGTTCTGTTTGGTAGTAACTGGGGGCTTCACGGGGTAGAGACGCAGAGAATCCAAAAGAATCCTGGCGGTCATGCCTCTCTGTCTGCGTGGTCTGAAGTCCCAACCTACACAACATAGGTAGTAGACACGGAGTGCACATCATGGCCATTCTCCATGATGCCACCACTTCCAATGGCATCAATAGCCCCCGTTACGTAGGTGTAGGAACTAGAATTGCCCATCCACCCACCCAAAGAATGAGATTCGTCTCCTGAGTCCTGACACTTCTTTCTCCTCTTCTCTCCTCATCCTGTCGGGTCTGGCTTTGTGTGGTTCGGTGGGCCTCCCATCGTCATCCCTATTTCACACCCGCCAATCGTCCCGCCCACAGCTGCGATCCCAGACCATCGCCGAAGGAGATGGACTGCGGCGGGTGATTATTGGAAGGGTCAAGAACGGAGTACTAGCTCAGTAGTGAGTAGACAGCAAGTCGCTAGCAGCGTCGGCCGACGCTTAGGACCATTATTATTATTATTGATTGATTGATCTGGGTCGAGGGATTCCTTCTGGAACCTCGGGGAATATTGATGATGGCGCAGAACTATTTATTAGGAGGCGATCCTATAATTCTCGCGCGCATCGTCGTCATTCAGGGATCTTGCGGCTTTTTGACGTGGACGGAGGAAATCGGCAACCACTTACTTTACTTTTACTTACTGGATTTATTCTCCTCAGGGGTGGACAGAATAGAACGAATAAATTCATAAATCCGTCATGACTGACTTCCACAAACTTCAATAACAACAACAACGACAACATGCCATGGATGGATCATAGTTAATCCACCAGGACCATGTCGCATCCTCAACATCCCAACACCGCCCCCTTCCGCGTCCCTGCTAAGTTAGGCAACACACCATTCCGTCAGCTCACCTGACCTCCTGCGCTGACTCACCACCCACCACCCACCACCCCCCATCACATGATCCCAGCTGCCAACAGTTCGCCGGGATCCAGTAGTCCCGGCTAGTACATGGTAGTAAGTACTAGAGTAACCAACGTCATCCGCCGGTCTCGACACCTTAGGTAATCCTCTCAGGCCGGTTGCATTATTCGCCCGCTGCACGACTACAAGTACCTGAGGGTTCTTTCTCACCTGAAGCTCTCTCTCATAGGTACTACCATAAATCCATCGCGATCAGACCACATCCATCCATCCATCTTCATCCTCATCCTCATCACCACTCACACATCCTCCCTCATCACAACAACCACACCTACCACAATCATGCTCCGCCAATCCATCACCAAGCCCATCACCACCACCAACCGTCTCCTCGTTAGCCGCTCATTCTCAGCTCTCGCTCCCAGAATGGGCGCTGGTGATACCGGGGCTCCTCGTGCAGGAGGTGCCGCACACTCGTACGTTGTCCTGTCCCCATTTTCCTTTGTTCACATATCAGTCAGAGAAGCTGTCGCATCGAAAATGACATCATCATCATCATCATCACCACCACCATCACTACCTAAGCTACCTAAACAGCTAAGCTAACCACACACTTCTAAATAACAGTGACTCATTCACCAAGCGCGAAGCCGCCCAAGAGGGAAAGTACATTCACGACAAGGAGATCGAGAAGTACGTATAACCTACATCTACAACTGTGCAGCACCTGAGCTACACGCTCATTTCGAACAAAGAAAATACGGGAAGGGAATGGAAGGCTAATGTATACACACAGGCTTCGTGCTCTGAGGGCCAAGGTCCAGGAACAGCGCAAGCACCTTGATGAGCTGGATAAGCACATGTATGTTCTTCAAGCTTTCTTAGTTGCTTCCCGGTTTGGAAAGGGAGATGGGATGATATGAAACTAACTGGAGTATAGTGACGACATCACCAAGAACCAGGGCGGAGAGCAGAACTAGATATGATGACACTACTTTGAAACGACCGTGTTCGTTTGAACTGATGATATGACACCTACCTACTTGACCTACTTAGCTAGCAGCTAGTGGTGCTGGGATTCCTAGCTCGCTACTGACCTACGCAAACATGTAATCTCTCCTCTCCATCTACGTTCTACATAGCATAGCCGGTAATCCATGTTCATGGCGATTATCATTATTCCCATTGAAAGACTCCAGCGGTTAAATTGCGGATAAGAAAAGCATGCCTAAACCATCCTGTACCTTGTTACATAATTCCCTCTATCGCCGTCCCATGTAAGAGCGGTAGAAATCGTCCGCAGCGCTGGCGCCCATGGTCGAGCTGCCGAGGCCATAGCCAAAGCGTGACGAGAGAGACTGGCCTGCCTTCTGGGCGGCGTTCACCTTGGCCTGCAGCTCGCTGGTGCCCACGTCGATGACTTGCAGTTGCGCCAGGTGTGAGTTGAGGATGCGGACGATTTGCGAGATCTAGCAGTTATTAGTAAACGAATCATTTTATACAACACTCATGATATACGCACCGGCTCGTCGGCCTTGTTCGTCTTGCTTAGGGTCGCTGACGCACCATTGACTTCTTCAATCATGCTGGTCAGATCCTTGCCCATTTCGTCCAAACGCTCCGATAGCTTCTCCGCCATCTTATATCTGCTCCATAGTTAGCATCACCGTGGAAATTTTTGGTGGGGGAAAGCGGAATACGTACGTCCTTTCACGCTCCTGGTCGGGTCCCTGGAGGGTTTCACCAGGTCCAACTTGCTTGGAGATCATCTCGTCCACTTCGCGCTCGTACCGGTCAAGCCACGAGCCGAGCTCTTCCTGCTGGCCCTCGACAGAAGCCAGCTGACGCTCCACTTCTTGAGTCGCCCGCTCGGCATCCACCGTGCTACCGTACAATTTCTGAACCTTGGTACCATTTTCCACCAACATCCGATCCCATTCCGCGACCTTCTCCGCTTGCTCGCGGAAGTCCTTCTGATACTTGGTCAAGTCCGTTGCCCACCGGGTGATGATCTCATCCATAGTTTTGTTCTTTAGGCGGGACTGGGCGGGAGGAGTCGGCCCTGCAGTGGATGCACCAAGGCCAAGGCCTCCCGTCGCGCTGGTCGCGCCGGTAGTGCCTGCTGTGCCGGTGGTGGTTGAAGGGGCACCACCCAGGGGAGCGGCCAGGGAGGGCTTGTCGCCGGCAGTCGTAGCAGAAGTGCTGGTAGTCGTACTCGCAGGTTGCGTAGACGGGGTGCTCTCGGCGGGCTTGCCGAACAGCCCGCCGGTAGCTGCTGCGGGCTGCGCCGCTGGGGCTGCGGTGGCAGTAGTGGCAGGAGTCGTCGTGGCTGTAGACTTGGCACCACCCAGTCCACCGAACAAGCCACCAGAAGCAGCAGGTGTCGACGACGGAGTTGCCGACGAGGTGGCTCCACCTAGGGCCGGGAAGAGAGAATTCTGCGGAGTAGCAGAGGAAGCTGGGGTCGTGGTGGACTGTGGGGTCGAAGATGGAGTCCCCGTAAGAGAGGGGAAGACTGGCTTGGTGGCATCAGCTCCAGACGTCGGGGCCTTGAAGAGAGAAGATGTCTGCGCACCGCCTCCTGCTGTTGCTGCTGGCGTGGTGGTCGGTAGCGCGCTAGGAGGTTTTCCAAACAAAGTGTTTGGAGTGGCGTCCGGCTGTTTGGCGTTTGCGAAAAGATTGCCCCCCGTAGAAGGCGCCGGGTTAGAACCAAAGGCGGGTTTCTGTGCTGCATTTCCCCCGAAAAGACCTCCGGTCGATGGCTGCTGCGGAGCGGTAGCGGTGTTAGCGGTGGCGCCTCCGAACAGCGCTGGTGTAGCAGCGGAGGCTGTAGCGGCCGTAGAAGCCGGAGTGGTCGATGAGGTGGTATAAGTTGTTGGAGTTGTCGAAGTCAGGGTTCCGAAGAGACCACCGGGCTTTTGTGCTGCCTGTCCAAAGAGCGATGGTGTTTGGCCAGTCGCTCCCTGCGGGGGAGGGCCGGCGGGCGTCGTAGACGAGGCATTGTTGAACAAAGAACCTCCAGTCTGACCGGGCGTAGAAGCGGCGTTGCCAAATAAACCCCCAGCTGGCTTCGATGCATTTCCAAAGAGCCCGCTCGTGGCTGTCTGTCCTGAGCTGGCAGTTTCAGTGGACTTGTTGGGAGTTTGCGATGTGTTGCCGAACAAACCCGAGGCCGCAGGCTTGTTCTGAGTTCCAAAACTGAAAGGCGAAGCACCGCTTGTGCCTGTTCCAGCACCACTGCCAGCGGCGCCCCCGAACAAAGGCGAGGAAGTGCCGCTCGCCGGAGCTCCTACATTTCCAAAGAGGTTACCCGAGCCTGCGCCCGAGCCAGAATTCGTGCCGGCAGACCCAAAAAGGCCTCCCTTGGACGCGGCGCCGGGGGCGGAATCGAACGAAAACATATTGGACATGGGTATGGTGGATGCCGACAGGAATCAACAGGGCTGCCCTGGGGGTGGGAAAAAAAGACTAACAGTCAGTCCGGGACGGCTTGGAGGAGAGCAGAAGGTGAAAGAGAACCAACACTTACTGCGCCCGGAGATGAGGTGCCCTAAGGAAACGGGAGAGTCAATTCCAGGCTGAGGGTGAAGTCGCGCCGTGCTCGTCCAACACAGATAGTGACAATCGACAGACGGACTGCTTGGAATGAATGTATGAATTGGACGGCGATTGATCGTTCTTTGCTGGGTCCGCGCTTGCCGCGTCTGGCGGCTAGTCATTCACACCTCAGGCATATAATAATGGTGCCTTAGCGCCTTAGCGCCTTAGCGGCTTAAATGCCTTGGTGCCTCAAAATGATGTCGCCGCACGCCTCTGTCTGCCTCAGGCCACGTTCGAGACTCCCATCGAACCCGGCGATCAGGAGGACAACAACATCCCCCCGTTTCATATCCATTCTCCCCCTGGCTCTTCGGGCTCAGACTCTCTCACGAGCCTCTGTGTCCCTATCTACATGATCTACGATTGTAACATTGATTGGTCCTCATGTCCGAACGGCTTTCCCGTCCGTCCAGTCCATACTTGGAGCCCCCGAGGAAGAGTGTCGAGCTGGAAGACCCGGGGGCTCGGGATTCCGGTGAGCATTAGGCCTGGCACCGAGCAGTCGTTGGCTCAGGGGCTAACATTCTGGATACAGCTACCAACAGCGACGACGAGCATTTTTCAGACGCCAGCGAGGGCCAGCCACACTCCCAATCCCACCCGCCGTCCGGCCGCGCATCCCCTATCCCCTTAACCCGAGTGGAGAAAGTCGACGAAGAACCCTCGCATGGGGAGGTGCCTGGCACCGCGGCGTATGAGGTTAGGGAGCAGGATGCTGTCCCAGACCAAATTGAAATTATTCCGGATGGCTCGCGCAGCAGGAGCGCTTCAGCTGCCAGTCAGCGGCCTGTGACTCCGAGTTCGTCCATTCCGCGGACAGTGGTCGAGAAAGTCGATCTAGATGAACCGAGCCATGGCGATGTGCCTGGCACTCCAGCATACGAGATACGAAAGGCGGATGCCGTGCCCGACGTGGTGAGAAAGGCTTCGGATTCAGATGAGGCGTCCCCCATACTGGAGTCAGTCGCGGCCAATGCGGCCGACACACCTGTCCCGGAGACGCTGCTCTCTCGTGTGAACTCCAACGAAGACGATACCGAAGACGCAAGCCCTTTGGCTCACCGACCCAAGCCAAGTGACGCCGAGCCAGATCAGACCGAAAACGTCCCCGAGACACCAGGTAAGCAGGTTTTCGATTAATCGACGACATAAGTTTCAGGGACGATTGACCAATTCAGATTTGCCTACAAGCCATCGAAGTCACGCCCGCCGAGAATCGTCAGTGACCGGCGCAGTCGAAGACACAACCGGTGCCGACGACTTTGACGATTTTGCCGAGGAGCAGGAAGACGACGACTTTGGCGACTTCGACGACTTTGACGATGGTTTCCAAGAGCCCATGACGGAGGCTGTGGAGGCCGAGCCAGCAGATTTCCAGCCCTCACAGCCTCCCACGCCCCCCTCAGTCGTACGCACCACCCCTACCTACCATCAACATACAAGCCACCCAGAGACCGTACTAAACCCCGTTCCAGCCCCCGCTCCTCGACTTCGACGCCATCTCCTCCCTCACAGACCTTAACACCACCCTCTCCGACTCCCTCGACCGCCTCTTCCCCAGCACCAAAGACACCGCCGGCCTGCGGCCTCTCGATCCCATCCCCAATCCCACCGCCATCTTCAGCACCGAGCGCTCCCTCTCCCTCTGGTCCCAGCTTGTGGCCCCTCCCCCACTCCAACCCCAAAACTGGGTGAAATCCCGCATCCGCCGTCTCTTCCTCGTCTCCTTGGGAGTCCCCGTCGACCTCGACGAGATCCTCCCAGCCTCCAAACAAAAGAAGCTCATTCTCCCCTCCGTCAACCTCGACGACACTCGCCCCTCCTCCGCCCCACCAACGGCGCATTCCCGCTCCCAAAGCCTCGCAGCCAAACGCGACAGCACTCAAAGCGGCCCCGGCAGCCCTGGTCCACAGCAACAATCCAGAAACCGCACCTCTCGACGGAGAGAACCTTCCCCGCCTCCCGAATTGGACCTTCCCGCCGTGCACCGACTATGCGCCACGACAGACGCAGCCCTAGACGGCCTCACAGACGGGGAACTCCGCGGACATGTGCAAGAACTCGAATCAGCGACATTGCGAGCGAGCTCCGTGCTTGAGTATTGGTTGAAACGACTGGACGGGCTAGTCAGTGAAAAGGAGGCTTTTGAAGGCGTGATTGAGAACTTGGTTAGTCATGCAAGACGAGTCCGGAAGTGATGGTTATCATGTTATGTGATGTTTGATGTGTGTGATGTTGATAGATAGATATAAATACTATGAATTATTAATTAATGATACCTACTCTATTTGCATTGACGATACAGTTTTATGTCACATTTTCGGCTATATAGCAGCGTGGTAGTAATAGTAGTAGCAGCAGTAGTATTCATTAATCTTAATCTGGTATAGCCAGCTCTTAGTTCTACATAAAGTCGGCATACTCTAAATAAACACAATTATATGCAATCCTCCTACCATACTTCTACTCTGTATTATACATCATCTTTCTTATCTCTCCAACATTATATTACTACATCCTCAGACCGCACCTCACTTCCTTAATCCCCAGCAGATATCCATAATAACTCTCTGTATAATACCTCCCCTCCAGAGTACCTCCTAGAAAATATATCCCTCATATACTAATTAATATATAACAGTTACTCACCACACTATACTCTCTACTATTTTAAACCCCATTCTCAACCAACACATACACAAATACAAGATTTATTATCCTAGAGAGACTGATTTCCCCACGTAGTAGTACCTATGTCGCAGAGATAAAGTATTACCCGCAACGGGAATTGAACCTGTAGTCTTTATACTCCAAATAGGGTCACCAGTCAATCTCATTATCATTCAAATAAAGCTTTGCCTGACGTCGTCACCTGCTGGTACACACTTCCGTCTATATATTCCGATCCTCCTCCACTCTCTTCGAGAGGTAATATGTAGAATACTCTTTTGACCACTAGTACTGGTGTGGCACTGTGACACGTGCATAAGGGTACAAGATGGCATTAGGCGGGTAAGGCTCACGTGATTCGATATGTGTAAATATAATGACTGGGTGCTGCGGGGTGTGGCGGTTGGATCAATTCATATGTCGGTAGTAGAGAGGAGATGGGTTCGCTTTATGTGATATGTGGAAAGACCATGCATTTATTTGTCCGTTTACCCGCCACACCCCCTATATCTCTAATTAGAACTAAGTAGCAAAATATGAGAAATGCAAAGGGAGGTAGTTACTGGTGGTCTACCGATTTTGGTATTAATATGAGGATAATCAGTGCTGTCTTGGCTATGATTGACATTGGATAGAATGATATGGAAATGCTGGTTGAAATAAAAATTCCCCTTTATGTGGAACACCCCCATGAAGAATGTTGAAAATCGCCAACAGAGAAAGAAAGGAAGGCCGTAGCCAATATAACTCAAACACGCAGGACTCGGGTATCGTGTACAACATTCAACGCCAGTTAAGCCGATAGCGGAAAGGAATAATAACAGGGAACCATGAAGGAAAAAGAAAAGATATGATGTCGATCCTGTTTTGACAAGACCGCCGAGAGATGCGAGTAGTGCAGATATGCTCTAGTCTAACATGATAACCTGTTCGGGATTCCCGACGCGGTTGTCGGGCGCGCTCTCGAATTTGGGTTTCTGCGAGGCAGGAGTTGTAGAATCACTGGACTTGCGTTTCAAGGATACAGACGCAGTTCTCGAGATACGGTCAGATGTCTGTTCCGTAGATGTATCGGCATCTGCCTTCAGAGTCCAAGTTCCGTCCCTTTTGACGCGGATGGCGCGCGCATCGTCCAGCTGGTTCGTCCGGGATAGATGATCATGAACAGTGACGAGGAAACCGTCGACAAGGAGCGTCTGAGGGCGTGCGTCTTTCTTGCAGATGGGGCACCGCCAGTCTTCTCGGAAGGAACGTCGTCCTGACTTGGAGGCACGGGTGGTGATGTAAGTTTCATGGTCGAAGCACTCCTGGTGGGTGCACAAACGGCCTCGAACAGGGCGGTTGAAGATGCGAGCGGTGAAAGGGTCAACGAGGTTGATGACCAGGTCCTCACTCATAATGCTGAGTTCGTCGTCTGTGTCAGGAGTGAGCCGCTTGTAGATTTGCTCTTGGGATTCCGAGGCAGGCAGGCTCTGTGCCGCAGCTACGACAGAGCCGAGGTCGGAGATGTTGAGGATCTCGATCGCCGCAGCGTAAACTTGATCTCTCATTTCGGCGGGGCTGCGGAGGACGTGTATAGTAACGGTGTTGGGTCCCTTCCGGAGTTGCTCGGTGATTTCGAGGGGCAGGTCTTTGCCGTTTTGTTGACGACGCCGAGCAAAAACCTCCACCTCGTTGACAAACATGTAGAGCACGTTGGGCCAGCATGTCTCAGTGGTGCACCAAGTGTGTTCGGGGACGGTCTCTGTGGATACATCTACTTGGATGCACCGCAAACGGAAAATTTGCTGGCCACTTGTAATAATACGCGCCGGACGCAGCTTGTCTCCATCTTGATTCACCTTCGCAAGCCGCTCAAATGCAGGTTTGGGCAGGTCAAATGTCCAGTCGAAGCGACAGGCCAATTGGCCCAGCGGGGTGGGGTGTACAGCGAAGGAATGAAGGTACTGATAGAGCTGCATCACCTGCTCGCCTGTAGGCCCGGGAGTGACAAACCGATTGACAGGGCCACGTAGATGAGCCTGGTGCAGCCCGTCCCGCAGCGGATGGGGTCGTGGATTGGGAGGTGGAAGTGGGCCCGGCGGGGGAAGAATGGAGTGAATACTGAAGGTGGAGGCGGAGGCGGAGGCGGATCCTGAGTCGGTCCCGGCTGCGAGCCCTGGTTTGCTGGTTGCATCGCTCTATATCGCATCAGGGGCTGAGCATTTGGCTGTGAGGACCGTGGCGGGCGGCCGCGTCGTCGCGGCGGAGGAGCCGACGCAGAAGACGCGGGATTGGAACCAGGGGTAGGGGGAAGATTAGGAACTGACATTGGCGAGGAGATTGCTGGCGATACGGGTGTATTGGTCGGGTGCGACGGGGCTGTTTGTGGGGGGAAGGCCATCTGAGGATGCCCGACTACAGAGCCTGGCATATGAATCGCTAGTGGGGCCTGGTGAATGTTTTCGGGTTTTGAGGGTACGACCTGTGATGGGTAGACCACCTGAGGCGGGTGAGGCGGCGGCTGCGGTTGATGCACTGGGGCCATACGTGGTGAATGTGTCCTGGCTATTTGGGAGGGAAACGGCATTGTATGGGAGTGGTACGGTACAGGCGCGATCGACATGGTTGGATCGGGCCCAGCAGCGGAGGGGGCTGTCGGATGAGGACCATTCCCGGGCATCGAAGCATGAGAGCTTCTTCTCGTCTCATAGCCCGGAACGGCCGAGCCTGGCGGCATTGTCATAATCTGGTGCGGTGTTGTCTGTGGAGGCAGGTTAGAGGTTGGGGTCAATGGGGACTCGACTGGCTGCGAGTGAATGCGAGGCTGAGAAGTTGCAGTGGTTGCCTGGGCAGTGGTGGATGTGAGTGCTTTATGATACATGGAGAGAATCAAGTCCCTCTCCTTTTTGGCACGTGCCGCATGCACGGGATTCGGCGAGTCCAGGCGGTCGTCTGTGTATTTGGCGTCTCGATTGAAGATGTCAAACAAGTTCTGCTCTCCCCGATGCCCAGGAAGCCGTCGATACAGAGCCAGGAAGATGTTGTACTGCATCACATGTGATCTGATAGCGAACGTCATGATGATCTCCTCAATCAAAGGAGGCAGCCCACGCTCACGCGTCACTTGTTCGAAGGTGTCCCATCTTCGTGAGAGGTGGACCAAGGAATTCATGATCTGTTCCAAAGCATCCCGCCACCACGACCGGGCAAGTAGGTTCTGAATTGGCTCCGGGAAATTAACACACCACCTCAGAAAATCACCAGAGAGTCGCCGGTTATCAACGAGCAGTTGCTTGACTACAGCGAGACCTTGCTCCTGTTCCCGACCAAACCCAGGCAATTTGCGAAGCTCCGATGGAGCGTAGGATGAGAGGCAATACATCTGATGGAGGGCCAAGTAAACGGGGTCCTTGTCCAACAGAGCGCTCTGCAGAAGACGAATCCGAGGCGACTCGACGACTTCGGAAATGGTCCTGTTACGAGTCGCTTCAGCCGCAAAGGTTTCCAGTTTCTCTAGCCAGTGTTTGAATAGCGGAACGTCTATAGGTAGCATGGGGACTGGCCGCATTACCGCCGATTGCTGGTGTCCCTGGACCACTGGGGATGTTGGCATGCTTGTCCAGGAAGACACCTGAGGACCCGCTCGAGGATCGTGAGATATTAACGGTTGCGACTGTGGTTGTGGTTGTGGTTGTGATTGTGATGGTAATTGTGATTGAGGTTGTTGTGGGCGTGGATGTGGATGTGGATGTAGTTCGGTATTGCCAATCCTCTCCGATGGACCCCTGAGGATTGGGGAGGTTCCCTGAACCCCCCCTGGAGTTGTGGTGGCATGGGTCAACGGTGTAGGCGTCGGTAGTCCGGTCTGGGGCGCATTTGACCGAGTGGCAGACACGGGCGGGGTGCCTCCGGTCGGAGGGGAGGGCAAAGTTGTCAACAAGGGACTGGGTCCGACCGGAGCACCATTCCGATCAATCGCACTGATGGGGCTGGGCTGGGAGCATGAGATACTCGGATCGGGCGACGGGAGCGCGGTGGTTTGACAAGTCACCGATCGAACGGCTGTCGCAATGGTAGTAGAACTGGCCAGCGGCAGGGTCGGAAAACTGCGGCTGAGATTGGACTCCTTCTCATTCCTCCCATTTGAGGTCGAGATGGGCTGGAGGGGGTCGGATTGAGCCATCGGACCGGAGGGAGGAAGAGGAGGAGGAGGAGGAGGCGGCGGCGGCGGCGGAGCGGCAGACGGCGAGGAGGTGGTGACGGAGGACGAGGAGGGAGTAGCGGTGGTGGTGGTAGTGGTAGTAGTGGAGGTGGTGAGGTCGACGGGAGGCCCACGAGGAGGAGTTTCCCGCAGACGCGCCCTCCGCTGTGGACTCCCTGACGGGCCCCCAGAAGCTGCCGTGGACGTGGGAGCCGAACGGGTGGTGGTTGAACGCGGGGGAGAGGCCGAGGCGTTGGAGGCGAGGGGAGGCCCTGTGGCCATTGTATCCCGCATCCAGGATCGTCGCACACCCCCAAGAAATATGTTGGCCGTCGAATTGCTCGATTCAAAGCCAAGGTTCGCAGGATCGCTTCGGCGATTACTTCCGCGCGGACTCATCCTGGCATTTTCGGGGAAGCAGCACTGATTTGAGGATCGATGGTGATTCGTGGGGGTTGAGAACTTTGCAGAGAAGGGGAAAAAAAAAGAGGAAAACTTGAAGCTGGGTGAGTACGATGGGGGAGAAAGAACCAAAGATGACCAACCGACCAAACCCAGGCCAACTAACGTCCACTGAATGAAATGAGGTTCGTTTGTGGGAGGCGCCGCTGGGTCGGGGAGGGCGCGTCGGGGAGAGCAATCAATCACTTGGAACGTACTATATCTAGAACAGTAGTAGCAGTCTAGGACCAGATACTTCCCACTCGAAAAGAGTCCAACCAGGACAAAAGTACGGGGACATGATCCGCCTGGGATTCACGCTCTCTACCCAGGCACTAGGCAGACAGGCAGGCAGGCAGATAACTACTAGATCGGTGGGTTGAGATGGATGGATCCCGATGGAAGTGAATGAATGGATTCAAAGGAGAGCGACAAACCAGGGTCATCCCAGTGCATGGCTGAGAATGCGATGGATCATGGAGGTTCATTTGATTACGGGATGTGAGAAATAAGACGGAAAGGAGGAAGTGGATGGAGAAGACCGATAAACTCTACTCTGAAAGTACTGCGCAAGGTGGTGGTGATGGTGATAATGGTGGTGGTGGTGGTGAAGATGCTGCCGGCTTCTTCCCTACTTAACTGTACATATCTAGTAGGTAGATAGGTACAGGCCTTCCCTGGTTAGGGCACTGGTTCTTCCTCCTTCATCTGCAGCGACGCCATGGAAGCATCAAGAAACAGGGAGCAGAGAAGATTCCGTCTGTCGAGGAAGCATGGAAGGAAAGGTGCATCTCACACCGAAGATTCCATCGATCGACCTGTCTGTTTGTTTATAAATAGTGGATTGGCGCCGAATGCGATGCATCGACTCGTTGGCTGCCCGGATGCGTGATGGATCAGAGCCTGGAATGTCGATCCTGCAGGGGAGGCGATGTAGCTAAAACATGTTCGCCATTTGGGGGGAGGGGGAAAGGTTGACTGGATTACGGGGTTGTGCCGTTGTGGATGAGTTCGAGAATTGGAGTATGTGTCTACCTCTGGAGTACGGGACGAAATCGCAGGGCGAGCTCGAATGACGCCTGACATAACCCGACCTGAAATGGGGATGGCCTCACTTTGTCCGGATAAAGGGCTGCCAGGTGTCGGGACGAATCCGTTGGCTCCAGTCAGGAGGGCGAACAAGTCAGCGCATGCCAATCTTGCCGGTGGTAGTCTGTTTCAGGGCGGCTGCTTCCTCCTACTACGACCTACGTAGATACTACTAGGAGGGAGCTGTGCCTGATGCTGGTGAAGTTGGCACTTGCCCAGTGGTGGTTTCCTGGTCGCCTCCTGCCCAAACCGGTAAGATTTATTACCTCGTTCGCATCCCCCGCTTCCATGGTTTGCTTCAGTTTGCTTTCGCTTTCTTTCTTTCTTTCTTCGCTTCGCTTCACTTCACTTACCTGCGTCCCTTGAATTACTTCACTTGCCTCCCCTCTTCATCTACTTCACCTTCTCCTCTTCCACCTCCAGAACTAGTGTGTTCTCCCTTTTCCATCTCACCACCACTTCATTCATCTATCCATCCCAATCCTATCTATCTTATTCTATCCTCCAAATCCAATTCATACCTCTCACCTCAAACTTAAAGATACATCAACCTTCTCCTCCTACCTACTCCTCCGCCGCCCACTGATCCACTCAACTAGCCGCCCTCTTAGCGCCTGCAGTCTGCAGCTGTGATCTGATTTGATCATTATTTTCGGTTGCAATCCTGACCGACCGGCCCTGTCCCGGCGGGATCGTCACTGTCTTATTATCGACTTCACCTGCTGCTATCATTCAATCTCTTCCTCGGTTCTCAATTTCTCTACCTACTTTCTACGTTCTACACGTCAGACCGCGTATCGCCCGGAGTAGCCCACTGACGCAGCTCATCGATCTCACTCAAAAGCTCTGGCCACCCCCATTTAATATCCTTCGACGGAGCTCCGTCTACCTACTTCATCTACTACTAGTCGGACCCATCCGTTCATCTCGCCTCGCTGCGTGCCAGATTCCTCCCTTCAACCTTCTCCGCCTGTTTACATTCCTCCGCTGGCATCCATTCTCTTGACCTCGATAGTCTCCGTCCGTCTGCTTCTTAATTACCCGGGAGGGCGGCTTGCCCCATGTCCGGCGCAATTCCTCCCCTCCCATCTGTGTTGTCGCTTTCTACCTAGGCCGTTTTCCCCCACTTGGGCGCTTTAACCGGCCTCCCTTTCGTCATCCCCTTTCGTCACATCCTCGCTTCCTTATTCTCACTAGCCCCAACACCACGAAGGATACACAATGGCTCTCACAATACCTCCCCGTGGGGTGAGCCCCGGTGACCTTCTTCTCGTCGTTCGTAAGTGACGTCTTCTTCCCTGTTCGGTCGCAATGTGCGACCCCGCCTGTCCGTGCTCATCTGACTGATCCGCTTACCACCATTTTAGATGATTTCGATGCGCGCGGCCCTGATGAACTCACTTTGCGCCGCGGGGAGAAAATTGAGCTCGTAGAGCTGGATGATGGGTTCGGGGACGGTTGGTATCTAGGGAAGGATTTGAATACGGGCTCCACTGGTCTTTTCCCGGGAGGTACGAGACCTAACAGACGCCTACAACTTGCACGGCCGTGTTACTAACTACAATTCCCGGGGTTGCTGCAGTCTACACAACTACTGCGCCTACAATTCCCTCTAGGCAACGGGTAGATGCTCCTGGCACGGCCATATTCGGCTCGGATGCCGGGACCGATTCGGAATCGAGCCAGTTGGAAACCACAGATTTCGTCTCATTTCCTCAGAGCGCCGATTCCACTCCGCATGTCTCGCGCCATACCAGCGCTTCGGACCTGCGGGCACCAGACTTGCAAGGAGGTCCCGTCGCCCCAGCTCTTTCTCCCAAACAGCAACAGCGTTCCAGTTCCTCTCCCTTGCCCACGTCCAAGATGAGTGTTGACATCCAACCATCGATCCGGCAGACCATGGACGGCCATCACGTCAATGGACAAGATAGCCCCGTCATGAATGAGACACTTAGTGTTATCGATGAGCATATTACCGATCTCAGCACGCCGCGGCACAGTGTCGCCGGCCAGGAGCCGAAGCTGATGAACGATTCTGCTAGTGAGTACAGTAGCCACTTCGAGCACCGCTTGTCCTATATCAATGGGCACGAGACCGATGAGGAAGAAGAGAACCAGCCGCGTGAGGAGCAGGTCCGGCGTTGGACGCCGACCGAAACTGCCAAGCAGCTGCGGCAATGGGGTGTTGAGGACAAACACTGTGACATCTTCGTGGAGCAGGAGATCACAGGCGATGTGTTGCTGGATATGAACCAAGACTTCCTCTTTATGAAGGAGTTTGACTTTGGTGTCATGGGCCGTCGATTGAAAACTTGGCACAAGATCCGAACATTCCAGGAGGAGATCAAGGGCGTTAGCCCGCCGCCACAGCATCATCCTCGCGGCTCAGTGGCTGCTGTTCCCGCTCCACCAGAGGAGCGAGCCCTCAGTCGTGCGAGTCATACGGGTCCGCTCCTCCCCAGGATCCCGACGCTACGAGGGTCGAATGGCAGCACCCAGCACCCACGTCTGGTCAGCAACAGTCTTCATAGCAACGCCAGCTCGCCGATTACGCCGCAGACGCCAAACTACGTGGCCCACTCTCGACGACCATCGGCTGCCTCCATCCGGGAGATAAACCACTCTCGGCGACACTCGTCCATTGATGCGACCAATCGGTACTCGGGTGCTCTGGATGGGTCTCCTGGCACTAACCACCGAGGTTCGTTTGATCGCGGCTGGACTCTTTCCAGCGGGGCCCAGCGGCTGCCTCCTCGTCCAGGGACCGCGGCTGGGACATCTCATCCTCAGCAGACTGGGATCCAGCCTCAACCGAGTCATCGTCCCTCAGAGTCTAACGGGTCAGACCCGGCGGTCGCCGTAACAGATGATCTAGATCGAGGCTACTTTTCTGGACCGGAGGGAGACATGCGAAAGAACCGGCGTCTGCTGCAGAAGCGTCAATCCGCAGCGGGCAGTGCCGACTCCCGGCCATCGAACCTCGGGGATGACCAGATCCGCGTCGGCAAGCGCCATTCACGCATTGGGAGCATGGATTCGATCCGGGAGTCTGTGAAGCAGATGTCTCCGCCATCGAAATCACACACTAGCCCGATGCCCAAGGGCCGCCTCCGCAGCCTGAGCACCCGCATGGCTGACCGTCGAGGCCAACAGTCGGCGCCCACTTCCGCGGTGGAGGACCGCTCCTCGGGTTCGTTGGGTCTATTTGGTCCGCTTTTTGGCAAGTCCGACAGTGACTCCTCGCGATCATCCGCTATGCCATTGCCCCAGCTCAAGGGTGCAGGGCCCAAATTTCGACGCGCCATGGGGATTCGTGCCACATCTGACGTGGTTGCTAAGGGCATTGACACGTCGACCCCACCACCGGCATCCCCTGTCCGGGACAACGACCCTTCAGCACGGACCGGGTCTACTACTCCCTCGACGACCAAGAGCTCTGAGCGACTCAGCACGGACGGATCGAACAAGACCGCTGAGGGCGGGCTGTGGCCTCGATCTCGGCCGTCCGTCAAGGCGGGGGTCAAGTCGAAAAAAGACACCAGCGCCTACACTCGCGGGCTGGAAAAGAAGTCGCCGCAGGAGCAGATGGTGGGATGTGAATACTTTGGGTGGATGAAGAAACGGTCTTCAAATCTGATGACAACTTGGAAGCCGCGTCTCTTTGTCTTACGGGGACGTCGCCTGTCGTACTACTACTCGGAAAAGGACACAGAAGAGCGGGGCCTCATTGACATCACTGCCCATCGGGTGCTGCGTGCGGACAACGACCCTATTGTGGCCCTGCATGCAACCATCACGGGCTCTACCGCGTCGCCCACTCCGGCCACCCCGGTGAACCATTCTGACGGGGTGTCATCCGACAAGGCCGGTGTCGATTCCCAGCGGGGAAGCAAGGGCGGTGGGGACGGGCCGTTCTTCTTCAAGCTGGTGCCACCTAAGTCTGGGACGTCGCGAACGGTACAATTTACCAAGCCGGCGATCCATTATTTCCAAGTGGACAGCGTGCAGGAGGGACGATTGTGGATGGCGGCGTTGATGAAGGCGACGATAGAGCGGGACATGGCATTGCCGGTGGAGACGACGAACAAGCAACGCACGATCAGTCTCAAGGAGGCTCGGTTGATGAACCAGCGCCCTCCGGCACTGATGACGGGTCCCGGTGGTTCCTCGAAGACGACGGAGATGGAAGCGCGGGACGGACTGGGCGATATGGAGAAGGACAGCAATGGACTGATGATTCAGGGGGTGCCTCTGGATTCCGAGACGGACCCGGAACCAGTGTATGTGGATGCGGAGGAGAATCGGTCGTCGAGTCCGTTGGAGATGGATGAGGGGTCTCTGCTAGGTGGGACGCGGAGCTCGCGGTGATAGGGGTGGATTTCTTTGCGTGATTTGAATTTCTTGACCGCAGCCCGTTTGGCGTTTATGTGATATACCCCGTTTGGTTTGCCAATGAAGGCGTCGTTATGCTCTCTCTCTCTCCTTTGACCCATGTCCTCTGTAGTTGTTTGTGAAGTGTGCTAGCGCTGGCAACACTGCTTACCTAGAACGCTACTTACCTGTTTACTACGTATCTAGAATCACTGTTGATACTGCTTAACTCTTCCAAGACCCTTTGCATTTGCAACGCCAGGATCTAGTCGATATCTACTAGTATGTCGATCGGCGGGCCGCGTCACCAATCAGCGCGGGTCACCCGCCCTCCAACAAACAGCCCGCATCCGATCCCTTTCTTCTTGTCCGTTTTCTTCCTCTCCTTGTCTCTTTGTTGTCTCGCAAGATGATGATGATGGATTGATTGATCTGGTGTCCGACCCGTCCGACTCTCCTTGAACCGTTTATTTCCTTCTTGTCATTCCTTTTCGTTTGTCGATGCGGCCCTCCCAATGTTCCTCCGCCTGCTCCTCCGCCGCGTGCTGGCCGTGCTCGTCCCACTGGCCCTGACCAGCACCCTCTATCTCTATCTTTACCCGCTCTTTCATGGCTGCGCATTCCCTCTCCCCGACGACTCGCCCTCCCCAATCCCTCTCCTCTCCATCCCTCACCTTTCGCCCTCCTTCCTAACCACCCTCCGCGGTCACCTTTCTCCTTCCCTGTCCTCCGCCTCGCCCTCCGACTCCCCGATCTTCCGCCTCCTTGTTCTCGCCGACCCCCAACTCGAAGGCGACTCCTCGCTCCCCAAACCCCACGAGCAGCTCCCGGCCCGCCTATCCAACTACTACGCCGACCTGCGCTCCTCTCTCCGCACAAAACCCCCCTCCGCAACCCTCTCCACCCTCCGCTCTGTCCTCCGCTCCCTGGTCCACGACGACGTGCCTCGCGCATTCCGCGCCGCGCGCAAACGTCTCGACCTCCTCGGAAATGACTACTATCTCGCACACATCTACCGCACCCTGCACTGGTGGAGTGTACCCACCCATGTCACGGTGCTGGGGGATTTAATAGGCAGTCAGTGGGTGAGCGAGGGGGAGTTTGAGGCCCGGGGGGAACGGTTCTGGGAGAGGGTGTTTCGGGGAGGTAAAAGGGTGGAGGATCATATTTCCCATGGGATGGGGGTGGAGGTCCTGGGAGAGGATGGAGGGTGGGACAAACGTGTTGTCAATGTCGTGGGGAATCATGATGTTGGGTATGCGGGGGATGTGAGTCGGGGGAGGATCGAGAGGTTTGAGAGGGTTTTTGGGAAGGGGGAGTGGGATGTTAAATTCCGGTTGCCTTCCTCTTCCTCTTTATCAGTGAATGGAGAGGAGGGTGAAGAGAAAGAGGGAGAATCTCCCACTATCCACCTCATCAACCTCAACAGTCTCATTCTGGACACTCCCGCCCTGGATCCGGATATCCAGGCCACCGCATACGAGTACCTGAATGGGTTGTTGGATCAACGCAGTCCCCCCGTTACCGGGGACCGGAATCGCACTTTCACGCTCTTATTGACTCATCTCCCCCTCCATAAGAAGGAAGGGGTGTGTACAGATGCGCCGTACTTTGCTTTCCATGAGGAGGATGACTCCCAAGACGAGCCGCGGTTCTACGAGAGTGGATTAAAGGAGCAGAATCACTTGAGCGAGTATGTGAGTGCGAATGCTGTCCTTGAGGGTGTGTTCGGTATGAGTGGCGATGAGAGTGTACCCGGGGGTGGATGGGGTAGAAACGGGCTCATTTTAACTGGCCACGATCACACTGGATGTGATGTGGTGCATTTTGTGAATCGTACAGTGGGGGAGGAGAGTGAGTGGGGGTGGGATGCAGTGGGATATGGGGACTTGGAGAGCAACAAGGAGAAGAGCATGGGAGTCCCGGCCATTAGGGAGGTCACAATGCGATCCATGATGGGGGAGTATGGGGGGTATGCTGGGTTGTTGTCGGTATGGTTTGATGGCGAGTGGCAGTATCGCATTCAGATGTGTGCTGCGGGTGTGCAGCATGTATGGTGGGCGGTGCATGTGTTGGATGTGGTGACTGCGGTGTTGGTGTTGATATTCCTATGTGGTTCTGGACAGGCGTCTAGTGTAGTATCTGCTGGAAAAGATACCCAGGCGCGAAGGAAGACCAAGGAGAAGGAGAAGAAGGAGCAATAAGTACAGTATGATATGGTCTATATATAGATAGAAGCATCCATCCCCAGTATAGTAGTACTATATAGTAAAAAGTTGATTAGATCACTCTGACAAGTGCCAATTTACATTCTATCCAATCTATCAGCTCTACTTTACATGAAACAGACAATCCAGGCCACATAGTACTACCTAACAGAGAGCTGATATCTAATCTCTATTCCATCAACAGAGTACTACCTCAACACCATAACCACAACCCACCATCTAAACGCACATCTACACTACAAGCTTAACGCCCCAATTTAAATTTTTATGAATCATTTTCATTTTTGTTGTTGTTGGTCATACTAAAACTGGTACCACACCCTGAAAAGCCCGACTCTGGTATCGTTTCAAATTCCTCACGGTCCACCGCACCGAAAAGGCAATTTACATGACGACACCGGAGTTGGAGGCAATACGCTAGATCACGTATTAGCACCTTGCATATACCCCAAGATAATAGGATTAGGTGCAGGGAAAAACTCACAGGCCAAAGCTCAGCAGCCTCCTTACCAACGGGACCAGTGATAGCGGAACCCTTCATCTCACCCTTGGCGTTGACGATCTATTATCATTATCATTAGTACCTCACTCTTTCACAAATAGCCATATACAAACAATCCCTAATGGGATTGCTAGATACACAGGGGGTAAAGGGTACGTACAACACCAGCGTTGTCCTCGAAGTAAAGGTAGATACCGTCGGGGCGTCTCCAGGGCTTGCTCTGACGGACGACAACAGCGGGCATGACCTTCTTCCGGAGCTCAGGCTTTCCCTTCTTGACGGTGGCCATGACCATGTCACCGACACCGGCGGCGGGGAGACGGTTCAGACGAGCACCGATACCCTTAACGGAGATGATGTACAGGTTGCGAGCACCGGAGTTATCGCAGCAGTTGAGAACGGCGCCGCTGTGGGGTATTATTAGCTTTCGTTTTCCTTCTTATTTTCGGTTCATGTTCGTGGATGGTATGGCATATAGACGGCATGTGTGGGATTCTTCGATGAATATGTTGGTGTGCATGTGTCGAAACCGGGGTCCTCGAGACCAAGGAAGAAAAAAAAAAGGCCGTGAAATATCAGGCGTGAATATGAACGTACCAAGGGAGACCAAGGGTCATCTTGAGCTTATTGCCGGAACAACCGCGTCTATTAAAAGAAGAAATAGTTAGCTTTGTCCATATCATAATCACCAGATCAAATTGAAGCGTCCGGATTTCCGCATCTCTTTCCCCCCCAAACTCATTCTTATTCTCTGATATCAATCATATCTCTCCCATCAACCAAAGTCGCAATTTGCATGCAACCAATCCCGGAAAAATAATTCCCTCCATCTCTTCCTCTTCCTCTTCTCGCAGCCGTATCTTCTTCTCCCCATCTCCTTCAAATCCTCGGTTTCCGGACGCAATATTCCTCCCGCAACATTCCGCATAGGAGGGACAAAAACTCACCCTCTACCAGACATCTTGGCTGTGTATCTCTAAACGGGGTGTCGGATAGAAATTGGGCGACAGGGAGGGGGGGCGACAGACAGGTCGAAGGGGTGGAATCTGGCGGTCGTCTTCGAATCGAAGGGTTGGTCGCGGGTTTCGATTTGCTTCTCGCTTAGTGTGCGTCGTGGGTAAAATCTTGGCGCTGCTATGTGATTGGTTGGTTGGCCCCGCGAGTCCGTTGCCCTAGATTTAGGCTGTAATGGGGTTAGTGGATTTGGGGGATGACTCAGCGGGTTTACTCTTGACTGTTGTAGTTGACAGTTGATAGATAGATAGGTAGTAGCGAGGTACATATAGTATTTCCAGCTAAGTACAAAAGAATAATATCTAATCAATCAGCCAAATAATTGCTTCAAATGTAGAATATCCCCATGCGAATCGATGCTTCTCCCAAACACCTTCCGGCCGTCCTTTGCGCCAAACGTAGACCCGTGCTTTCGGGCGACTCACTCCTCGCTCTTGCTCGCCTCCGTCTGTCCATGGCCTGTCGCCTCTGCGCTGGGCCTCTGTTCAGTCGTCGTCGCTCCGCTCTCGTCCTTGGACGCTTCCGGAGTCTTGCCCTTGGTCTCGCTCGTCTCGCTGGGTTCGGCCGGCTTGACCGCTCCCGTCTCCGCGGCCTCGGCGGATTCGCTCGTCTCTTTTGGAGGTGATGGGTCTTTAGCTGCGGATGATGATTCCGGGGCGGACTTGTCAGCCGCAGGGATCTCTTCGCTGGGTTTCTTCTCCTCCTCGCTCTGGCCCTCGGCAACCGCCTCGGACTTCTCTGGTTGAGGCGTATCCTCACCCGCATCTACCATTGGCGTGTCTTCATCCTGGGGCTTGGGAGAAGGTTGGCGTGAGATCGGTGCCGAGGGCGCCGCCGGTTCTTGTCCATCCACCGCCATCTCCGTCTGCTCCGTCGCAGATGCATCCTCCGCCCTGGACGGTGCCTCGGCTGCTGAGGGTGTGCCTTGCGCCTCAGTCTCCGGCTCTGGGGCCTCAGTCATCTTCGCATCACCTGTCGCATCCATGTCATCGTCCGGGATCGAAGAAGCGTCCTGTGGCGTCGCCATGCCACTCTCGAGCCCCGAATCGTTGACGTCGAGATTCCGGTAGTTGACTTGATTCCTCCGCTTGAGCACGCCAGGCTGCCGGCGGACGCCGTTGGCCGCCGCCTCGTCTTCGTCCTCACTGTCGCTGAGCTCGCCGGGCTTCTCAATGTACTGGTCGAAGCGTCGCTTGGTGAAGCGTTTGTCTTTGTTCTCGTCCTCATCCAGGTCGTCCAGGATCGCATCAGCCTCGTCGTCCATTCCCTCAACGAGAGGCTCCCGCGGCACATCAGTCATTTGTACGGACGGTGCGAAGGCGGTCCGTTTGAGGTTCTCTACAACTTGTGTGCGGATTTTGTCGAGGTATTCCTTGGTATTAGCGTTGTCCATGTTTGACGGGCGTACATCCAGCTCGTAATCGGGTGCAAAGTACTAATCCTGTTAGCCGAGTATAGCCACCTCGAGATAACAACCTACCTCGTAGTAGTCATTGTACGGAAGGTCCGCTGTTAGAGTATCACCGACAAGGATACCGGTTTCAAAGGCCCAGGTACGTGCCACATTACGCATCGTGTAACCACCACCGCCAAGAATCATGGTCGGCAAGTTGAAGCTCTTGACGAAGTTGACGCAGTTGGCGTGCCCCCGCATACTGAGGTTGAAGCACCCCAGCCGGTCGCCCGACAGACTGTCGCCACCGCACTGCAGGACCACCGCTTCGGGCCGGTACCACTCCATAACGCTCTTGATGACGGGCTCGAAAATACTCTTGTACGAGATATCGTCGATGCCGTCGCGGAGAGGGAAGTTGACGGCGTAGTACTTGCCCTGCCCCACTCCGATATCGCGGAGCTCACCCGTGCCCGGGAAGTACTCGCCGTACTTGTGGAAGGACACCGTCATCACACGGTCTGTCGTGTAGAATGCTTCTTCGACACCGTCTCCATGATGGACATCGATGTCAACGTAAAGCACTCGCTGCTTGAACCGCAGCAGTTCCAGGATACCCAGAACGATGTCTGCCCGTCATGTCAGCGGGCACCCAGCACATGTCTCACGCAACTTACCGTTCACATAACAGAAACCACTCGCTTCGCTCTTCTTGGCGTGGTGAAGACCACCGGCCCAGTTGACGGCAATGTCGCACTTATTACGATTAAGCCGTGCGGCACCCTCCATACTGCCTCCCGCGCTGATACCGCAAAACTCAAAGAGCCCATCAAAGACGGGACAATCATCCCCGACGTTGTACTTGCTCTGCTCCTTCGCGAAAGAGTCCATGTTATCCGGTGTTACTTTAGAAAGAAAATCGATGTACTCGTCCGTGTGGAATTGGGTCATTTCGTATTTCGAGGCCGGTTTCGCGCGCTGGAGATTTCATTAATGGGCTGGTTTTCAATGCAGTGGCAAAGATCCCGAGTCGGATCCAGCCGGATTTACTCACATATATCTCCATCTTCTTGTAGAGGCCATAGTTCATGACCAAACTGTGGGCCATTCTTATGCGATGGGGCTTCATGGGGTGACCAGAAACATAGGCATAGTTTCCCACGTCGGAGTCGTAGAAGTAGGCGACTTTCTTATTGCGATCCGCCGACCCATTGGTGATGGGGTCCAGGGGTGCCAAAGAAGTCATCTTGAAGGGCAATGTGCGAGGCACACGGCGATTCCTCACTCAGTCCAATGTGGAGTATTATCGCGGTGATTTCTCGGAGTGCAGATGGATGTTAGGGTCGTGTAAAGGGACGAAAGGGACACTTGGACAAGTAAACCCGTGATAGGTGGAACAGAAAAAACCCTCCTATGTAAGTCAACGGCGAATGCTAACAGACTGGGGACTAACGGGGCTGCATTCCCAATGACCGGGGCGAACCATAAGTGATGGGGAAGAAAGGAACCTAGTAGCGAAGGGGAGGCGCAAAGGCGGGAACCCCGAGCTGCTCCACCGCCTTCGTCAGGCTTCTTGGGAGCTCGGCCGTCACTGCTCGCCCCAATTGCACCTCCATCTCCCACCTCTTCCTCATCTTCAGCTCTCGTTCATCTCACCTTCTGGCCCCTCGGTACCAGATTGTCTCCTTGTGCCGATTTCCTGAATATCTACGCTATCCTAGCCACGAAATTTTCTCTGATCCCTCCCACCTATCTCCCGGTTGGAGCTTCCGCGTAGGAAGTCATCCGTTGTCTCATTTCCATCTCACATCAATCAACCCACCGTCTCAATCATGGACCGTCTGCATCGCATGCTCCAAGCTGCCCAGGGCATGGGCGTTGGGGGTGCCGGCTCTAATGGCGTAAGTATCACCCTAATGGTCGATCACATCCATGGACCTTCAAATGGCTAGTTGCCCGCGTCGACTTGCAGCGATTCGCTGTGAAGCATTCACATCTCTTCCAAGGATCTATAGCACACATAGCTAATTCCAATGTCTAGGATATTCCCAACCTCATCGATAACTCCGAAACTGTCCACATCTCCTCGCTCGCTCTGTTGAAGATGCTAAGGCATGGTCGGGCCGGTGTGCCCATGGAAGTCATGGGCTTGATGCTGGGAGAGTTTGTGGATGAGTACACAGTCCGGGTGGTTGACGTTTTCGCCATGCCCCAAAGCGGTACCGGTGTCAGTGTTGAAGCCGTGGACCCTGTGTTCCAGACGAAGATGATGGATATGCTCCGGCAAACGGGACGGTAAGCTCGGAACACCCTTCGACCCCCGAACTCACACTAACGCACCCTGCTACAGACCAGAGACCGTTGTTGGCTGGTACCACTCACATCCTGGTTTCGGCTGCTGGCTCTCGTCTGTCGATATCAACACCCAGCAATCCTTCGAGCAGCTCACGCCTCGCGCCGTGGCCGTGGTCGTCGACCCCATCCAGTCCGTCAAGGGTAAGGTCGTCATCGACGCCTTCCGTCTTATCCAACCGCAGACCGTCGTCATGGGCCAGGAGCCCCGCCAAACAACTTCCAACCTGGGTCACCTGAACAAGCCGTCCATCCAGGCCCTCATCCATGGCCTGAACCGCCATTACTACAGTATCGCGATCAACTACCGCAAGACCGGTCTTGAGGAGAACATGTTGATGAACCTGCACAAGCACGTCTGGACGGAGGCACTGCAGATGAAGGACTTCCATGAGGAGGGCGAGCACAACGTCGAACGCATGAGGCAGCTCGTGAGCCTGGCCGAGGGCTACGAGAAGCGGGTCAAGGAGGAGACCACGCTCTCGAAGGACCAGCTCAAGACAAGATATGTCGGAAAGGTCGATCCTAAGAAGCGTAGGTTACTCATTCGCATCTTCCACCGTTCTGTTACTAATTTGAATCGCTACAGATATCGAAGATGTCAGCCAGCAGTTGATTGAGGACAACATCGTTGCCGTGTCGCGACAGATGATCGATAAGGAAGCCTCGGTAGCACGGCTATCAAACGGCACGGAGGCCGAGAACGGCACCGGCATGGAAGTTGACGAGGAGCTATAGATGCGGCCAAGATACATTAACAGATATGAATTCAATGCCAATCAGCTGAGTTAGGCAATACCCCTACAGGCTTCATCATGTACAAGACGGTTACCTTGTCTTGGCAGACCATCAACGAATGACGTTACATGTATCGGACGGATCAGCCCGGCATATCGGTCTGAATAATACTACGTGATGTGAACATTCAGAAAGGGAGACAAACATCAGTCCTATCCTCTAAATCATCTATATAGTTGATATATATACATCTATTGTAAGCATAGCCCAGAAACGTGGAATCATAACCCCGCGCCGTCCCGCAGATGTAAAACTAATCCAAACCCAGCATCGTGTTCATAGCATCGTAGATCAATCATAAAGGTACGGGCTCAGTAGCGGCACCGGCAGCGTCTGCGGTGAGAACCCATTCAAGCGGGCCAATTCCCTTGCCTCTTCTTGAGCCTTTATCAGCTGAGCCTTCTCCTGTTGCGCCCTTTCTTGCGCCTTCTCATGCGCCTTAATGCCGTACACATCGTCACTGAATTCCTCTCCATCGTAATCCGTCCAGCCGCGTTCAGGTCCCCAGGCAATTTTCCTCCCCGCTGTCCTGACCTCCTCCATCAACCGCTTCATCAGCGCCCCGCTCTTCCGCACCGACGGCCACGCATCAAACTCGACATATTCCAGATTTGGCAGTTTCGACAGCACCTCGCTCAGCAGATCGCCCGCAAAATCTGTATAGTAGTCCTTGGAGACCCGGAAACCCTCGAATACCGGATGCGACGGGTCACACTCGATGAACACCTTGAAGGTGCGGATCCGGACCATCTCCTCCAGACCCAGACTGCGGGTGACGGTCCATTCGCGGGGTGGTGCCGTCCAGCTCGAACCCAAGATTAATTCGATGGTGGCAATAGAGGGGCGGTACTGGGGCGCGATGGCGCGAATGGTCGGCATGCGCGAGTAATCCTGGATATGAAACAGACGGAAGGTCTGGGTGGCGTAGAAATAATCGGAAGCTTCATTGTGCATGCGCCGGGAGGTTAGGAACAGGGCGACTCGGTGCGAAGTGGGAGAGAGCGGGGGGTTTCGTTTGGATGAGGCGCCTACATTGCCGGTGGTTCGTGGGGTGCGTCTGCGCCGGGGCGTGAAGAGCACGAAGCCGTAGATGCGTAGACGAATTTCTGAGGGGAGGTCAAAGAAGCGAAATGGCTCCACGGGACCCTTTCGGGCTTGTTTTTTCCTCTGGGGTTTGGCTTTGCTGGTTGATTTGGCGGCATCGTTGAGATTGACCTTCTCCAGGGCCTTGGAGAGCGAGTTCATCTTCGACATGGTGGCGATGGTCTGTCTGTGGTTGGAGAGGCAGAAATTGCACACAAGTCTAGAAATTATACGGCACGATACGAGAGTGAAGTATCTTAACTCGGGTAAATGATTGACTGATATTTTTTTTTCTCTGGATTGGTTTGGTTCATTCCATTGTTGCATGGAGCTGGAAGCCGAGAATTAACGACCGATACGACAACGCCGGGGGGTAGCGAGGAACCAGCACTACTTATGATGAAGGCGAAAAGGATTATATCCCACTAACGGGGCTGCAGCTGCATGGGAGACCTTCGCTGCGGCTCTTGGATATGGGACGGAAGAAGATCTTCACTTGGTCTCCCCAGCCTAATTCAACCCGGCATGCATGGAGGAGAGAGCCTGATGGGTCAAATTCGTGGACTGGGTGTCAACTTTCTGTGAAGAAGAAAAGAAAAAGAAGAGGAAAGGAAGGATTGGCCTCGGCGGTATTTAAACCCCAGTCCTGCACCTCGGGTGTCTGTGGCCCGCCCGACCGCGGTGCGTGAACTTTTCCGCCGAGCACCGGCTGAGCGCCGCCTGGCCGCCAACGACCAACTTCTTGATTCTTGACCATCACATCACATCCCCATCCCGCTGGCTCACTTCTGTTTGTGTTGGTGGTGCCCCCACGTCTGTCTTTGGCTCGGCGCGTGCGTACATCGTCTCCTTCTGTTTGTCTATAGATGCCCCTCTTCCTCTCATAATGCTTAGTCGTGCCGTACTGTCTCTGACGAGGCCAAACGTCCTCACCTCGACCGTTCGAGCCTCCACTGTATCCGTGCCCCATGCGCGCTGGTACGCAAAGAACAACAAGCCCAAGACCCCATACAAGCTCCCTCATCAGTCCAACAAGGCCGCCAAGTCCGAACAACCGGCCAAGCCTTCCTCTCAGAAAGAATACTCCGCGGAGCAAGCTGAATTCGATACCAAGGCTGAACCGGCTGCCGAAGCTGTGAGTTGATCTGGCTCTGATGTTCCTGGGCTGCCATCTGACTTTTAAATCAGTCCGAGACCGGTTCCACAGCTCCCCAGAAAGATACACCCCAAAAACCTCTTCCCGATCTCACCCAGGGTATTCCCTCCACCCTTGCCGCAGAATTGGAAGCCCGCTCGAAGAACCGCGGCTCCACCACCCTGAATCTCACTGAGGACCCAACGCGTGCGGATGAATACGATGATGGCGGTCGCGGCGATGTCCCCAACTACGAATCGTCTCTCGACCGCAAGCGCGCCCGCATGGCCAACCTGGTCTACGTCATGGTCCTGTTCGCAGGTGCCGGTGGTGTAGCATACCTGGGCCGGAACTGGGAGACCGAGGAGGAAGAGAAGGCTCACCCCGATGTTCCCTCGGGTTGGGGTTTGGGACTTATGTATAGCCGTGCTAAGGCCCGCTTGAGTGACATCACCAGTTACTACAAGGACCCGGCTTTCACCAAGCTGCTTCCCGACGAAGATCCCAACCTGCGCCAGCCTTACACCCTCGTGCTGAGTCTGGAAGACCTTCTGGTGCACAGCGAGTGGAGTCGTGAGCATGGCTGGCGTGTAGCCAAGCGACCGGGTGTCGACTACTTCCTCCGCTACCTCAACCAGTACTACGAACTCGTCCTCTTCACTAGCGTGCCCAGCATGATGGCCGACCAGGTGCTCCGGAAGCTCGACCCCTACCGCATCATCCGCTGGCCTTTGTTCCGTGAAGCCACCAAGTACAAGGACGGAGAGTACATCAAGGTAGGTCCCTGTGGTCGTATCGATCTGTCGTCGCACTAACACCGATAATCAGGACCTGTCCTACCTGAACCGTGACCTGTCCAAGGTTATCTTGATCGACACCAAGGAGGAACATGCCCGCCTGCAGCCCGAGAACGCCGTCATTCTCGACAAGTGGCACGGTGACTCCAAGGACAAGACCCTGGTCGCGCTGATCCCCTTCCTGGAATACCTTGCCGGTATGGGTGTGGAGGATGTGCGTACCGTCATCAAGTCCTTCGAGGGCACCCAGATCCCCGTGGAGTTTGCCAAGCGTGAGAAGGCCATGCGCGAGCGCTTCGAAAAGGAACTGGCCGAGGAGCAGAAGAAGCGCCCCCGCAGCGGCTTGGGCGGTTTCGCCTCTGCCCTTGGACTGAAGTCCGGCCGCACGCTGGACGGTGAGCAGAGCCCCTCGGAGGGCCTTGCCCAGGGTAAGATGCTGTGGGACCAGATCCGCGAGCGCGGCCAGAAGAACTACGAGATGATCGAGAAGGAGATCCGCGAGAACGGCGAGAAGTGGCTGGCGGAGATGGCCGCAGAGGAGGAGAAGGCCCGTCAGGAGCAGATGGCGATGATGAAGGGTTCCTTCACCGGCATGTTCGGTGCCGGTCCCAAGAAGGAGTAAATCAGCCATTGAGCATGACAGTGGCGTTCACGGAGCGCTTGCAATGACTTTCCTCTCTCTTCTCCCAATCACGGAGTTATTATAATGTATAACCGAGATGCTGTTTTGTTCTTGGGAACGGGGTTCACTTTAGAGGGTTCTTTGGTTCCTGTACCTCACAGGTTCCGTTGTAAAATAGCATTTGGTTGTGTATTTGCATGTATAAATTGAATCATTTTAATGTCATGCGTACCCACATATAGAAGTACTAGGAAATATACCTATGGACTCTGCTATGTCCATTCTCCGAAGTCCGAAGAAAAGATGGGAGTAGTAGTAGTAGTAGTATAAATTCAGTCTGTCGGTAGGTACTTTTCTCGACGTATACATTTCCGCGTCCATCCATCTACCCCACTAGACATTCTCCTTCATCCTACTACTCATCCAATCAAGTAATCAAATATGTCATCACGAAACCAAAACAATCAAAGTCAACAAAAAAAGTATAATTCGAGACTGATCACTATATACAATCAGTCCATCAGTCAATCAAGATACAAAACCTAAAACGAAAAACTGGGTATAAGTAATGAACTCCCCTCCTCTCGTCCCCTCCCCTCTCCTATCTTCATTCCATGCACTGCACTGTTGTTGAATACAATCAACTAAGATAATAAGATAAATCCTCTAGTAGTTGAAGTAGAAGGATATTTTCTCTTCCCTCCCAGCTCTCCCACTTCAGGGGAGGAGGAGGAGGGGTTCTTCTTACCTTTTTCCCTCTGCCGCCATAAATTACGTCTACGTCAAATTAACATCCTGAAAGACAGAGACATCCCAAATGCCTGTCATATCGAAAGGAAATCCATCCATGGTGCCAAAGGTACCGGAGATACTCATCATATCGTCGACGATGTCGTTGTTGGTTTGGGTTTCGGGGAGGGAGATAGCGGCCGGGTTGACGAGACTGTCTGGTTGGTGGCCGAGGTTGGTGAAGGTGGGCGGGTGCTCGGAGCTATTGTTGTTGTTGTTGGCGCCGGTGGTGCTGTTGAGGCGGTTGAGGAGGCGTTCGCAGTGGTCGAGACACATGTCGGCGACGTCCCAGTCTTCTTCTTCGCGGACGCGACGTAGTATCGAACGGAAGGTCTCGACGTTGGTGAGGCATGATCGGGCGACTTCTGGGTCGGTGGTTTCGAGGGCACATCGGACGAGGAGCGTCGCGGTGGTGGTGAGGTGGAAGGCGCTGTCTGTGGGAGGGGTTAGTCTCTCATGTTTTTCTCTGTTGTTGGGTTTGATCTTGGGGGAGGGAGCATACATGGAAGCCAAAATTCTTGAAAGTTTTGCTTTCGGAGGGAGGAGATGAATTGTACGATTTCTTCGGCAGATCGTCGACATTCGGTTTGGAAGTAGCGGCGGGCTTCCGGATTGTCGGCTTCGGCGTTGTTGACTTCCTGCGCAGGGTTGGTATGACGTGGGAATGATCGGGGTTGGGGCGATACTTACGTTCAGCTCGACGCGGCTTACGAGCATCTTCACGGCTAGGAAGCCAAGCTGCAGACTGCTGGTCCCCGAGATGCGATCCTCCGAGGGGTTTGTGCTGATTGGGTTGCGTAGCCAGTCAGGAAGCGAATCCTCCCAGACGTCGAGATCGGTGCGGATTTGTCGCACTTTCTTGGTGGTTTCGCGGTGGGCTCGATGTTGGAGGCCGTAGACGAGGGGCAACAGGTCGCCCAGGATCTCGGTGAGTCGGCACAGAGCAATGTGGCAGTGAGCAGCCCGTACGCGCTCCGGGGTGCGAGAAGTCTGGGGAATTAGGACGTCGATCGTGGGGAGAGGGACGTCATATTGGTTTTTGGCGATCTGAGGAGGCACGCCGTGACCGAAGCTCCCCCTGTGGATGTCAGTATGACCAGATGCATAGTATGGGGGTAAATAGCATCGGCTTACCAGCGGTCATGGATCACGACGCCCCACCAGAGCCGCATTCGATGGTTCTTCTCGGGGCGCGATAATTTCCAGTGACTGGGATCGCGATTTAAGCCAAGACAATGCGCAAGGGAGATCATTCGCCCGCAGCTGATGGCATTTCCGGTCATCGAGAAAATCGGCCGGCCTGTCAGATCGATGAGAGCCGCGCTGACTGTGGAAAGACCGGGCGCTGAAAACTCCTCGTGCAGCGCCGCGACAGTCATGTTGACTGCGTATCGGGGATCTGGTTTCGGGTGACAAGCCAACTTGGGCGTGTGCTTCCAGTAGACGAGCGACATCGAGTAGACCTGGCATAAAAGCGACGCGGGCGGGTCGCCTGGCGACTCGGAGAGGAACGCCTCCCAGAAAGTTTCTCCATCAAAGATCGGAAATGCCGCGTTGAACCTGTCAATGAACCTGAGGACCAGAGTTAGTATGTCGTCTCATGTCACCTTCCTGATCCGAACCCATGGGAAGCGTACAGTCTGACTAGGTCGCGCTTGAAAGGCCCGAGAATCTGCTCAAGGATCTCTTTCTGATTCTCTCCAGGAGGGACACCAACACGCATACCCTGCCTCCGGCGCGATACTGTCGTGTAAAGAATGGGCTTCCGCGGGTCACTCGAGTAGACGTTGTATGGCTGACTTTTCGGCTCCACGGATCTGCTGGTCCGCTCCGGAGGCATATACCTCTCAATAACCTGGGCATCCTCGGCCACCACAGGACCAACGATCAGAACCGACTCGTTATGGGGATCCTCGACTCCTTGGCTCCTGGAATCACTTCTCCGACGGTCCAAGGCCGAGTCCGAATGGGCCACGCTGGAAGCTCGTCGCCGGCTGCTATGCGACGGAGAATCTGTATCCGGGGAGTGTTTGCGCTTCTGACCTAAAGACGAGACACGCGCGTGGTCTGCCACCCATGGTTTAGGTTCATGGCCGTTGGTGAGCGGGGGATCATTGTTGGCCTCCTCTTGGTAATGACAATCTGCTCCTTGGACCCGGCACAAAAGGCATGATTGACCGGGGATATCGACTGTACAGCGGGATTTGCGCTTCCTGCACAAGTCGCAAGCCCTAACCTTGTGTGACCGATATGGTCTGGCGCCAGCATTGAACCCCGGAGAAGCCAGCTTCTGCGAGGAAGTGGTGGGAGCTGTAATCGGCGGCATGATGCGCCCCGATCGTGGTATTGGCGGCGCAAGCCGGTGACCATAAGCTGTAGTGCTTCAATTGGAAGTGTGACAGGTCGAAAAGCCGGGCTAACAACCAGCGGTGGGTAGGGGGATCGGACGAGCTGCAAGATGATCGGAGAGTTCCAACGGGGGTGCCTGGACTAGCACAGCTACCACAGCCAGTCATCCACCACTGATAATCGCGAGTTCTCGTCGGAGACCCGGCTAGATCACAAGGCCGAAGGGGAGCATTGGACCGGGGAGGATGCTAATCGCGTGGCTGCGCGGAAGGGTGCATAGTTCCTGGAGTTACCACCCAAGTGGCCCGACACGGAGCGAGCGATGAGGACCAATCTGTCTCGGCTTGCTGAGCCGATCTCCTTGCGTTTCTGGAGGAGCGCGCGATAAAAACCTGACGATTTTCCGAAATTCTTATCGGCGCTGCGAAACTGTGGGGGGAGTCACTGCTGAGTCAGCCAGGGCGGCCAACCACGTGCCGCCGATTGCCGTATTTATATCCGCGCGGCCCTTGCCCGGTTTGGGAGGGGTCAAGTCCCGTCTGGATCCCGTACTAGTCCGTACTCCTCCGGCTGTTAATAACACTGATACCCCGTACGGAGTAGTACATACAAGGCACCTCAGGCACTACTTGGTCCCTTCTCCTTCTCCTTCTCTTTCTCTCTCCCTCTTCCACTCGTACTACTCCGGATATCCCCATCCTTCTCTTTCACTCCAAACAATGCACGGAATGCTTCCCCGCTTCTGACCTGTCTACCACCTCCACACCCAACCCCCCCCCTCCTCCCTTCCCCGGTCATCTGAAACCGCCCCGTTTCAGAGGCAACGACGCATTGGCACAGAAGATCCCCGGTGCATTATTGGCGTGCGGGTGAGGGACACAGCCACCGACCTTGCTCGTTGGCGCTTCCCGCCTGCCCACCAACGTGCATCCTTCCTCGGGTCTTTTGCCCCTATGTCCTCGAAAAAGATGCTGGACGCGGATAATTGAACCCAGTGCCGTCTGCATTTGTTCCATCAAATGTAGACCCTCGTGGGTGATATCTACAATCGACCATGGAGGAGGATGTCCGGTTGCCCAACGCGGAGCGGCTTGGCGGCCCTCATCCCGATCCCCAGCACGGCTCCCTCAAACTGCACCAGGAGCTCTCCAAGAGCACGCCGCTGCACCGCGCAGACCAGGCCTCTTCGCCCTTCACCCGTTTGCCCCGTACGGTGATCGAGCAGTAAGTGCCCTCCAGTCTTCCCCAGAGCAGTGCTATCGCTAGCGACTGTCATGTGATCCATCACAGCTGCTGCCTGCGCTCGGACAATATCCATTTAACTGGCTGCATAGTATCCTATATGTCGCGGATGCAAACAGCTTTGCGTCGCTGGCCCTGCTGAACCGGAAATGGCGACGTATCTCCGACTCAACCCTCTTGTATGCTCACCACCTGTCACAATGCCCGTCCTTTGCCTTGACGCAGAAAGCCACCGAGGAGCCGGCGCACGCCGGCGATCTTGCGCTGCTCAAACAGCAATTTGGCGCCCAAGTTAGGCGGAATGCGTTTGATGCATTCCTCCGGCCTCGCAAGACGCTGATCAAGCTCACCTCGACGTCCATGAGCTCTTCGACAGCCTTTCCACGGGGTGAAGCCTTTCGCTTTTCTTTCTCTCCAAATGCGCAGCTCATCCTGTGCATCAGCTCCTCCAGAATCGTTGTTCTTGACATAACCTCAGATCCCGCGGCCGTGAAGCACGAGCTCAAAACATGGCGACGCCCATTGCATGCTGCGATTGTCGATGACGGCTCGCTTCTCGCTGTGGTGTCCTCCAGTCATCGGGTCAACATCTACCACCTGACCAACGACGAAGCAAGACACATTCAAGACCTGACTCTGAACGATATTCCTCGGACCCTCGCGCTCTCTCCGACCGGGGGCGTCCTCGCCATTGCGTACGATGATCGAGTCGAAGTATACGCCATCGGTGAAGAGGTGCTGGCCACAGAACGAAGAGCTGTGCGCTGCTCCGGGGTTGACTCGGTGTCGTTCTCCTCTGACGGTGTCATGCTACTAGGGACTTCCGCTGATCGCGGCAATGGCGGTCTGGTTACTATAACAGTGCCCTTTTATACCGAATCGGAAGCCGAGTACTCCCCGAGAGATGCGCAGATCCGGATGTGGACGACACAGATCCTGTTTCCAGACGTCACAACCGGATTCAGTCACGCATGTCTGCTTCCTCTGCACGCAGAAGGAGAAGGTAGCTGGATACTAGGGTTTGACGAACAGATGGCCACGTTCAGAGCATTTGGGGTTCATAATACAAACTCGGGCACCACGTATTTCGTGACTCCGATGTCTGATGACGGATCTCGGGAGTCTTCCCCAATCATGCTACCGACCGTTGACGATCAGGGCGAGCTGGTCGCATTGGGGTTCGAGAATTCTGGCCTCTGGGTGTATGGAGTGCCTGATCGTCTGGATATCGCCCCTGTAGCGCCTAGTGCAAGGTCATATTTTGGGATGGAGGTGGAGCAGGGCCCTCTAATCGTGGAAGCGACGGCTGCTCGTGACAGTTTATCTCGGTTACAGCAGTCTGTCACGAAGCCAAAGGTCCTCATCAATGGCCATAGGATGAGCGATATGCCTGGGATGACAGCGGCCCGCTGGGTACGCCATCCAAGCTGTATGGCTGACCATCGTAGATTGGTAGCCGTTGCTCCTGGTGGCATAAGCCCTCCAACCATTGGCGAAGAAGACGTTCCAGTGGATGGCGGACGGGTCCTTCTATTGGACTTTACACGATCCGCTAGGAATGGGGATTTGACTGAACTGAACATCGAGATCGGCGATGCGGAGCCGAAGATGCTGAGCGAGCCAAACTCTAGCCTGGACACTGAGGTTGAGTTGGAAAGGAGAAGGACGCGGTTGCATCGAGGGAATGCTGCTTCGCCGCGGGCGAGGGCATTTGCGAGGGAGTCATATCCATCAGCCAACACGGCCAGCTACGCTCCTCGGCCAAATGTCCGCAGAAATAGCTCCTTCTTTTCGGGTTCTTCAAACGGTGACATCCAACATATCCCGGAATCACCATACGATAACACGCAACCACGATCTCGGGACACGCTGCGTCGTGCAGCCACCGCTGCGGCTACGGGCCGTGGGCGCTACAACCCCCGGTACCAAGATGAAGCACGCCCCGTGCAAGATCAGAGGCCGGTCCAGGCTTTCCAGGTTCCCCATGAAAGCGATGCCGATAATTGGGTTCCACCTCCACCTCCTTACTCTAGCGTGCCCGACGCACCTCTTCCCGATTATCTCCGAAGGACCCTCCTCCCTTCGAATACAGAACCTGTCCATAGAGTCGGCGATGCTCCAACAGATGTTCGAAGACCCCAGACGAGCCGCTTAGAACGCATGGTGGACGAGACTCTACCTCGAACTTCGTTGCAAAGACTGCATACCATTACCGGGTCGCGGCTTGCTTCTCGCATGAGAAGGAGCATGAGAGACTCCGAGTCCGAACCCTCTGAACATAACCGGAGGCATACCACGTTCTTTCGCAGAAGAGGCTCTGCCACGGGCTCTCCACCCAATCTCCAAGAGCCCAACGGATTGCAGATGCCTTTGCCAGAACAGCATCCTTCTGTCAGCTCCCAGAGCCAACCGCAGCCTCTCAACGGCTCCACGCAGCCGAATCAAACCCAGTCCGCCCAACGGACTAATCATCAGGACGTCTTACTTGAGGAATCAGTAGACTGGCAGGAGTCTATACCAGCGAACCAACACGTGACATTCAACCTAGACAATTACCCGTACTCCATTTCCTCGCCCAATCTCCAGGTCTCCGCTTTCCAATATGACGCTCCCGAAGCCGTGCAGGGTAGTCAGCACCGCCCCAATTACCACCGGACGATAGACCGGCGCTCCCAATCTCAGGATGTCCGACTCCCACCCGGGGGGATTCCACCTTTGAACCGCCGGGCATCGACAGACCCAACTCTGTCTACCAGCTCACAAGTGGCTGCGCACGAGCTGTGGCGTCGACGCATCGAAGAATGGAACGAACAAACCATCTACGAAAGAAGCAAACGCAGAAGCAAATGTATAGTGATGTAGGAGGAGTGTGGTTAGCAGGCATGGATTAGATTGTTCAGGCTCTGGCTTTGGATCTTTTTGTGGTACACGTTAGCTTATATACCCGAGTGGACATACATAGGCTTTGTAGAGCTGTGCATAAGGTGATTTCTAATTTCTTTCCGCTCCAGTTTAGGAGTCTGTGGCACAACCTAAATCTACGAACCTACTTCAATCTCCGGAACCTTCACCTGTATCATCACCCGAGCCAACCCAGTAGCGCAGCCTATCGAACCTAGTTCGCCATTTATACTCTGGCTGATTCTTGTAGGTAAAGCTAGCTGAACAGTAGCTACCTCCAATCAACCAAGACCTACTTCGTATGCAGCATCCTGCCAGTACTAGGTCCTGGCCTGCGGAAAGCCCTCAGCGCTGCGAAGCGATATCATAAGCACCACTTAACGCATTCCTAAAAGCAACTAGCTCCATAAAGTTCCGTAGAACACCTAAAATCGCAGTACCTGATTCAGACCTAGGTAGGGTCTGAAAACTACTATGCAGTCCTTGCCTTCCAGCTGAAGCGGTGAGTCCTGACAATATAGCCCACGAGTGGTCAAATGAGCCAATACTAGGTCCTGGCCTGTGGGAAGCCCCCAGCCCAAGGCATTGCGAAGTGCCTTAGTAAGCAACATGCAACACACTTTGACTGCATTTATAGAGCTTTGTCAAGTGCATGTAAAGGGCTACTAAAGGGCTCCGTTGAGCGCTCTTAAAGGGCTTTGTTGAGTGCATTTAAAGGGCTACTAAAGGCCTTTATCAAGTGTTACTAAAGGGCTCTGTTGAGTGCTTTTAAAGGGCTCAGTCAAGTACAGCTCAGTCAAGTACTTAAAAATGCAGTATATAATTCAGATCTACAGTCTGAATCTATGTAAAGACCTGGTTTAGATCTACAGTCTGAATATAGACTGGAAGGTTTTTTTTTTCAGATCTCCTCCGAGATTCTTGTTGGGCTGAAGCAGTGAGTATTAGTAATATAGTTTAAGTCATGTTATAAGTGAATTAAATAACTAATTAGGAAGCTGAAATTGTGTAAATTATTAGATTAATGAGAAGTCTTGGAGCTGGAAACTTCCCTAGCAGGACTGAACCTAGTATTGCTCAGCGCTAGCGCGCTTTGCAAAAAAAGGCTGCACTTGTGATATGCCTGGACCAATCAGAAGCATTACATTGCCGGGACTCACCTCTAGGCATGAACACCTAGCAGTACTCCGTAGGTAGTTTTAGTAAGTAGTGTTACTCAGCGCTACAGTATAGATAGCACGCTTCACAAACCATCAGATACAAGGTAACAAGCCTGCCTGCCCGGCTCCTCCAGTCATTCCCTATTCAAATTTTACCTTACCATACACAAACAAGCCGGTAACTATTTACTATAGTTGCCCTCATCCACCCCGTAGAGCGATGATCAAATTCTTGATGTGAGCGTTGAACTTACCGCCAAGTACTGTAAGTGAATGGAGATAAGGAGAGAGGCGGAGGGATATCTCAAGAAAGGAATATTGATTTCTGGTTCGGGTAAAAGGAGTCATAGTGACTAGTCTAAAGGGCTATTTAGGTTTCATTTGCTGTTTTGGTGGAATGCATGAGGGTGATGGTTCTGACTGCGGAGGTTTTGAATAGGGAGGTAAAAGCGAGAATTATAGTGTTGCCGGTTGGTTTGTTTCTTCCGTAAGTGTCTTGAGACATTTGGTTGTGTGGTTATGGGGGGTAGGGGGTAGGGAGTAGGAAGTACCAATATGAATTGCAGCAGTTGAAGATACATACACAGGCTCAGGTTACAGTCTATGGAGCCTTTTCAAAGAGGAAAGGAATGGAAAAGAAAGGAAACAGATTAGGACAAAGCGAAGCAAAACAAAGCAGAATAAAGCAGAATAAAGCAAAACAAAAGAAAAAGAACCCGAAACTATACAATAGAAACACCAATTCACTAACATTCTCGCGTCCAACTGTCGTTACAAAGGGCCCCCAGCCACTCCAAGTACTCATTTTTATAGTCCCCGTCCTGCATAAACTTCAACAAGCCCATCACGGCTTTCAAGGCTTGGATCAGATCGGCTGTGTGCTTGAGATGGTACTCACGTGTTCTGAGGACCTTCACATGCAGATCCGCGGGCAACAACTCTCCCCGAACAGCCTCCAAGTACTCCTTAGTAAACTCGGCGTAGGAGAGCCGAAGACGTGTACCATGGATGGACACCAGCCATCCATCGTGACCATTGACCACCTCGTCAGATGAGCTGGTGCTGCAGGCACATGCCTGGCCGTAAAGCAACGCAAATTCTTGCGCCACAATGTCTTTTCGGTGCGGCTCTGGACCGTTTGCAGGGTGACGCACACCCACTCCAAGGTCTCTCCGCTTTGCCTAACAATTGTCCAAGTCAGTCTTTTGCCCATCCTTCTTTGTGCTACTGCCCCTCCGTTGCAAGAGACCACAGGAGTATGATGACGGAAGTATTTCTCACCACGAGAGACACAATGGGGACGTCTTGGAGATGACCATCTCGGTCCTGAACCACTATGCCCCCATTGCTTAAGCCCCTAGAGTCTGTCGCAGGAGACCTTGTCGGACCGATTTCCAGAGTGGTTCCCAAATATTTATTCGTCCTGTGATTGTATGTGATTGTAAGCGGGAGGAAGGTACTATGGCAATGCATGCCGGGCCACTTACAACACAAATAACCATCCGTCCTCTAGACTGCAACGCATGTTGAGTATGATGGCACGGAGAAAGGCGACTGCGAGTGCTTTGGACATGTTCGCTGACTCATACTCGTAGTCAGAGTCTGCATCTGGGTCATGCTTCTTACTTGCTCCGTGGAGGGATATGAAGAATTGCCGGATGGGATCTGGTAGGGTTGGTTTCCTAGCCGTTTTCCGCGGTAGCCTAGCACTTGCATCTGGTGATTGTTCAAACCAAGCCTTAAGCGCCCGAAACTCTAGTCCCAACCGGTGGTCAGCTTCTAATCCGCTTCGGTTCCATCATGGGAAATCCATACCTGCATCGCCGTCTCTAGGGATGTACCGCGCGAATGGAAAACTCTCGATGGGAACGTCATCTTCGTGCTTCACATGAAGACTCGTGGTATGTCTTTCTTTCCATTGGCAGCGGGTACGTGAAGGGTTTCCTGCATCATGCTGGTTCCCTGCACATGATCCTCTGTTCCAGATGGACCCACGAAGAAGGATATCAAAGGGTTGATGATGGACAGATAGAGAATGTGCAAGCCATGGACAATAATTTCGATGAGATGCATAAGGAAAGGAGGCAACGATTGAAAGTGGTTAAGGAGAAGAACTAGGATTATTAGCAGTGAGCAAGGTGTAGTTCTGTTGAGAATCTGTGAAGTCTTCTCTTGACTATTTCAACAGCCACTGCCTTATATACTGCTGCTGTTTCTCTGTGAGCTTCACATGCCGGCCGCCTCATTTTCCACATTATGTTTCCAGATTCTTCTGCTCAAATGATTGTCTCACGCAGATGAATAGGAAGATGAACTGCAAACCTTGTGTCCCAGGCAGCGGTGAGAGAGCGCCACATGTTTCTCCCCATTGACGACGTCTCCTAGTGCTTCTGGAAGGCCAGCAATTATCCCTAGTAGTGAACACATGGACTTGATAGTCCAGAGCTTCACATCCACAGACCAAGAACAGTTGAGTATCATATCTGTTGAAGTCGATAGCATGATGGTCTGTCTACCTGGGCCTGAATAGCATGCTTTTTTTCTCTAGTTAGGCTTTGGCGATGGGTTGGGAGGCCCCTTGAAACACCCGCAATGGCCTTTGAGTAAGTGGTTCCTGAGGAAAGGACTTCCTCTCCGCTTCTCTTAAAGTTCTGGTGGCTGGTCGATAACCCGTGACCAGTCCTGACAGTACTCGTGTTGCTATCACTTTTTCTTTTTTCTTTTCCCTCTCACCCCCCCACCACCATCTTCTTCATCCATCCATCCATTCTATGTCAGGCATTGGAATACATCCAATCGCTAGCCAGTAGTAACTGATTGCTCTAGTGACCCGCCCCTAAGGGGGACAGTCTCCATCATCATCTCCTCTCAGAGCTTATGTGGCTTACTGACAGCCCCCGTGTTGTTAGCAGCGTCTTTTCTTTTCTTTTTTCACTAGGGTACTATTGATGATGGCTGGGAGTCTTTCGGAACACACCCAATCACTGATTCATGACAGACAATTCTCTCCATCACCTTCTCCTAGAGCTCATGTGGCTGGCTGATGTCTCGTACAGCGCCCGTGTTGCTTTTATTATTACCGCAAAGGCCCTTGGCCCGAAGTGTCAAAGGAGACCCTTTCTCCATCACTACCTAGGAAGCGTTCAAAGAACGGGATGAGGAGGCTTGTTCCCTCCAACGGTCTTTGTTCTCCCCCCGATCTTAAATGCGTGCAAGCTTGCTATTCTTCACCTCCAACAACTATTTCTATCTGAACTACGTCCACAGTCGAACGCCATGCCACCGCAACGCCGAAACCCCTGCCATCGCTATGGCCTCCGTTCCAAAGGCCCGGTGGACCGCGAAGTCTTCCAGGTTCTAGACACCTTGAAAGCTGTCCGGCCTTCCAAGGTGAGACCTGTCAAGCGTCCAAAGGCAATAATACACAGGTTCACAACGCGCATCAAACTCAATTTCGTCACCCTTCGCAATGAGTTATTGATCCGAGAAGAGGACTCTACGGATAGTAGCAGTACCTCTGATCCGGATTCGGCTTGCGACAGCGAGATGGAAGTCAATGAGACAAAAACCTTCACCACCAGGGAGTATCCTAGAAATTGCCGACGTCTTAACATGCCCATTCGGTGGCTTGCTGTCAACGTTGCGACCCAGGAAAAAGTACCGTTGGATGCGATCTTCGATGCGAAGTACATGCCGCTAGATGATGATGCCGGTAAGTAGGCTTCACTGTTCTTAGGAGCCTAGAAATTGATTCGTTCCTCGTTGGGACCCCTAGAATTCCAGGACCGGGTTGGTCAATGGCAAGACCTTGATGCGTGGATGGATGGATTCATGTTTGATTCCTTGACCTCGCTGTTCAACCTCTCTTCCTCTGATAACGAGATGTGAGTCACCCTTTGTGCGCCTATGTTCGTTTTTCTTTCCCAAGAGAGCTAACGAGGAGGACTACCAACCCAGCTCTTTCCAAGAGGATTGTTATTTGCCGCTCATCAAGGCCAGTCTGGGTAAATGCGACGACGGCATCTTCTTCCGCCATTGTATTAGAAGACAGGGGTTCAACGATACCAGCGGTCGACAATGCTTTGGCTTTCCACTTGCTGTCTGCGTAGTCAGTCTTATTCCATCCCCACAACTCGAATTCGGTATCAGAAGCTGAGCAACTCCAGTATAAATACAGGTTGGGTCAAAGGGGTATAGCCCAGTCTGAGATTACGCCACTCCTGCTCCAAGTCAATTTGGGCTATGAGTACAATTCCCATCGCGAGCAATACCCTGCGTACATCCTCAGTCAGCGAGGCAGAAATTTTCGTTTCGTCAAAGCCACCATGACCCGGCAGGAAGTTGAACGCCTTCGAGACAAGGAAACCCTATCGGGTAAGATACAAGTGCAACGGACCAGGGCCTTCAACATTCGTGACCGCAGTGGGCGCAGAGAGTTTGTCCGCACGATGATAGGCTTGTTACGTTCCTTTGAAGATCGTCCCGAAGCCGAGTATCCCATGTACACCAGCCAGTGGTTTTTCCGGGAGAAGGAGAAGGAAGGAGGAGGCGAAAGAGGCGAAGGAGAAGGAGAAGAAGAAGGAGGCGAAGAAGGCGAAAGAGGCGGAGAGCGACGGGGGTACCTATACCGTATAATAGCTTCATTATGGCCCTTTTAGGCATTGTGGATATATAGTATCAGGCCAGGAGCCCTTCTGGCATATTTAACCATTAATAAGCAACATAAGAAAATATCTTTTCTACTTAATCAACTACCAAGAGCTCCACCTGAATGCTTGATCTCTTGTACCCTAGACAGGTAGCTCAACTTCCCCTTTAGTCTGTTTGTATCATGTGACCTAGCCACTCTGCGATTCCTGTCGCGTTCCCTCTCCATCTTCTTCAACTCTTCCAGTCGTCGAAAAGGCATCATATACCAAGTCTGATTGCATTGATCTCAGTGTTGGGCCCATTGTGGAGTCTTCCACTGAGAGGCTATCTATACGGCTTCCGTTAATCACGCCACTTCCTGGAGAGGGATGGTATGATATGGCTTCATTCTCTTCATATGATTCCTCTCCCTCTCCCTCTCCATCTCTCTCTATTGCGACTTAACTGTTTCTTGGGTGGTTTTCTAATCGGGAATGGCTGTCTAGACGTGGGTTGCATTGATCTTAAAGCAATCGAAGTACCCTCAGCGATCTTCTATCAACTCCCTCCACCACAACTCCTTCCACCACAACCGCCTCCACCAACACCACCACCTCCTCCTCCGCCGCCGCATCCTCCTCCTCCTCCTCCTCCTCCTCCACCTCCACCACCACTGCCACCACCTCCATCACAACCACCACTACCACCAGCACACCCCCCCCGAGCATCCGCCCCCAGACCCACCACAACCCCCAGCTGCCACCCCACCCCCACACGTCCCAACTGCACAATTCCCATGTGCCCCATCCACAAAACTCATGCATAGTGGATTCCCAGCATATGCATCGGCATGGACCCCGGGGTCACACGTGTACGGTGCTTGATACGGGACCTCCACCGGATAGCCCCACACCATGGGACAAACGGGCGGATCCCACGTCGTTGCATCTTTCCTGTTCGTTCTGTTAGCGCCTGACCGGTGTTTCTTGCGCGCGCGCCGCTGCATGCGTTCGTATCGGTGCCGTAGTTTCATAAACTTCACGACGCGGGGGTCAGGGCCTTCGTGTTGGCCGGATTCGGTAGGACTCAGGTCTGGTCGTACGGCGTTGTGGGCTGAGATGTGTGGGTTTTTGTCTAGGTCTGGGGAGGTGGTATCTTGTAGTTTAGCAGCAGCCCGACGGGCTTTGCGGTTCACTTTGTAGGTGGAAGTGAAGGGGAGGGAGAGGGTAAGGAGGTCTGGAGCGCGGATGGCCTCGCAGTACCAGCAGGTGCATTCGCTGTAGATTTGACCGTCGGTCAGCTGTTTGTACATTTTGCTGGTCCAGGCAAAGCCATCAGAGAGGATGCTTTCGTCGACTTTGTCGTCGTGATCGAGGAAAATGGGCGTGCCGTGCTGGGAGTATCTAGTGTGGTGCAGAGAGAAGGCGAAGTATCGGGATGGGGTGCTGAGTTGGTGCGTGTGCCAGGCCAAGTCGACATCAAGGGTGGGGACGGCCATGTGGCCCGGGTTGGTGGCCATGATGGTGAAGAAAACATGATATTTCTTGATCAGCCGGTCCATAGTTTGGAGGACTGTTGGGGAGTGGAGCCAGTCGATCTGGTCCATTTTCTGGATAAAGGTGCCTTGTCGGATAACGGCGCCGACGAGGTCCAGAGCGAACGGACTGGAGTTGTCCCAGTAGCGCGATAGGCTATTTTTTCATCCGTGCATAGCGCTGTCGACCGCGATTCGGAAGTCGCTACTTTCCTGGGAGAGTACGAATTCAACAAGGTTGAGATGTAGTCGTTGACGTCCTTTAGGGTCAAGAGGGCTTGGTCGTTGCTGTTGTTGGGGCTGGTCCGGGTCAGGATGGAGCGACCAGCTTCCTCAACGAAGCGGTTCGGGAAGATTGAAGGATTTTGGAAGCGATCGAAGAACCCGACATATTCGGGCACCCCTCGCAAGTTATAGTAGGTTCCTGGCATGGGCCGGTCTGCATAGAGGCAGGCCTCGATGTCTCGCCGGAACTTGGCGATTTTCAGGCTCTCGTGGTCGATGGTGAATGGGCACTTGGGACAGATGGCCCTAAAGTCTTTGTCTGCAAAACCCTGCCAGCCTTGGAAGAGACCCTCCAGCAGCGTGGACATAGCACCGTCTGTCCATGGCACGGAAACGCGACCTTTGCAGCAGGGACAGTGCACCACTTTGTCCGATGTACCAATGAGATTTTCCCATGGAAGATCGGTCTTCACTTGAAAAACGTCCTTTGCCCGCTGCCCTGCGTCGTAGTCTAGTGTACTGTTGTCGATGCACGCATTGATGGCGTGCCAGGGGAAGCCAGCCGCCCAAAATTTCATCTTCCCATGTCGGATGCAATCCTCAAGAAACGCTCGCGGGTTCAGCATGTGGGCGTGCCATACCATCAGGACGTCTAATAACCTGTTATTAGGGCAATAAATTCTTTGTCAAGCGAGGAAAGCTTACCTAGAGGAGGCAGGATGTCCCGGGACCAGATAGACAGGGTGTAGTAGGCGGGAATTGTCGCATAGTTTTTGTTCCCTAGGTCAGAGAATCTAGGGGGTGAACGAGAGCCCGGAATGCACCTCTCCCACCAGGTCGTATATCGGGCGGCCGCTCGGTTGGTATAGACAGCCCAGCGCTTCTCCTTGACTCGGGCCCACGCCTCGTCTGTGTTATCCCCGAAGATACCTGGATCCGGGTCCTTAATGCCAAAGAGATCTGAGGTGCTAGCAACATGATCGCGCAGGTCGGTGAGGACGGCCAGAAATTTGAGATGAGCCACGCATTGGTCGTGAGTGACTGTCGTGCTAGACGACGGTCCAGCGTCTCGAGTGAGATCTAACTCAGGGAGCAGCAGTTCTGGCAGGTCGATTTGGCTGTATGTTGGAGGTTGGCCCTCTGATGTATCCTGTCTCTCGTCCGGGGAAGACATGATGGCAGATCGACTATGGGTTGCTTTGCTGCAAGTTAGGGATGTTTGTCATGACACACGCATCCCCCTGGGGCCTTTTATATTCGTGCGGCTCGGAGCTTCTCCTGACATCACACCGACGCGCAATGCCAGCGCATGACGCCGGACTGATGATGATAGTGGTCAATCCGATGGTTATGGTTTCGCAGCGTGGGAGGGACCCGAGCCCTTCGCGCCTGGCCCGCTAAATGATCATGACATTCGGATGGCAATCGGGACAATAACAGACAAGTGCCCTGCACTGCCACCAAGACGAGCAGATTTATAGTATGGGGGCGTGAAGGGCTCCGTGGAAGGTGCGTCTTGTGAGAGGCATGGTTCGCTCTGGTTTGCCCGGGAAGTATAGTATCTACCTCTTTGTGCTCGGGCTTCCAACGAGGTGAAACCGTGAAAGGGTCCGATGCGTGATTGGTCAGAGGTTGAACATCAACCACAACCCATGGGAATAGAGACCTTCCACATTATCTTCGCAAACTTCATTGAAGCAGCTGTCACGAGGATGGAGACCCTGTTTGGATATATGCGAGTTCCAATCTGTGTGTTCCTAGAGTTGTCGGATATTGTATAGTTTGTGGTTTTTGCCGAAACTGATCGGTATGTCAGGTCAGGATGATTTCTCTGCAATCTTATTGATTGTCTATGTTATTTCCTGGAATAGTTTCCTTCTTCTAACCGTGAGATTCTACTTGTTGGATGAACACGGAGTTCGGGATTATAGTAGTAAGCACTAGGGTGAAAATGTGGGTAGAAAGGCCTCCGTAGTAGGTATCTACCTAGGGTAAGCATCACGCACAAGCATGCCATTCCGTGCTTATGATTATTTCCCGTATGGCCGTCCGGTAACAAAGCAAATATCGGTGTCGCGTAATCAGCCAACCACAACGGAGGGAAATCGTCTTTGACAATCAATCCCAGTGTTTTGTTTTGTTTTGTTCCTGATCCGTCGGGCGTCCGAGCTCCCGGGCCGGCTACAATCGGACAGGCGTGGTGATAATGACGGGTGGACCAATCAAAACCCAATGACGAGGGTATTTGTTATGATGCATATTCCACTGTAGTTATAGGTAGATCATGATGAAATTGATGTAAGTGATGCACCTCTTTCCATGCGGAGTTCAGAGTACCTCCTATGTACATAGTAGGTATTGTATATGTTGTGTCGTTTAGGTAGAGTTACCTAATGGAATGGAGATAAGGGACCAGTGGGGCGATGGCCCGTGCTGACTAAGGGCCGCTCGTGCCACCGCTAGCTATCCTCACGTGCCTTTTTTTTTTCGGGCGAGACCACGTGAGAGCGAGATCGGACAGCTTCTCCCTCGCAGCAGCCGTTCCCCCGCGGTCATTCATCCCCATCTCTGAGAGGGTCTGGATCACTCGCTCGCTTGTTTGTGCCAACTGCCAACTGCCAACTGCCAACTACCAATCCAACCCCCCATTGGGATTTGAGGATCTGCACAGTGCACCCGGTAGTTCGTCCAACGCCTCCCTGACAGTCCGAGACATCCCCTCTCCGAATTTCTCGCGTGGGCAAGGCTCGTTGCCCAGCCATCCGTCAGACCGATTCTTTCTTTTTTTCTGCCTCCCCTTCTACCAGCCTGGATTCCTCCGAAGGATCGCCCAGCGGAATCGGAGGCAGGGGTCTGCAGGGTACCATCCTGGAGCCAAACGCAGGAGAGAATGCTTCGGCTGCCCCCAGTCCCGTAATGGGAGGTGCCGGCCATCCATCTGTCTCCCCGGCTGTCGGGTCCGATGGCGTCGGTCCAGCCAGGAAGCGCACCACCGCCATGGCCGGGTTGGACAGTTCTCCGGGTAGTATTGATGATGTCGAGGGGCAGGAGAATCACGAGGAGAAGAAGAGACAGCCTGTGAAGCGCGCCTGCAATGAATGTCGCCAGCAAAAGGTGAGCTCGCCACTTAGTTCTGGCGCCTATCCGATCGGCTCTTTCATTTGCAATTGGGCTTACTGTATCCTTCCTGCAGCTCCGGTGCGATGTAATTCAAGACCCGTGGACAGATTGCTCCCGATGTCGTCGCCTGAAGCTCGATTGTAAAATCGAATCCAACTTCAAACGGGTCGGAAAGCGCAGTCGCAACGCCGAAATGGAACGGGAGATCATCGAATTGCGGAAGCAGATTGCAACCGTGCAGGCCAGTACTCCTGGGTCCATGTCCCAGCCACAGCCACCGTCTCTTCCCCCGGCCCAGACGCCCAAGCAAGAGACGGCCAGCCAGGTCGGCTCAGGAGTCTACCATACGCCGTCGGCCATGTCGACTGACCAGTATATGGGATCCCATGAAGCGGTTGCGTCGCTTCTGGATTTGCGCTCGGGCTTTGACGGTACGAATTACATGAGAAACGGCAACCATCATTTCAAGCGCATCGAAGATGTCGCTGTCGTTCCCGAAAGGGTGACAGAGCTATTCAACTTGTAAGGCCCCGGACGGCATTGTCCTGGACGAGCTTCTAACCTGGTTAGATTCTTTACCTTTTATCACCCTTTTCTACCATTCCTTGATCGAGAGCAGACCCCCGATGAATACTACAACGCCTCGCCCCTGCTGTTCTGGACCATCATTAGTGTGGGCGCGCGGCGCTTCCAAGGCGACACCCATCTTCTCAATTCCCTTTCTGGCCCGGTTTCGCGACTGGTGTGGAGTACGCTGGCGGACATTCCACAAAGCTACCACGTCGTGAAGGCGCTCTGCTTGCTCTGTACATGGCCCTTTCCTACAAGCAGCACGTCCACCGACCCAACCTTTATGCTCTGTGGTATGATGATCCAAGTCGCTATGCAGCTGGGTCTACACCGTCCGTCCCACACGCAGGATTTCAGCAAATTCCGCGTGGAGCTGATTGAAGAGGAGCTCCGCGACAAAGTGCGCACGTGGGCCGTCAGCAACATCGTCGCACAACGGTATGTTATGTCTATTTCGGCGGCCGGGCTTTACTGATTGCGATGCAGAGTTGCTACGGGCTACGGCCAGCCTCCGTCCACCGTGTACGACTGGACCCTGTCTTCCAACGAGTCGATGGACCCCAACTTCAGATTGCCGCACGACATCCGGCCCCGGCTGGAGATTGAAAAGTTCTGCGACAAGGTCACCAAGTCATTATACACCAACCGGCGGGACCCTGTCGGATTGTGCAGCGATCAAGAGAGGTCAACATTAATCTCGTTTCTCTCGCGGGATTTTGACGAACTGGAGAACCAGTTGAAGGCGCAAAACGACTGTATGTTTCCTGTGCTCCCTTGCGAGAGATGGTCTAACCTGGTGTAGGTATAACTAATCTTTATCTGCGCGCATCTAATCTTCACCTCCATCTGTCGGCGTTCTTCGATGACACGACCGCCAAGGATTATCGTGAGCGTCTTCTCTCCCTCTACGTTGCGACCACGTCATTCCTGGAAGCCGCGATGAATCTGGAAACGGAGGTCGGCCCCGTGCTGCCCTACACCCCATACTACGTGTACCAGATGATGGTCGCGGGCGGATGCACCCTGTTGAAGCTCTGCAAGAGCTTCTTCGCCGCCCACATCGACATGGATTACGCCAAGAACCTCTTCAATCGGACGATCTGGGCCATCCGGGGCGTGTCCGTCTCCAGCAACGACCTCCCCGAACGACTGGCGGAGGTAGTAGCGCAGATGTGGCGACTGAATAACGTGCCCACGCCAAAACTCACGGCTGACGGCGGGGAGGTGGATGACTCGCTGATGCTAAAGGTTCGCTGTCGGATGAGCATGTCGCTTCTCTTTGACTCGGTGTGGCGGTGGCGGGAAGACGCGCGGACCAAGGGCCGTAACATTGAAGGTATGCCATATGCGAGGAAGATGTCTATGTATCGAGGCTAATAGGTGGCAGCATATCTCAAAAATCCAACCAACCCAGACTCGAACGCCGATTCTTCCAATTCGTCTTCTGTCGTGCCAACCCGCACGTCGACTGCAACCCCGGGGGTCGCCGGGGCGGACCCCAGCCTGGCGCCGGCTCCGATGCTTGCACCGGCCAACATGGCAGTGCCGCCGTCAGGCGGGGTGGGCGCGTTGCCCAGCGGGTTCCTGGAGCCGAACTACGAAGTGTTTGATCCGCTGAACTGGCTTCTAGACGGGCTGGTTGATCTGCCATATTCCTACTCTACGATATCCGGGATGGAGTCCCAAGGCATCGCATAAGCTTATTTGCTGTTCCACGACTGACATGGCGTTTTATTTGATGACCTGATTGATGTAATATACCAGCGCGGGATGTCCGATCCAGCTTGGAACGGACTGGAGCGAGGAGTTGTTTTGTGTTTGGGTTGGACTTTTGTGTCAGTCGGTGATATACCTACCGTCCGTTGGCTATGTGCATGATACCAACGCAATAGACTGTCTATACTTTGTATACTACTATGTCGTGATTGTAAGTGTTATACGCTTGCTCTGCTTATCTATATTGAAACTGCTGGGTCAGACACGTAGCTATAACTGATGCAAATAAACGCACTTCCCCCCTATCTCTATGTACTCATAAAACAGGACGAATACATTTCGCTGCCCAAAAAAAATAGAAAGATCTGCTCAATGAAGAAATGATTCATGTAATGATATCCATGCACCGTGGTGTCTATCCTTCTTCATTAATCATCAATTAAGCCTGGTCTGTATTGGACTGGAACCGATTCAGAAAACAGAGATAATCAATCAACAGAACAAGCTCGAAAAGTTACAAACAAGAACAAAAGAATAAAATCATCAGTCATATCATATCATATCATATTCATGAGTGACGCCCACGCTCACGCTTGTAATCGTATCATAGTATCATATCAAATCATAGCTGCATATAACATATGGCCCATACTCCGTGTCCGAGTCCGGAATTCCAAAAAAACACATTCTAATCATATCATATCATATCATAATCATTCTGTGATTTTCAACTGGGTGCTTGATTCCACCAGCACCGCACCGCCGATACTTTGTTTCAGTTTCTCGCGCTTTGCTTCGCGGCGGTGTTCGGCGTGGCGTTGCCATGTTCGTCGGACGCGTTTGCGGAGGTTCCGGATCTTTCCTCCGGGTCGGAAGCGAAGTCTCCACCATGACAGGGATCGGAATCGCGGGTGGTGGAGTGAGGTCTGTGAGCAGAAGGCTTCCGGGGTGAATACTTGGCTGTTTCCTACTAGGGTGTTGCGGTTGGGTTGCGGACGGGCGGCGTGGTCGAAGAAGAGGCGGCGGCGGGTGTCGGGGCTGCGGAGGGAAGGGCCTTCGAATACGACGCGCTGCTGGGGCATGCCGAGTGAGTTCTTGATGACTAGGTCGGCTTCTGCTTCTGCTTCTGGGTTCTGGGCGGGAGAGCGCGGGGAGTCCTCGGCTTCGGAGTCATCCCAGAAGCGACGGGGTCTCCAGAACGATTGTAGTCGTCCGTCGACGTCTTTGCCGGCTTTGCGGTTCTTCACGGAGGTCAGTGAGAGGGATCGGACGAAGGAGTTGAAAGAGTCGGATCGAGAACGTCCCATCCAAGGACGTCGACCCGGGCCGAACCGACGGCCCGGGCGTTTACTTGGCTCGGTTGGGGAGTTTGTTTTGCCCTGCGGACGGTCGTTGTCTTGGACGGGGGTTGGTGGCACAACTTGGCAGACGGGTGGTTTGGGTGGCTGGCGTGGGTTCTTGAGCGGCGAAGTCATCTCGTATCGGAGGGTGGGTGAGTCGTCGATCCGTGGCTGGCGCAGCTCCGGGTAATCCACCCCGGGTGCTTGCCCGTGAAGTGCAGACTGCCCTTGGGGATCGACGAGGAGCAGCGATTCATTGTTGTGGGGGAAGAAGATCACCGTTCTCGCCTCGCTGACTTCGATCAGGCCGGGAGAGGACGACGGAATCGAGATCTGCGTGTATGGCATCGAGGGTGGGCGTAGGTGTGACATGTCCTCTACTCCAATGATGATGGATTGGGTCTTGGATTCTTCTGCCGCATCATGGAGGTCCTCCCGAGCGAGAGTTTCCGGCCGATGCAAAGGCGGCTCGGGGGCGCGGTCCTGGGTGCCAGGCTGCTCCGTCGCCAAGGCATGATCCCGCAGGCTTTCCGAGGTCAGAGAGGTAGTCCGTGAATTGTTCCGGCTGGTCGGGGCAGAGAGCGAGGAGCCACGTGGGGGGATCGTCGGCCGGCCAGAGTGGCGGCCACGAGGCTCGGCGCCTTTCCCGATGCTAACATTCGTGTCGGACGGCCGCTTCCGATGCGCGGGCTCGCGCGAGCCAGGCCGGCTTCGCGACGCGGACGGGCCTCGTCGACTCGAGTGCCGCGAGCGACTTTGCGAGGTCTCTCTGCTGGTCGACGTCGACTTGAGAGAGGAGCGCCGCTCCGGGATCACAACCACCGGAACCACATCCACGTTCTGTGGCGGCACGTTCAGGCTCGAGGTTCCGGAGAATGAGATCTCCGAGGCGATGCTCTTGCGGTCGCTCTCGGTGATCCGGCCAGCCTTGTGGACCAGACGATGTTGCGACTCGGTGGAGGCGAGCGATAGATGGTCGGACTTGGGATGTGGAGAGGGAGCAGAACGTAGCGAGCCCCTCTTATCGGTGTGGCGCAGGGATCTTTGGGTGGACTGTAGGCTGTCGATAATCATCACCTCGACTGTAGACGTGGACACGTCTGACAGCCGACGTGTATCGTCCTGCTCAGTAGCAAGAGGCCGATCCTCCGGGCGCGGCCAGCCGATTTCTTCGCGGAACTGCTCAATCGACAAGCCCCCAACTGGTTCCTGGGGGTCCCGGATAGGCTCCCGCAGGCTCGAGCGTACACTCTGCGCATCAATTCCGTTGATATCGTAGCGCTGCTCCGATGGGTCTGCGATACGCATGATGCGAGGCGCACCGTCCCGGGTCGACTTTTGTCGGCGCGGAGGCGATACTTTTCGATCCGCGTCAACTTCCATCCTTCGGTGCACCGGGGGTTCCATCATAGAGGTAGGTAGACGATTAGTACGAGGGTCGGGAACTGGCGTGCTTTCCCCACTCCTGTCACCATACTCCAAAGGTCCGTCCGTTCGCAATGATTTCTGTCGAGTCGGCAATGATGGAGGAGAACGGTGAGGAGTCTCAGTTTCGGCGTCCGAGATCATTTCATAGGCCGTCTGAAACGATTCGGCGCGCGAGGAGGAGGAGGACGACAAAGCAAAGTGCGACAGTCCCGGACGAGAGACCGGGACGGCGAGGCGCGGGGGCGTGGATTCGGGGGTGGGTGGGTGTGAGGGCTTGGGGGTGATGGTGCCGGTGCTGCTGCTGCTGAGATCTTCGCTTGAAGCGACCCCCGGAGGCGTTAGAGGACGGACGGGAGTCGCTGCCGAAGAGGCGCCATTTGAAGGGCGGCCATGTCGACCTCCAGGCGTGGTGTCGATGACTGGTGGGCACCAGAGGACATTTGGCCTGCGACGTAGAGACTTGTGGGCCCTCCACTGGGGCGGGTCCAGATGCGCTGGTGAGGCGAGAGACGTGTTCACGATTTCCAGGCCAGGCATGGTGAGATGGCCCAACGATACGGTATGCCCAATTGGCGCACCCAGGGAGCTTGGTCACAGGCGGTCGCAGTGGGGGATTGGAGGGAAAAGCATGACACCTGAGCTGTTTCAAACGAGATTGGTCCCAGACAGTCGCTGACGACGTCGCATGCTAGCTATCCAGGGAGCTTTTGAGGCGATTCGTGGTCGAGTCCAAAGTGACTACAATCGCCACGAACGGGGTAAGAAGACCTCGAGAGAACGGCCGTTGGATAACGGTTATCTTTCTTTTTTTTCCCCTTCTTTCATACGGGACTTTCTCTTTTTGGTCGTGCCTCAAAAGTTTGTTGGCATCCAGGCTGGGAGGAAAAAGCAAAGGGCGACGGCCAGCAAGGGAGGCCAAGGCAAGGAGACCGACCAGCAGCAACGCTCCTCCAGGGGCACCAACGCGCCGAAAATAGCGTCTGCAGTCCGAATTGGGGCCAGGCAAGGCGTGACACGCCGGACGAGATCCTGTTGGCACGAAAAGACCCGAGAAGCGCGACGGCGAGGCAAGACAGGCAAGACAGGCAAGACAGACGAGTCGCAGGGACATTCCACGTTGCGGATCCCAGTGCGCAGTGGATTCCGAGTTTCGCACCAGTCAAACCGGAGAATGGCGGCGATAAGGTCGTGGGGCAACTTGGCGGCCTACATGGAGGATGCAGCCGCTAGAATATGGCTGGGCGGGCGAATTGATCGCCTGGAGGAAGAGAACCAGGGGATGAAGAAAAGATGGGGGTGGTGATGACGATGATGGGGATGGTAAAGGTGGTGATAATATGAAGATGATCGGAGATGGTGAGGGGAGGCGCCCGTCCAGTGATTCGACCTGCAGCATCACGGGATGGCCAGGATTTGCTCTCTCTCGTCTCTACGGTCCATAGCGCCCACACTAGCCAGTTTAGTGTAATACTACGACAACTTATAGGCCGGAGTAACCTGGCAAAAGGAATACAGTACAGCCATTTCCGGAGATGCCTCGGAGTGCCAGTGTGACCGGGTCTACTTCAGTCTTTAAGTATATCTTCCCGGCGGGAGTTTCAGACTTGGTGGTGGTATCTGGTGGTGGTATCTAGTGGTGGTTGTGGTGGTTGTAGGTTCCTGACATGCGTTGATCTCGGATTATTGCATCATCGATGACATGAGTATCCCAGCCCCGTTGGCAGCATCTCGGGAGTGGCGTGTCCACCCATGGTCGACCAGCTGAACCATCCCCCAGACCGGTAATCCACCAGCAACGGATCTGCGATTGTATTGCCGGCGCTTGCTCGCATCCGACTGTCTGGGGAAAGCAGGAAGCCAAGCAGCCACTGAAGGCAGAGGACGGACAGACCATAAAAATGAGGATTCCGGACATGATGCCATGACAAGCGGCGTGAGGACTGATTGATGATGATGGTTCCAGAGTGGAGGATCGGACCAAGATCTGGGAGGGGGGGGAAATCTGGACGCCCAAAGTGCCTCGCTTTATTCTAATCTAATCTAATATCAGCACATGCGGGGACAGAAAGCCCATGACGAAAAATGACGCCGCCATCGGCCCAGGAATTGCTGCAGTGCCAGCCAGAGAGAGGGTGAAGAGGAGCACAAGAAGAAGATTGATTGAGGGGAGAAGAACATGATGAAGGAAGCATGATGCCAACGCCAGAGGGCGGCTGACTCAGCAGCCACAGACGGACTAGCTCATTGGCTGGCTGCCCGTGCCCGAGGCACTAAGCCGTAAGAAGAGAGCCTCGACGTCATCCATGGCTTCAGCTTCAGAATTCCCTTGACTCTTTGAGTAGTCCTTTCAGGCCGGCTGCTCTCCGCGCTGCTTGCTGATGACGCTCCATTCCGCTCATTCTTATCTTCTGAATCGCCAGTCAGCACCACGTTCTGCTGAGCAATTTTATAGCCTGGTCGTCGTCTTCGTCGTCGTTGTTATCTTCATCGTCTTTCTGTGCGAGTGATCCCTCAAGCTGCAGTCCACCTGCCCATACCCATCGATCTGCCCATCGGCCAGCTTTTCCCCACCATCCGCGCTTCTCTCAGACTCCATCACCAGTGCCCAGCTGAAGGGACAAGGGAATTTAATTTAATTTTCCCAACCACGACGACTGAACGGATTCAATCCCATCACTGTACGGAGTAATCTCTGCAGTGATCTCACCTCCAGGTAATGCTGCTCATTTTGCCTGCCCCCCCTTTTTTTTCTCCCTTTGTCGGCCCTGCCTCCCTCCCACTCCCAATCCCAATCCCAAGAATCCCAATCCCAAGTCCAATTCCATTCCCGATCGATCTCTTTCCCGAAACGTCATCGCCCGGCCTGCTGCCATCGGCCCTTTTTCTCTTATTTTTAATTTTACTTTGATTTTTCCTGCTGCCACTAACGAACATTACAGTTTAGGCCTTGGCGGGGTAAAGCACCCAGCAGCTAATTTAGACACAAATTAAAGCCAAAAAGGAACCAGCGCGAAAAAAAAAGACAGGAAAAAGGGAAAAAAGAGAGAAAAAGGAAAAAAGAGAAAGGTCCAAAAAAGACCAGATAATTCCAGCCAACCGAGAGAAGAGAGTCTGTCGCTGGACAGCCCATCCCCCCCCGTTGATTCCCAATCGGATTTCATCATCTTCCTTTCATTTCTTCTTCCTCGTCCTACCTTGCCTGCTTGTGACCCCCCTTCTACTACCTTACTACCTACCTACTACCCTAGTCTCCCTTTCCTTCCATTTCTTTTTCCTTTTCCTTTCTCATTCCCCCACCCCCCCTCTCACCCCCCTTACTCAGCACCATGAGTACCATACAAAGTCTCAAGAATTTCATACGTCATGGCAAACAGGCCCGGCTGGTGACGCCGCATGCCGAGCCCACCACCAATGTCTCTCCCATCCATGCCGAACAACAGCGTCAACCCCAGGGTTCCTACCCCCCAGCGGCTGGGAACCTGGATGCCATTGACAGCAGATTGGGCAACGGTCAGGTACAACCGTCCCAGAAGAATCCCGAACCGAACCGTCGTGTGCGAGAGGCCGAAATCGAGCAGATCATCGCAGAGGAAAAGAGCAGCCGAAACAAAATGCCCCGATACCCTGGACTCGAACGTTATACCCTCGTCGAGAAGATGGGCGATGGCGCCTTCAGTAACGTCTATCGCGCCAGAGACAGCACGGGCGAGTACGGCGAAGTGGCCATCAAAGTGGTCCGGAAGTTTGAGATGAACAGTAACCAGGTAGGATTGCGATAAGTGTTTCCTATGTTCGGTGATCGTTTTTGCATTGCATTCTGGTCCTTCATGTCGCCCGCTATGTTTGTTAGCTTGGTTTTGCCGTCTACTTGCCCTGAGCAACCCGCCAATCTTTGTTAATAGTCTTCCGCCCATCTACATCCCGGGTTAAAAAAGAAACCCAAAGCTACAGAGGTGCGCAACCCTCTGGGATGATTCCAGTCACCCGCCCAACCCTACGCATGATGTTCTGTCCTTCAATGTTTCATTTTTTGTGTCCCTGCCATAAGTGACTCCAGAAATGTTCCCTGAGCTAATCACTAACTCGGGTCACAGCGCGCCAACATCCTGAAGGAAGTGCAGATTATGCGACAGCTGGATCATCCGAATATCGTCAAGTTGGTTCAGTTCTCCGAGTCGCGTCAATATTACTACATCGTGCTAGAACTCTGCCCCGGCGGCGAGTTGTTCCACCAGATTGTGAGATTAACCTACTTCAGCGAAGATCTCAGTCGCCACGTCATCCTCCAAGTGGCCAAGGCAATCGAATATCTTCACGAAACATCCGGCGTTGTTCATCGGTAGGAATAGATCACCTATGTGCTCCTGTTGGCTCTGTGACCCACTAACTTCTGCGACAGAGATATCAAACCCGAGAATCTCCTCTTTTATCCCACCGAATTCATCCCAAGCAAAAACCCCCAACCCCGTCAGCCGGGCGATGAAGACAAGGTCGACGAAGGCGAGTTTATCCCCGGAAAGGGGGCTGGTGGGATCGGTGTGATCAAGATTGCCGATTTTGGCCTGTCCAAGGTCATCTGGGATAGTCAAACCATGACTCCCTGTGGAACGGTCGGATACACCGCTCCCGAGATTGTCAAAGACGAGCGATACTCGAAGAGCGTCGACATGTGGGCCCTGGGATGCGTTCTCTATACCCTGCTCTGTGGATTTCCACCCTTCTATGATGAGAGCATTCAGGTGCTCACCGAGAAGGTCGCGCGCGGCCAGTACACATTTCTGTCGCCATGGTGGGACGATATCTCCAAGTCCGCGCAGGACTTGATCTCCCATCTGTTGACGGTCGACCCCGACAAACGGTACACCATCAAGCAATTCCTGGCGCATCCGTGGATCCGCCAGACCGACGAAGCCACGGAGGCGGCGGCAGACGCGCCCCCTCTGGCGACGCCATTGGCCACCCGCAAGGTGCAACATCTGGATGCCATCGCGGCCGACCAAGCGCCTTATGCTCCGGCCAGCGCCCGTCTCATGGACCAGCCCTCTGCTGGCTTGGAGCGCCCGATGGACTTCCGTTCGCCGGGTGCCATCAACCTACGCGAAGTATTCGACGTCGGCTACGCCGTCCACCGACAGGAAGAAGAAGGCAAGCGACGCAAGAACTTCCGTCAGGGATACCGGGGTGCAAACCCCTCCACGGCGTTCCAGTCGGCGCTGAATCCGTTGAACGAAGACTACGATGAACCCGAAGAGATCACCTACCAACCCCTCCCTCGGGAAGAATTCCCTCCCGCCAAGATTCCCAAAGCCTCCCAGCCAGCAGGCGACGTTGCTGCGATGGAAGCGAAACTTAGATCGACGAACCTGGGGGCGCCCAGCCACGCCGCGCAAGCGCGCCAAGCCCACCAGCCCCGACAGCAGCAAGGATATGGCCAGCACAGCGCCAAAGTGGCTGCCGCTGCAAAGCAGAGCATCGCCCGCGGTGCGCGGGAGCCCTTTGAGCTGAGCTTGGACAACGCCACACTATTAGAAAAGAGAGGGCGACGACAGCAGGGGCAGTCGGTTGCCTAAGAATCGCATGATACCCTTCCCTCCATCTCTTCCAAGATCACGCTATTTGACGAATCGAGAGCCACAGGCTACGAACTCCCCTTGCTTATGAGTTTCTTGATCTGATGACTTTCTTCTCTTCTTTCTCATTCCCTTTCATCGATCGCTGGACATGATTCCTGGGTGGCTACATACGAACTCGATCGGTCGCATTTGTTCTGGGTGTTTTCTTTTCCTCTCCCGGCTGGTATTCTTTTCTGTCATGTTTACGCTGGATTCGGGTTTGGGCAGAGCATATGGTATGGTCATTTTTTCTCTTTTCCTATTGCGTCTCCATTTCCGCTGGTTGTTTGTTCCATGAATACTATTACCGCGTGCCATTTCGTTGTGGGTTATACATTTACATGCTGTTGCTTATGCACATACATAAACTTGCAAAGGAGCACGTTCGGGGCATGGGTTCTTCGCGCGTGGTGGAATAACCATTGATCTTTCTTCAGCTGCTTCTTGCTCGCGGTAGTTCCGGCGTATGTATTCGTAAAAAGCGACCTGGATCTGTCCTAGAAGTGGACAGATAATCATGTATGCTATGCTATGCTATATGTAGAGTAATGAATGATTACCTGTTTTACATTGCATTATTCTTTCTCCTTTTTATGAATCATACAGCTCTCTACCTTTCCGTAAGTCAACCTACAATACCGTACCTATTATCTATCTACTACTACTACTAGTGGAGTAGTAGCATTCACCCCATGTCGGTGTTTCCAATCAATACCTCCCTCCCTTCCTTCCTTCCTTGAAGTATGATTCAGTCGCCCCTCCCCTCCTTCACATTCCGAATCCTACCTATCTACCTACCTATCTATGTACCTAGTACCCACCCACCTATGCAGTTCCATCCACCATACGCATTCCCCCCACATTATCATCCTCCCTCGTACATGATATAGCATAGCATAAGAAGCATAGTATCATACAAAAAGAAAAGGGATTTGTTAGTAGGTACTTTGTATTTAGTAGACGGTGCGGATGGGAGGTTGGGTTGGGTTGATTAGATACAATATGAGTTCGAACTGATTAAATTGATTATTCATAGTCATTGGATTGATAAGATGAGATCCATGGTGAGAGGTGGATGGGACGGCGGAAAGGAGGAAAGGGGGGGTTACTAGTTGTTTTGTATTTGCAAGGAGAGGCGAGGCGGGGTAGTAAGTAGTAGCTGAGTGATACTAGAAAGGGGAAAGTGATTTTTGGGTTTCATTTATATGCTTCTATCCAATAAGGACGTACGTAAATATCAAGCTGTGTGAATAGTATCAACATGGAAGAATACAACAAATACAGGCCATAGGTACTAATCAGAACATGTATCGCACCAAGTAGTAGTATGTGCAGTGCAATGCAAGTCATTCGCGACATTGGTATCATGCATTCGTCAAATGCGCGCTGCTGGAGCCCATCATCATAACAAAACAGGCATCAAGGTCAATAATCAAGAAAGGTAGTAGGTATGTGTCGGTGTATCATTTACAGGGTCTGCTTGCCCCGGGTTTCGATGGGGAGCAGACACATGGCCACGAAGGCGGCCAGAATGAGGCCACCTGATGCGTAGATGGGTGCATCGGGGTTGGCACTGCCGCCGTAGATGGCGACGAGAGGCGCACATAGACCTGCAATGCGGTTCAGGCAGCTGGCGATGCCCGTGGCCGTGCCGCGGTTCGGGGCCGGGAAGACCTCCGGGGTATAGGCATACAGGACACCGTACATGATGTTTTGGAAGAAGGCCTCGAGGCAGGAGCAGACCAGCTGGACGTTGGAGTTGGTCGAGGCTGTGAAGCAGAAGAGGAGCACCCCGGTAATCAGAGTAGAGATGACCATGGTGCCCTTACGACCGATGTACTTGATTTCTACGGTGTAGCAAGCCAGAATCGAACCCGGGACACCGACGATCGAAGTGATGGCGTAGTTTCGGTAGGCAACGTATGTGGAGCTGGAGCTGGAGCCGCCCGCATTCTCGAGATACTGAGGAAGGAAGGCGTTGAAGAGAGGATAGCCCATTCCAATGGTGGCCCAGCAGAACCAGAGGAGAACAGCTAGAGGACGGGTTAGCCTGGATCGGGGATCCCGATAGGATGGGATGGGACATACTGGAGAAACCAAGTTTCTTGTTGGCAAAGAGGGGCCCGATACGCTCCAGGGAGAATTTGGAAAGGTTCCGCTGGACAATCTCGCCGAAACTGAGAGTCTGCTCTGTCACCTCCTCAGGATACCCGCCGATTTCGTTGAGGATATCCTCAGTGAGCCATGTCTTGGCCTTGTTCTTGTAGGCAATGCCGTGGACCGAAGCCACGGCCTCGCCCTGGCGACCGCGGGCGAGCAAGTACTTGGGCGACTCATACAGATGAAAGAGGAAGAATCGGCAGACAAACATGGCGAAGGTCAAGGCACCCAGTGTGTAATCCAGGTATCTCCAGCCCATGTTGCTTTGCTTGGTGCAGCAGGCCACTCCGCTGGCAACGTCGCCGCAAGAAGGCAGTCCACTACTGCAGCTATAATTGGGGATAAACGCCCAAGCGAGTAGACTGATCACTTGTTAGCAGATGACTGGGCTTGGATCAATGAAATAACGAACCTAGCAATCAGTTGACCAACGGGCCACCAGACACTCAGCATTGTCAGGAGGTTGCCCGAGGCGAAAGGCAGGAATTCCAGGAACAGAGCTCCGTCGACTGGCAGGTTACCTCCCACTCCTAGACCCATGCAAGCGTACAGGGCACAGGCTCTGCGCAAAATATCAGCAAATGATCCCACCAACATGATATCAAGGAAACGCACCCGATCCAGGTTGGAGCACCGCCGGCGGCAATACCAAACACACCACAGATGAATAGGGTCATGTTGAAAGCCGGGCGACGGCCAATGATATCAGACGCGATCCCCCAGAATGAAGCGCCAATGCAAAGCCCCAAGAACAAAGAACATGTCGTGAAACGGACCCAAGTGGTGGAGACACCGAATTCTTGGGCAATGGGACTCAGTGTCAAAGCGACACCCTTGCAGCAGTTAGTACCTGGTCCGTACAACCTGACGTCTGCACCAAAGGCAACACTGTCTTACCTGCAACCAAAGACTAAGAGTAATCCGTTGTCAGCCAAAGAACATCATCCACCAAAGGTACTCGCTTACTTGTCTGCCAGCCAGCCAAAACCACAGAGAGCAAAAAGTTCCCACTGGTAGCGGCCCATCCCAATATCCTGCACCGCTCGATTAATGACTTTGGCCTTGCCTATGGAGATTCCACAGTTAGATCTTGGGTTCCAAAGGATTCTAGGGATGGATTATCCTGGATGGCATCGTCGCATGGGGAACACCAGAACATACGGTCATACGCAGTGTCCTTGCCGGATGCCGCAACATCCGACTCGACTTCGGCGCGAAGGGCCTCGATGGTCAGGCTGCTGTAGTTTGGCACAGGCCCGACCCCGGCTTCCGAGGAGGGAGCCCTGTCCAAGCTTTTATCGTCAGTCTTCTCATCAGGGCGGTCGGTTTTCTCTAAGTCCGGGTTCGGTTTGATATGCGCAGGGGCTTCCGCGAGAGGGACCACAACCGAAGGGAAGTCGTGGTCATGTTTGCGGAAAGGATTGAGTCCGAAAGGCATGGCTGCGAGGGCGAGATTGTATGGGCTCAGGAACCGGGACTGGGCGGTGTTCGATCTACTTGTCGTCGCGATTCGCAGTTGTCGCTAGGGTCAAATGGCAGGTGCAATGGCTGGACAACCGATTTTCTTGGTGCTAGGGACAGGCTGAAGGGGATTCGATACTCGGACTCGGGGGACGATAAAAATGGCGCTCAGGGATGGTCCTATGGCGGTGCTATTGAACGCACGTCGTACAGCTGGATTTGCCTCTGCTGGAGCAAGTTGGGAGATAACCAAGAAGAGTAAATGGTATGTAGGTATGCAAAAGTTCAGGCAGGCTGAGAATTGTAGCTCAGCTAGCTGGCCTGAAGGGACAAGATGGGTGAATGGAGAAGAGTAGAGGGGAAAGAACAGAACAATCCCAATGGGTGAGGCGATTGAGAACTTCCTCTAGAGGCGATGAGATGGCGCGCAAAGAAGAGGATCGACTGCAATCGCTGTCGCCTTCCGATGCTGGGATATGAATAGCACGGAGCTGAGGGGGGAAAGATTGCGGGGGAGGGGAAGGGGGAGGGCGAGAGGGGATAGGAATGGGGGATGGGAAGTATATGAGGTGGTAGAGAAAGAGGAGGAGGACCACACGAGAACCAAGGTTGCAGAGTGGGATGAGGGCACCCGAGGACTATATACGCATCCAGCTTCGGAGAAAAGTTAAAGGTAAAAAGTGAAAAGACATCAATTCACATCATCTGTCTGTCTGTCTTTTTTTTTTTTTTTTTTTTTTCTCTCTTTCTTACATGCATGCACTCTGCGATATATGCAGTTGTATGGATCCGTACCTGTAAACTAAATTAGCGTGCTTTAGAGATTGCCCTATGTGGCAAGGACCGACCAGCCGGAGTTTCTCTAGGGAATGGCTAGAAAGAACCATCACAAATCACAATGTGACTGACAGTCAACCCATTGGCAGGGTGGCATGGCTCTAGACAGGTATAAGTAAAATAAGTAGAGGAATATCAACACACAACACCTTTTGTCCGAAAAATGTCGCTCAACCGTTATGAAACCGAGAGGGTAGTATGCAGCAGGCCACCCAGCTAAAAAGTCCCCGGATACGATACGGCGATACCGCGACCGACCCCCCCCATACTTGGCCGGACGCAGGCTAGCGCGGGGGGTTCTGATAGGCGTTGAATCAATGGGGAGGAACCACACCGGCCGAAACCGAAGGGCAATCCACCCCCCGCGGATTGGCCAGTTCATGCCTTGGTAGCGTCGCTTGGCGTTGGCGGCGCTGGAGGCGGGCGCTATGGCCCTTGGCATCTGCACGCTGCAGCGCCCTCCCCGGTAATGTTCAAATGTTGACCTCACGATTGGATCGATAGCTGGCAATCGAAGGCGTCTGATAGGGATCATATAGCTTATCTTCCGCTGAACCCTGCCATGATAGGAATAAGATGCCGCCAAAGGGAGGGGGACGGCCAATCCCAACGGCAACCCAAGGGTTCGAGGAAAGGGCCTGCCGTCTGGCATGGCATTATGGTTGACCTTTCACCACCGAATCGGATGAAGATTGAAGCCACTTCCACGCTGGCGACCCACTCCTCGGCAGTGGCTAATCATTTAACTGGATATGCGACCTTGAGGTTCTCGGGAGGTCCCAACCATCCAATGATTCAAGCAACGCGACAGTCGGGTCGAGTCAAAAGTCCGCAACACGCGGGGTCCACCCGACACACGAAGTTGGAACCTGGGGGAGGCTCTCCGTGGTGCAAACCAACGCATGCTCCCAGGTTGGGGTAATGATGCCATCAGAAGAAGCTTAACTCTTCGTCATGAATCAATACACACTTAACGGCTCGGGTACGAATTTTCTCACATGAGCAGCAACAAGTCCACGTGCCAAGCTTGCCCGAGATCCCTACGTCATCGCCCTATGCACTTGGCCTGCCACTAGTCCCCAAACAGGATGGTCAAAGTTACCTGACGGCGTCGGTACCGGGCAGAGATCTCAGGGTCCCACGGGTAAGGTAAGCGCGATGGAATGTGCCGTACCTGCCTAATCGGTCGGATGTGAAGCGCCCCAATTTTCAACTTTTCAGCCTGTGACAGTCTCGTTCACAGCCTGGAAATGGAAGTGTATGTTCGGTGAGCATCTATATCGGATTAATCCCGCATAGGATCTATGCACAGAGAAGATTTCCTCAAGCCACGAGTGCAGCAACGGCTGAAACTCAACCGTCCAACATGCATACCGTGAGTGTACTAGGAGTCGCCGACACGAGACACCATGACGGAGTAGGATTAGAGGCCAACAGGGCCAGCCTTACCTAGACGGGATTGGAACGGCACCGCCTGGCCTCAGCTGGACTTCTCGAGGACACTCCTGAGACTCCTCAGAGCAGGGATCATCGTTACAGTCACTGGCGAGTGGCCCGTCATGGCTTCCGCATCCGTTTCGCGGCACCCCGTCGTCATGGCCGGCCAATCATGTTCTACAAACCAGGCCATAGTTTCCTCCAGGCGGCCTCCATAATGGTGCCACAAATCTCTGGCGCACAGTCAGGAAGGTGGTAGCAATGCAAATGGCTACGCAATGGGGGCCAAATCTATTTAGTGGCACGTAAAATACCACCTGCAGCCGTCCATTCACAGAGGGTTTCGCTGCCGGGAGGTCCGCTGGCCATGGTATTTTCATTCTAGCAATCCTCGATTATCCTGCCTACCGCGACGGATTACGTACTCTGGTGGCCACAGCCATAGATAAGCTCAGGTCAACTCTAGAAAGATCGAGGGAAGAGTTCGGGCGTAGACTAGGTTGCCTCGCCTGAAGGTCTAGATGAACAATGGCATCTGTCCTTTACGGTCCTCGGAGTTCAACTGACAGATAGCCAATATGAGCTCTCGCTTTCGAATACCCAATTTGTCCTCAACGATGGATATACCCCCAATGGGATTACCGAGAGACAACAACGAAAGGTGACTCGAACGTTGTATTCCGGAGTGCGAGACGAAAGGGGTCCAAATTGGGGCTAGAGAGGAAGGTCAGTTACTGACAAAGGTCCAAGGTTGTAGAGATCTCATACAGTCTTTCCAGTACCAGTTCAAACACTAGCGTCGCGAAGTCGTTCTGGCGGGACATTTTTCCTCTATCTGGGCATATGTTCCTCCTGCACATCGGATCTTCTCAGCGCCGTTTCCAATCCGGTATGGCCATCGAAGCAAAGAACAATGCGCATCCCATCAGTGTTTATCGGTCTATTCCAGAATTGTAAAATGACGCAGATATCATCATGTCACTGAGGCCATTCATCAGAAACAACACTCCGGCACGCGTTAACCGATCAAGGGGTCGGGTGTTGAGCAATAGCTCCGATCCAGCAGCCGATCCTGAATAGATTGACGTCAGTAAGACATTGGCGTCTGTGTCCTTCGCGGTAGAGGACATTATCTCGCCGCGTAGGACGGAAAATCCGCCGCGCTTTGGGCCCGACGACAGGCCGGAAACTCCATGGGAACTAGACAGCGAGGGTCAAGTTGCAACTGAAGGGAGGAAGCTCTTGACAGTTGACACCGCCACAGACGTAAGAAGGGCCCTCGGGATCGGAAGAATAGATAGTCCCCGGGGAGGGGCCACGTGATCGTGGAGCGGCCATCGAGGGGCTGCGACAGTGCGCGCCTGAGCCTTGGTGCGCGCTACCTTTAAGGCCAAGATGCCAAAACAATATTCCGCAACATAACTCGGCTTATCTCCTGGCTATGTACTGCGCCACATGCCAATGTGGGGGGTAGACATCACATCTTTGGAATTTCAAGATCTCTCTGGTAATCCATCAGGCCCTCGTCCGACACCACAGGCCCTGGGTCGTCGGCTCTCCCAGCTCATACACCATCACCTTCCACCACCACCATGACCAAGATATTGACCTCCAGCCAAGCTGAGGAACTGTGAGTATCCGCACGGCCTGCCGTATGTTGCTTGCGCGCTTATCTGCAATCAGGCACAAGTCGATAATCGCCTACCTATCATCAATAAATGCCTCGCGGAGTTGTGAGGCGCTGCGGGAAGAGCTTCAGGTGGACAACAGTTTCGACGATGCGCTTTGCCGGAAATACGAGGGGCTGTTAGAAAAAAAGTGGACGGGCATTGCTCGCCTGCAGAAGAAGGTAGGTTCATGTGTTTGACAAGGCTGCCTGCGGGTTCCTATTTGATATGACCGCTTGGGAGCCCAGGGACTGATCAACATGTAGATCTTGGATCTAGAATCTAAACTGGCTGGTCTGCAAACCGAACTCGACACCATATCACCTACGGCCCGTTCCACTGGGAAAGACCCAACAAATTGGCTCCCCGCATCGCCCCGACATACCTTCGAGTCGCATCGAGACGCCGTCACATGCGTCGCATTTCACCCTATCTTTACCTCACTCGCCTCCGGCTCCGAAGACTGCACGATCAAAATATGGGACTGGGAACTCGGTGAATTGGAGCGGACGCTCAAGGGCCATATGCGGCCGGTCTCTGATCTTGATTTCGGCGGCCAAAAGGGACATACGATACTCGCATCTTGTTCAAGTGATCTGCAGATCAAACTTTGGGATCCGAACAAGGATTATGCCAACGTCCGAACCCTTTCTGGGCATGATCATTCAGTTTCCGCCGTGCGCTTCTTGCGACAAACAGATAATATCCTTGTCTCGGCCAGCCGGGACGCATCGATTCGGATATGGGATGTTTCGACCGGATACTGTGTCAAGGTGATCGACTCGCACGGCTCCTGGATCAAAGACGTGTCACCTTCCTTTGATGGGAAATGGTTGGTGGCAGGTGGTCGTGATCAGGCCGCTGTGGTCTGGGAAGTCGCATCCGCCAAATCAGTCGCGTCTTTAATAGGACATGAGAACTACATCGAATGCTGCGTGTTTGCACCCCCCGCCAGCTACAAGCATCTGGCTGCGATTGCGGGACTGAAGCAACCGCCTCCGTCGAGTAGCTCGTCTGAATTCATCGCGACCGGGGCGCGAGACAAGACGATCAAGCTCTGGGAATCTCGGGGCCGACTCATCAAGACGTTGGTAGGACACGACAACTGGGTAAGAAGCCTGATATTTCACCCAGGTGGGAAGTACTTGATCAGCGTGGCGGACGACAAGACAATACGATGCTGGGATCTCTCGCAGGGGGGACGATTGGTGAAGACAGTCAACGCGCACGGGCATTTTGTTAGTTGCATCCGTTGGGGCCCAGTTACTGTGAGCGATGTTTCAGTGGAGAACACAGAATCGACTAAAAGTTCCAAGACGGACGTTGTCAAACCTGGGTTTCGATGCGTGATTGCAACAGGGAGCGCCGATTCAAGTGTACGGATTTTCACGTAGTTTCAGAGGTAAATGATTGCATACATCCTAACCATTCCAAAGACTAATACCAATGTCAAGACTCAGATTATGCCTCCGAACACGTAAACAACCCTCCTGCCCGAGGTTTCGGGCCCCAGCCCTTTTTCTCTCCGGAGACAAGCATGGGAATTGATGAAATGATGATCTTATGAATCATGTTGTGGACTAGAATTGATGCAGAATCAAGAGAGATCTACGAGGTATCTATAGGAAAGGACCGGAAACATCTGATCTGCATCCAAGGCAAACCCTCCAATGCCTTTTCACCCGAAGTGATACCATCACAATGTTTTGAATAACAGGCCCTGCTGTATTTACATTTCATCTGAGATGGGCTGTTAGCAGTGCATCTATCCCCTCTTTCAAGAGGAACCCTGCACTCGGTTACATGGGTATCCCACCAATGATCCATCCATCCATTCCTATCAAGGGAGAAGGATCTAGACTTTCTACATAGATACATAGGTAGTCTAGCTTGTGCTGACTACCAGTTGGATATATCCTCTCTCTCTCTCCATCTCTTTTTCTCTCTCTGTCAATATATACCCCCACTTAATCCTTCACATAACCCCAACAAACAACTAAGACGTGAATCTATGCTTTATTCTCCCCCCACTAGATACCCTCCACCATCCCACCCACAACACCACAACCAATCTATTCTATCCTCTCAAGACCATTCCAAAAGACAGTGTGTAATCAAAGTAGTATATCAAAAAAAAAAAAAAAAAGGGAAAACTGAACCCAACAACCCGCATCCCCCACACTAATTCTTAACACACAACCCAAACAATTAATAAATAATCACTGGCACTAGATACTACATCAGAATCCAAAACAGAACCAATCGATCCTCCATCAAGTTTTAATCTATGTCAATTTCCAAGCATCCATCTAACAATTAAATAATAATAATAATAATTATGTGATCTCAACTAAACCCAAATCCCCCCAAATTAGCCTAATCAAAAGAACTTAAACTTTCCACCATCTGAAACTATATTACTATAATATAACCTCCTCCTCCCTGAACAAATCTACTACTATTACCATCCATGGGGGACAGAGGACTATAAGATGGGTGGGGGTTCCTATATAGCCGCATGTATTCATTATCAGTATTGTTATTTTGGTGCTGGGTGTAGGGATAGGGATAGGGATAGGGATAGGATAGAATCATTTTAGTGGCGATTGTAGTGTTTATTTGGGTTTAGAGCGGGTTTTAGATTGGGTTGGTTGTTTTTCTTCTCTCCCTTTTGCGCTTGCGCGCGCTAGAGAACAGGGAGTCTGTAATGCATTTTCTTTGTCTGGAGTCGATGGAGAATGTGTATCCAATTAAGGATCATCGTCAGGAAGCTACACCCTACGTGGAATCCCCATAAACTCGTGTACATTCACATACAACGTATCTACAATTTATTACCATTTTATCATGACATGTCTCCCCGTGTCAACTGTCGCGCACCTACAGAGTCTCCCTCCGTCCAAGCAGCCACTCAAGGTGGCGGTAGGACACTCTCGGCTGGAATTGGGGCTGCATGTGTCCACTCTGGAAGGTCTCCGCCCACATGAGACCACGCTCATAGTGCTGGATGCCCATGACTCCCTGGCCTTCTTGAGGGTCATAGCCGTTCTCAATGTACAGATCGTTGTACATCAGGTCCGGAATATCAATGTTGATCGGGGTGCTGGGCGCAGTCTGGAAGCCAAGCTGTCCGTTCCAGGTCATGTTCTGGATTGACAGAAGTGTGCCGTTGGTGAGGATGATCATATCAAAGTCACCGTTGCCGATGAGAACCCGGTTGGTGCCCTCAATGACTTGCGGCAAGACATGCTCGATGGGGTTGGCCGAGAGGTCACCCTCCTGCTCGGGACCGCCACCACCATCACCGACGAAGACGTTCTCCAGCGAGCACTCGGACCAGGTGATGTTCGGGGCGTGCATGGCGCGCTTGACGTCGGCACGGTCGAAGTAGATAGTGGCACCCGCAGGGAGGTAGTCAACCTCGGTGGGAAATCCAAGGACATCCCAGAGGATGGGGCACATCTCGTTTATCTCGTAAGGGTTGAAGCAAGGGTTGGGGTCCAGAACCGCGTCGTTGACAATGTCAAACACATCACAGGTGGGGTCGCTCCAGTTCATGTACTTCGGGGGCTGAACACCGGACGGAGGGAAGACAAGGTACTGATCGATGAAGTCCTTGTACCCGCAAGATTCGTGGATGCTCTCCAGCTGCGCCATAAAGCTTGCATTGAAGTTGAAAAGATTGAGGTTCTTCTGGACGAACGGCACAACAGGTGCCTCCTCCTGAACATAATCAAACTGGCCAATGCATGGGTCATATGCCATAGCACCTGATGCAGTGTCAGTCAAAGACCAATAAGACCAACGTCACCAAGACTCGGACTTACCCTTTAGGTCAAAGTGTTCGGTATCGTTCTGGTCAAGGAAAGCCCCGGAAATGTAGGGAACATAGCGGCCCGCATAACTTTCTCCGGTGACATAAATCTTGTAGTTCTTGATTCCAAAGGTCTGCTGCCAATTCTTGAAGAATTTCACAAAGTCTGCTGCAATATCTTCCTCGGACGTAGCAGTTGGGGTACCAAGAGAGAATCCCGTTCCAACGGGTTGGTCAACCCTGTATGAAACGGATTAGCTCGACATGCATCATTGACCAGCAATTCAGCAACATCACTCACCACAGCACGTTAGTCAAGTTCACCCAGGAGTATGGGTTCTCGACAGGCTGGAAGGTTCCGGGCTGCCACACAAATCTACCATTCTCCTGCAGGAAGGCCTCCAGAGAACTGCATCCAGGGCCACCGTTGAGCCAAATGGTAATCTCATCCACGGGTTCACCAATTGTGGGCTGAAAGACAAAGAAAAGGGACCTTGACAGGTTGCCATTTTCGATGGGGATCAAGCCAGAGTACATCTCACCAAGGTCGAAGTGGACATCGGGTAGACTTTCCACGCGAAATTCTGTCCATTCAAGTCAGCTATTATACCAAGTCGGGCTGATAAAAGCGTACGCTTGGTTTTGTTGGTGAGGAATTGATAGTCCTCGATTGGGGTCGTTTGTGCATGCTTCACTGCGTTGGCGGAACGCTTCCCAATGTTCATGGCATCGCGAGCCTTTTGGCCAAAGCGGCCATGCTTAGCAGCGGAAACATTATCCGCACACAAGGAGACGGCTAGGACAGCCGTCGACAGCAGACTGCGGAACAGCATACTGAAAGAGTTTATGGACGAAGGTGAGCGGAAAGGCTTGCACAAACAGCGAGCCGATCGCCTGGGAGTGCCGGGAATTTATATGCGGAAGATCAAATTCATGCTGCCTAACCATGATGTAGGCCAACGACGCTAAGATGACATAGTGCATATGCGGACCATCTGATTGTCGGTGCAAGCCTCCAAAGTCAGGCTATCCATGCTCTGGGAGCATTCGGAAACCGGAGGGCGGGGATTTTGCGGGCAAGGCAGCAAGGTGATGGGACCTTGCAGAACCATCTTTGCCGGGGCTAGGAGAGACGGAATGCAACAATGGGTCAAGGCGGCGCCAATGAGGAACTTGCGGGCCGCTGTGGAAGAGGAGAGGTAGGCGCGAACTGAAGACAGATGCAGCGGCTGTCCTCGGAGGAGGGCCTCATGGGGAGACACAAACGAAGCTCCTTTCCTAACGCGGGGATGCAACCGGAAAACGCGGACGTTTAGCGTGGTGATAACGAGAGTCGGTGACAATCACTTGATGCGGTATCTGGTGACGCTTCGGCTTTTGCTGGTGATAAGACAGATTAATCAAGTTGGGCCCTCCACTCCAAGTTTCTGGATGGCTGTGATACGATGGGATGTCCCGCCATGTCTCACGGAGTACGCCGGTGGTCCGAATGGGGATGTGCAGAAAGATAGTGCCCGATAAACCTCTCATAGTGTTGAGCTTGGTGTCCTTGGTTGTGGTTGACCGCCCACTCCCTTGGTGACGTGAAGATACTCCGGCCGGTGTGCACAAAGCCGGCTATATTGACGATCGGGGCTACTAGTCAAGACATTCATGGCTCGGTTAGAGGCGATATTAATTGATTCCTTCTGTTGCAGGACTTACCTACTTATTCGACCCAAACCTCTCACTATGACCATCCAGGTGGGGAACCATTCGGATGCAGTCCGTTCATGATGAGGAATCAGAAGTGGAAAGGGGAGCCATTGCCTGTCCTTCCCACTCCACGAGTCATCGATTCTTCTAGTTCTCAAATTCTAATCTAGAAACGAGGAGGAAGAAGAGTCGAATTGGTCTGCTTCGTTGCGTACTGCCAGCACGGTCCGCTTTCGTCCGAAAAGGGAAGGCGAGAAACTGATTCTCTTTTACTTCCAACAACCAGGCCATGATAACATCGCTTCTCAGTGACAATGCAGAACTCGCAGGCAGTTCCCTTCAATTACCAAACATGTATAAACCAGTGGATCTGGCTCTGCAAGTTACCAAATGCATCCTCGGGTTTCTCCCAGGATGAACCCAGATCAAATGATCGTGTACAATCGTGACTCAAGTTTCAGAGGTATCCAACAGGCCTCGTGCATTGCATGGTACCATAGGGTCTCCATAGCAAGCTGATGCAATCACTTTCTAGCGATATCGACTCCAACTGGAATAATTCCCCCGGAAGAATGATGTCTCGTCTGCCAGAATCCAGGGGTGATATTACCTCGAGTATAGACCCCGAATGAAGGATAAGCATGTCCTACACACCCAAAAACAATGGCTCGGAAAGGCGACGATTGCCCAGCATAGACTACCAGGATCTGTGACGCGATGCAAAACAGTGGCAATTACGTTTTAATAGTGGGATTAAGATGGTCCTACACGCGGGGAATGGAGAGCGCACTCTGAGATTGAAGCGGCCCAATTTCGTGTCTGTGAAATGATATCCATACATCATCACGAACTAGGAAAAGCTGGCATGCATATGCCAGCAGACTTCTACGATCCTGACGACGACTTGAACTATATGGAAAAGGTCCACGCCGTAGTCAACCCGTGCGACTGAAATGGACTGATCACAAATGTCAGAGGGCTAGGAGATGGACAACGACGACAGGTCATGTTTGAAAGAGCCTTGTGTTGTAAGTCGGTTCATTCATTCAACCTCATCGTCAGAATCACTGATTTGAGACTCAAATCTTAGCGATAAAGATTCGAGGTTCAATATTGTTCCGCGGAACCTGACATGGATTTATACTGCCAATTCTTGGCCAACCATGGAACCCATGTCTTCCAGCGTATGTATATTCGTCCGGAAGAACTAAATGACAATGGATATCCTTCTACAATCTATAGACTATGGCCACATTTCACGAATTGCACTTGGTTATCGAGCCATGCCATTTGTCAGACAAATCATGTAGATGAATGGCGGGACCATCCCTACATTGTGATGCGAAAATGAGCGTAGCCTGAAATGTCTTGATAGTTGATGGATATCGAATGAAATGATTGCTGGAAGTGATGGCCGATGCCAATGGGGAAGGAAGGACCGCCGGCAGGGCAGGAGCCCGACAAGCCCCGCCAGTCCCGCCAGTCACGGTCGATCTTCTCGTTTCTCTTCCCTCTCGCTCCCCCTCAATCGCCATCGTTGGTTTCTCTGACTCAATCGTTTACTAAGGCAATCCTATCGGTCATTTCCCTGCAAGCTGCATCGGCTCCTTTCTCTCATCGTCTGGTTCCCACCAAACTCTCCTGCGACCTTCCCTATCCTGTTTAGCGTGGCCTGGTTTTGCCACGCAAAATGAGGTGCGAACCAGGAATCCCCATCGTCACAGAAAGGCAAGCTGATGCTCTGGCTTGCCAACTCCATCCAGCCTGTCCACTTGCTGGCCAACGGTTCACCAATGGGAAGATTTCCGGCGAGGGGAGCAGCCGAAGACGAGCAAAGGGGAACGGCGTGCTCCGTAGGAAGGGGAAAAACCTCCACTGCGGAGCTAACCAGCCGCTAAACGGCCAAAGACCTTGCAGTTCCAGAAGGCCTTTTTTGACTTTCCCCCCGAACATGTACTCTCGCATCGGGCAGGTCTGCATCAAGTCTCAGGCCGGGATTAGAGAAGTGACTGTGTGCTCGCTGTCAGTTTCTGATAGACCTTGAATCCGACAGTTCCTTTGGATGTAGACCCGGTGTCTCAGACCTTTCGCCTTCCGCTCTCTCTTGGTTAAAATTTTGTCTCTCCGCACTCTACCAGGCAACCCAAGGGGTAAACGCAGGCACAGACGACTGTATACTGTGTGGCCGAACGGTCTGTCGTGGTTCAACTCTACCCGCCATCGCTTGCACATGTCGACAAATATGAAGGCTTCTGGCAATTTAGACATAGACAACATGGAAGAAGCCCGTGCAACCAAGAACCTTTCAACCTTACCTGGTTCCCAGTATACAAACTCTCCTCCGGCCGGAGAAAATACGCCGGGTAGCGGGACTAAATCACTCGACTACCACGAACCCAATGATGGAAGACTCGATGTCACAGAGAAGCAGTCTCAAACATGGGCTCAATCCGATGGCAACCTACCACAGGCAGAGACAACCCTCGAAGATGGCCTTCACAGGCCCTCGTCTGGAGCTTCTGATTCAAACAGCTCTGCACACAGCGCCCCAATGACTCGCGTGACAACCGATGCGGACGGAAATTCCTATCCCGAAGGCGGACTAGAGGCCTGGCTGGTTGTCTTTGGGAGTTTCATGGGCCTCTTCGGCTCCCTTGGTTTGGTCAACACCATCGGAACTTTTCAGGCGTACATCGAGGGGCACCAGCTGCAAGACTACAGCTCCGGTACCACGGGATGGATTTTCGGTATGTACGCATTCTTGACCTTTTTCTGTGGTGTGCAGATAGGCCCAGTTTTCGACGCCAAGGGTCCTCAATTTCTTGTTTTTGCGGGCTCCGTGCTGGTCATGGTCATGATGATTGCTCTGGGCTTCTGCACGCAGTATTGGCATTTCATGCTGGTTATCGGCGTGGCTGGAGGAATCGGAGCATCCTTGATCTTCACTCCCGCCATCGCCGCGATCGGTCATTACTTCAACGAGAAACGCGGCGTTGCCACCGGGATAGCTGCCACCGGTGGCTCCGTAGGAGGTATCGTCTTTCCGCTCACCCTGGAGGCATTATTTCCGAAGATAGGATTCGCGTGGGCAACCCGGGTGGTTGCCCTTCTTTGCCTCGTCTCGGTGATTGTTGCGTGCCTGTTGATCAAGTCTCGGTTGCCCAAGAAGCCGGCTGTGAAGGAGAACATGCTGCCCGATTTTTGTATCTTCCGAGAACCGAAATTTGCACTCACCACAGCTGGCGTCTTCTTCGTTGAATGGGGCCTCTTCGTTCCAATCAGTTACATATCGTCGTATGCCTTGGCCCATGGCGTTTCCACACAATTTTCGTACCAGATTCTGGCCATTCTCAATGCGGGCTCGTTCTTCGGTCGAGGGATTCCGGGTTTCGTGGCCGACTATCTGGGACGCTTCAATACCCTCATCGTCACGGTAGCTCTCTGTGTCGTGTGCAATGCATGCCTCTGGCTTCCTGCCGGCAATAGTGTGCCCGTCATGGTGGTGTACTGCGTCATCTTTGGCTTTGCCAGTGGCAGCAACATCAGTCTGACTCCGGTCTGCATTTCCCAGCTGTGCAAGATTGAAAACTACGGCCGGTACTACGCTACCGCATATACGATCGTGAGTTTTGGGTAGGTCCCTGGGCGCTGTCAGAGTGTTATAAACATGCACTAACCTTTGCAGCACCCTGACGGGCATTCCAATAGCGGGTGAAATCTTGTCTCGCTGCAACGGCGAGTACTGGGGGCTGATCACGTTCACAACTTGTTGCTATGTTCTGGGCCTTGTCTGTGTCACATCAGCCAAGCTGATTCACGTCGGCTGGCGTCACCCGTTTGCCATATACTGAGTGTCAGTATGGCATATACTTTGCAACAAAATGATCTGCCCACTTGGCGCTACTGAGGGAATATTCACAATTGCCTAATGGTCCACGAGACCAACGATTTCAGAACGCCAAGGCATAAAAACAAGAAAAGAAGTGAAAACATCCACCGTCGCCACGTGCCGCACAATCAAATGTCTAATATTTCAAAAGCTCTAGACTATATACATGATTTAATGGTACATAATCCTCAGATCCAGACCAATCAGACGGCCAGGACGTATATGCCGGGAAGCTGACCCGATAGAGTCTCGAAGCCAGCCGAGACTCTAATTCTCTTACTGCAGCGTCACCATGATAACCACCGAACACCCAACCCTTATCCAGCTTATCCCTAATGACATCGCCCGAACATCATGCCTCGAGTCTTGAGGCCTATATAATCCCTTCCCCAGGATGCCTCCAAATCCTACTACCTCTTCCTCTCCACGCCCCATCACCTTCTACCATCTGCAGCCTATTTCAAACCACACCCACCAGCACCATGTTCTTCACCACATCCATCCTGGCCGCAGCCTTGGCCTCCTATGCCCTAGCTTTTCCCCTTGACAATGCCCCAAACCCGACCCCGGTCCCGGCCCTACCTCCGGCTCCGACCATCGCTCCCGATCAGCCCCCGAATCCCACTGCTGCCGCCCCCGGAATCGGAGCCACCGTGACCATCACCGTCTCGCTGCCTTGCTTCGGCGCCACCGCAACCCTGAACCCGACTCTGGGACTCGGGGCTCGTGAAACTGAGGCTGCCGCTGGCTCCGCTTCTGGATCTGGCTCCAGCATCAGCGTCCTCCCCAGCTGTGTGGCCTCTCAGGGACCGGGTTCCAAGCCACCCTCCCCCACCACGACCCCCTGCGTTTCTCCCAGCGTCATCGATCCCGACAATAACAATGACAATGGCAATGGAGATGACAACGGAGACGACGACGACACCGATGCCGACGACGTCAGCGTCAGCAGCAAACTCCTCCTCCCACCAAGCAGTGGTGTCCCTACGCTCCCTAAGCCAATCCAATCCAAGATCGTCACTACATCTACTACCTCTCCCACCAAGGTCCAGACAGCATCCATCTCCTCCTCTCCCTCACTGCCCGTCACTCTCACCCCCTCCGCAAGCACTTCCCCTTCCCCCACCCCGAAGGTGTCTTTCTCCTCCTCCGCTTTCGACGACGACCAGGACGATGACCAGACCAAGACCGCTAGTGCTAGTGACAGTGACATTGCCACCGCGACCAGCACTCAAACAAAGGACCCCGCCGTGCCTGTTCTTCTTCCCTCTTCAACATTCAAGACTTTGGCTTCATCTGAGCCGGCTGCTACCACTACCACCAGCACCAGCACCACCAGCACAACAACCCCAATCTCATCCCCAACCACCAAGTCCAAGGACCTGACAATCACCACCCCGGACTCTGCTGTCACCACTACCACCACCTCCTCATCCATCACTTCCTCCACCAGCAGTTCTACTACTTCAGCCCCCACAACCAAATCCCCCATCACCACCCCCACCCCCACCAAATCTCTCCCTACATCTACATCTACATCTACCCCTACAACCAAAGTACCAACTTCAACTGCCACCACCACAACTGCCAAATCATCCCCAACCCCAACCACAAAATCCCTCACCGAGCGCAAAGAAGACCCGAATATGCCCATCAAAGTCCCAACTGTCACGCCTATTCCGGGGATCGCCTAAACTAACTTACTCTTACTTAACTTCAGATCTAGTTCAAATCTAGTCTCAGATTCCATTTTCACTTTCATGAACGTCTTGTATTCTTCTTATGAAGGAGGATTGGGAAGGATGGATGAAGGGATGGATGAAAGGGTGGATCTGATGATTGGTTAGCTTTATCTTCTGTTTGCGTTTCGCTTTAATCTACCTCTTTTTTTTTCTTTTGCTAGTGAATGTCCTTCTGGTTGTTCAGTTGAAAGGAAAGAGTGAGAAGTAAAGGATGTGGGTTCGTTAGAAGCTGTTTTGCTGACTATGTAAGAGTCGTTCTATCGATTAATCTAATAGCTTCAATGCTGCTTGCTATAAAATCAAGAAGAGAAAGATATAACTTGCTTAGATCCCGACCGAGTCCGTACTATAATGGTGTCTTATCATTTTCTCGCAGACGTATGTCGACTATTCGATCATACAGGCCATATAGAACGTAAAAAAAAAAAAAGAAGAAATAGTGGCTGATTCCGGGCTTCCTGATCCCATACCAAAGGGGCTCATCTGCTAGTGTGAAAAGATTAAATACAATACAAATAGGAAGGAAAAGATGACTCAGGCCGCAGAAAGCATGCGTTCGAAAGAAGAAGAAAAAAAAGAGCTGCCGGGCAGTAGTCAAGTGGAACGTATGCAAGAGCATTCCGCCGAGAGGGCAGAAGGATGCTGGCTCCTCCCACCGCTGCTCAGCTCGCCCATGTTGATCTTCATTCCATGTCGCAGGTTTATATGGAGAAACCCCGCCGGTGGTTCCATGCGCCAAACACCTTACACCAGAGGTTTACTGGCGTAAACAGTAACAACCGAAATCAGAACACACTATAGTATAGGCAGATGAGAAAGGAAACGAGAAATATGCCATGGCTCGGCTGTCGTCAATGTTACCAGCGACAAGCGTATGCAAAGCAGGAAAATCGACCGAGAAGCTGGGGAAACGAAGCGAAAGCGGAGGGCGTGTGCGGTGGGACATGAGAGGTGTTTCCCCGAAAAGAAAACTTGGGTGGAAAACGAGACAGGTACCAAGAAGAGGTTACCAGGCCAAAGAACAGTTCTTACAGGCGCGCAAAGAGATAGGGTATAAGGTTTGCATCGAAGCCACTCGGAAAGATGAAAGGAAAACAAGCGAAAGGATATATTGACGACGTCTCACGAGCTGTTGGACCGCAACAGTGCCTGGCGAGCCAGTTAGTATCTATCTATCAATCACAAGAATCCCCCCGGGGGGGATGGGAAAGAGGGAGGGGAAACCCACCCTTTCAACGGAAAGGTCATCACTCTTATCAACGCTTGGGCTGGCGAGACCACCTCGGTTGATGGTGCTTGTTGCGGTGATGGACCGGGGTTCCAAGCCCGGCCGCTGCTGGCTCTTGCCGTCGGGGCCGCTGTGGTGCACCGGGTGCATTTCACCGCTGCTCGAGATCCGCGACTCCTTGCTCTTCTCCAAGAGAGAACCACCTAACGTGGCACATTTGAGAATCGTCTGCATCATCTGGTTCTGTTTCAGGGGTTTCGACAGGTACTCGTCCATCTGGGCCTGGATACACTTCTCCCGATCGCCCAGCATGGCGTGAGCGGTCAGCGCGATGATCGGGGTTCGACTGAGACCGCTCTCCCTTTCATACTCGCGGATCTTGCCGGTGGCTTCGAAACCACCCATGACGGGCATCTGGACATCCATCAGAATGACATCGTAGCGCCGTTGCTTCACGGCCTCCACGGCCTCGAGACCGTTGCTGACGACGGATACATTGTGGTTGTGTTTCTCTAGTATCTTCACGGCCAGCTTCTGGTTGACATCGTTGTCCTCCGCCAGCAGAATGTCGAACGACCGCGAGTGATCCGTCGTGATGGGCGTCGAACGTCCTTCCAGAGCGGGCAGCATACCATTGCCGAGATCGATCGGCTGGCAGGGCGTCGTCATGTAGGAGCTGATACCGAGGTCCAGGGCCGACTTCAAGCTGACGCAGACCAGTGGGCACACCAACACGATCGGAACATATTTGAAGTCATCGAAGGTCCGCAACAACCGGGCGGTGGCCACCGAGTCCACAATTATCACATCATAGGCATGGCCCGACTCTTTGCCCGACGGGTCCTGAATCTCCGGCGGCGGCACATGATCCTCGTTCCGCACGACCAGCGGCTCCAGGTCGATCTGCTTGAGCATCTTCATCACATTTTCGGCCTGGCCGCCGTTCTCCCCCTTGTCGATAAAGAGGACACGGTGGTTCTTGTACGGCATCAGCTGCGACGCAATGACGCTCAAGGACTGGTCGGCCAGTTTCACCACACAAGTGAAGTGGAACGTGCTGCCATGACCATACTCCGAGGTAACCCAAACATCACCACCCATCAGGTTCACGAGGCGCTTGGAGATGGACAGACCGAGACCGGTTCCACCAAATCTACGCGTAGTCGAACCGTCGGCCTGCTGGAAGGTGTCGAAGATCAGATCAAGTTTGTCTTCCTCGATACCAATGCCGGTGTCGGAGACGGAGAACTCGAACGCATATTCATCGGCTGCACACTGCTCCCGGTCGGACTTGCAGATGGTGAGTTTGACCTCTCCGTGCTCGGTGAATTTGATGGCATTGCCGACCAAGTTCAGGATAATCTGCCGCAGACGGAAGGGATCGCCAATGACATAGTCGGGGACAGTGTTGTCCACTTGGTAGGTCAGACTCAGGAACTTCTCGTTGGCCTTCACTGCCAAAGTCTTCAGAGCATTGAAGACGGTTCCCCTCACGGTAAACGGAATGCTCTCAATCACCATACGGTTCGCTTCGATCTTGGAGATATCGAGTATGTCGTCAATGATGGTGAGCAAGCTGTTCGCCAGGTTGTGCACCACATTCAACATCTCTCGGGTATAGGGCTTGAGATCATCCGTGTCCAGGGTCAACTGCGTCATGCCGATGATACCATTCATGGGCGTCCGGATCTCGTGACTCATATTCGCCAGGAACTCGGATTTGGTGCGGTTAGCCAATTCGGCGGCTTCCCTGGCTGCCGTGTTACGCTGGATACTGTCTCGCAGGTTCGAAACCATCTTGTTGATCTTTCGCTTCAACTCGTCCATTTCGCCCGAGGCATTGACTGTGATGAGCTTGGTGAAATCGCCGTCGGTGGCGGCATCCGTAATCTCACCGAATGCGCGCACTTGCGATGTCAAGTTTTCGGCCATGGTGTTCACGTCCTCGGTGATCTCCTTCCACGTTCCAGCAATCCCTTCGACATTGGCCTGACCACCCATCTTGCCGTCGACCCCGACGTCGCGCGCGACCTTCTTCAGCTCTGTTGCGAACTTGGCTAGTCGGTCCACCATGTGGTTGATGGTGACCTTCAGGGTAAGGATCTCTCCTTGGGCGTGCACCTCGATCTTCTTGCTGAGGTCACCCTTGGCAATGGCCTGGGTAACGTCCGATATACTTCGCACCTGAGAGGTCAAATTCTGGGCCATGGTGTTCACGTTGTCGGTCAGATCCTTCCACTTTCCTTCCACATTATCGACCTTGGCTTGACCGCCCAGCGTACCATCCGTGCCGACTTCACGAGCGACCTTGCTGACTTCAAAGGCAAAGGTATTGAGACGATCCACCATGCCGTTGATCGTGCTCTTCAGATCCAGGATTTCACCTTGCACATTAGCCGTTACCTTCTTGGTCAGATCACCCTTGGCGACGGCGGTGGTGACGTCCGCGATCTCCCTGACCTGGGTAGTCAAGTTGTTGGCCATACGGTTGACATTTTCGGTCAGATCCTTCCACGTGCCCTCCACATCATTCACAGTAGCTTGACCACCAAGGACACCGTCGGTACCGACCTCCTTGGCAATCTTAGTAACCTCTTGCGCGAATTGCCGTAGTTGGTCCACCATGGAATTGATGATATTCTTTAACTCAGCGATCTCCCCCTTGCAGTTTGCCTGAACTTTTTGTGTCAAGTCACCCTTCGCGACAGCCTTCGTAACGGTGGCGATGTCACGCACTTGCGTGGTCAAATTGTTCGCCATTGCATTGACGTTCACTGTGAGTTCGTTCCACATGCCTTGTACCCCTTCTATTTGAGCCTGTCCACCGAGGACACCCTCCGTACCGACGTCGCGTGCGACACGGGTGACCTCGGTTGCAAAAGTCCGAAGTTGGTCCACCATGGTGTTGATGGTCTGTTGAAGTTCCAGGATTTCACCCTGGGCGCGACTTTCAATCTTCTGGCTCAAGTCACCGTGGGCGACCGCTGTCGTGACCGCAGCGATCTCACGGACCTGATCAGTGAGATTCTTGGCCATTATGTTCACGTTCTCGGTCAGTTCCTTCCAAATACCATGTACCCCGGTGATCTGGGCCTGGCCACCGAGTATGCCTTCTGTTCCGACCTCTCGCGCGACTCGTGACACCTCGCTACCGAAGACTTGCAGTTGGTCCATCATGGTGTTTATCGTACGCTTGAAGGTGGCAATTTCAGGGTCCATCTCCAGCGGATGAATCTGCACCTTCATGGACAGGTCACCGTTCGCTACCTGAGTGATGATGCCGCCGATTTCCCGTAGCGCCTTCTGGAACGCCTCGTTGGCCTGCTGGTGCTTGCGTAGCTCCCGCTCCAGCAGGACAACATCTTCATTTTCGACTTTGGTCAAGGCCCGCCGTGTCTGTTCCTCCTGTTGTTGTAGTTCATCCCGGACTTGGGCTATGATGTCCTTCTGGTAACTTATTTCTTCTGCTTGCTTTTGGACATGGTTCCGTAGGTAGCTGATGTCCTCCTCGCGTACCAAACGTGTCCTTGAGCTCAGCTCCTCATCTTCGTCACTCTCGTCATCATCAATGTCCTCCTCGATTTCGTGGTCTTCCGGTTCAGTGGCCGATTGTCTGGATCCATCGGGGTGGTGTGTATTTTGCTGCTGTGAGAGGCAAGAAGAGTCAGAACCGTTACGGGACGAAAAACGAGAGAGACCAAAGGACCACAGGAAATCAGGCTCCTTCTCGCCGGGAGTGAGAGAAGACTGAGAGGATTTGGGGGTTGACTGGTGGTGACTGACATTTTGGAATTCCAGATGACGGACCCGTCGGACCAAAGCCTCCAACTCTTGTTCAAAAGCCGCCTTTGCCGAGCTCGATTCTCCAGGTAGTTTGGCGAGTTTTGCGTCGTAGCCATTGGCAGGTGGGTGGGAAAATTGGAAGTCGAAGGGAGGAGCGCCGGAAGGAGATTCTTTTGCGAGACCTCTCAGAATGGCAGCAGCGGCCGCGAGGGTTTCGTCCGCGCCAGCCATTGTGCCCTAGGACGCCTCAGTTAAAAACTGACATGAAGTATGGGCGTCGTGAAGAAATTTCTGATCGATCGAGATGCGTCTAAAAGTCGCCACACCGCATGTGAGACGATTTCGGGGCAGTAGAATGAAGATAGCGATGATAAAGATGAAGA